CTGACGAATCTATTATTGAACTATATCCAAAATTGAACCAACAAAATGTTCGTTACAGGACAGAAAACAAATCGGATGTACCATCAAGAGCGATCCCAAAATTCGGGCTTAAAGTTATGGTAGCGGGTGGATTTTGTGCACGTTGCGTGACCCCTCTACATATCATACCAAAAGGCCAATCAGTCAATGCAAAGCATTATATGGAAAAAATATTACCTATCTATTTCGATAGCATGGGGAACAAGGAAATATTTCCGAATGAAAGAAAAATAGTTTTCATGCAGGATGGTGCTATAGCCCATACAGCAAAAGCGAGTTTGAGTCTCATCAAGACGCAAGTTTCAACGGTCTGGAGCAAGGGGGTGTGGGCCGCTAACGGCCCAGATTTGAATCCCCTGAAGAACCAGTGGTCCATACTTAAGGAAAATGTATACAAAGAGCCACAACCCCGGACGAGGGAAGAGCTAGTAAAAAAAAGTTCAAGATGTATGGAATTCGATTTCCAGAGGCACATTGGAAAAATTAGCACAGAGCCTTAAACAAAGAGTTGAGGGCATGGTTAAAGTAAATGGTAACAAGACCAAATACTAAGGTAAATATGTCGAACATTTTTTGTAAGTATCACGGGTAGTTTTTTTTTATACTAGCCTTCACTTTTTTACAGGAAAAATGGGATCGGACTTTATTAACACCCTGTATATAATCAGTATTTCCAATCAATTTTTCTAAATGTTACAATATTTCTAAATCTTACAATCTTACGATTTTCCGGAAATCTTCCGATCTTGGATGCCCTAAATAATTCTGATTTTCCTCTTAGATGATCAATTGGACTGCGGTCATCTCCTGCGGTTACGTCATGATCCGCTCCATGAACCAAAAGTTCCTCGACGAATTTCCCGCCATCCTGACGTACCCGTTCGGCGTGATCGTGTGCGGCTCTTGCGGGTACGGAATGCTCCAAATGGCCGCAGAAATGTTTGACATTGCGACCTCCTTTCTCAACTCGTGGTCGCAAACGAGGCACAAGAATTTGCGCAGGATCCTAACCTCCTGCGCCACTCTGCGCATCCAAGTCGGCAGATTCTACTTTGTCACAGTTTCCACTACGATTACCTATTTTCAAAAAACCTTTGACTACATTGTCGATTGTATTATTACGTTTCCGTAAAAAAAGCTAGTAAAGGGCCGTACATAAAGCACGTGACTTTAAGATTTCAAGATAATTTTGACCCTTATCCCACTGATGTGATCTATCTATTCCCCACGTTATAAGCAGCATTGCAAATATGTATAACGTTTGATTTATTGGGCAAACTCAAACCAGTATCATTCCACATTTTGAAGATATTTATACTTTCCGGTTAAACAGAAAACTAATAAGCATTAGTTTCTTCTTAATTAAATACCACAACATCAAACCAAATATATCATTAATGTAATACTTGCAGCAAACAATTACGTTGACCACCATGCGCCAGTTTTCTACGATAAACACAAACACGGAAAAAATTAACATTGATATCAAAATCAGGAAGGATGTCCACAGATTTGAGTTTAAATTTTTCGGGAGAAATTCGTCCTGACAATTTCTTCGTGTTGGTAGCCAATACTCGAATTCAGTTTGTTTGACAGTGTCATCCCAATAAGAATAAATTCCGGATGCTATGATCCTCATAAGCTTTGCCACCTCCAAATGCGTCACCCACCCATAGATTGGTAATTTCCAATACATATCCTTTTGCATCACATTGTCCTCACTTCGTCTGTATAACTGCCGTGTAATATCCGATTTTGGGCCAAGCAGACGTTCCAAATTTATACGATGTTCCAGAACATTATCGATTGCAAAGGCAGAATGATCACATTGACTTAGCGTGCTCCTCAACTCATTTGGACTTTCAACGTGTTTAGAGATTCGGACAATCTCAGCGTATCTCCATTGAGAAAACGTAGAATGAAAACAGTTTCTTGTTTCGAAAAATTTGGAGATTTCGTAGTTTTCTGTTTCATTCAATTTTTCTTGACAATGACGAGACAAATAGTCGTAATTTTTCAAGGCCTCCCTACTTTTCATCATTAGCTTGTAGGAGAATATTTCTTCTTTCTTCGCATATGTCAAGTTCAAACGTGCGAGGCACCTAAAAAAATAATACAGCGTATTGTAAGATAATCCAGTCGTCTTGTTGCACTTGTGTTTTAGATTGATGGAAAGCAGACGATTCCCCATGGCCGCGTCCAAATGCCAACGATCATAGTCTGTAGGTCTACGTCAAATTTGCTGGTCACTGTTCTGTTCCTTTTCGTCTAAATCCAATATGATTAATTCAGATGGGATATTGAGTTTTGTAATGCAAGTATGTTCCAATCTGATCCATTAACGTTAGCAATTCCATTGGGGATCTAGCAACCATTTTCCTATATAACAATTTCCAATTGGATTTTTACATGAAATGCATATATGCATCACATCATATTGGAAATATATTGCAATCATAAGGGATCCGTCTGGAACCCTTTACTGTTCAGATTCCCCAATGGATCCCAAGTCTCAGAAACGCACGGGTTGGCTAAAACCGTCTCTATTTATTTATGAGTTGTAGTATATGTATGTACATGATATCTGTGATCCAATTTTCTTAAGAATTATATAAGTGATAAAAATATTTCAAATCCAAAATACGAATTGCCAATGGTAAATAATCAATTATTTAAATAATCTAAGCATCATATATTTAAAATTATTCGAGGACAATTTGCCTCACTTTTTTGTATGCTTAAGTGATGCAATTCACAATGGGCCGGGGGAATATTCTTAGGATTAGCGGAAAATTTTCAATTTTCCATGTGAAATTGTACAAAAATTTATTTTCCAGTTCTCTGAATCAAAAATTCAGAGTTTCACTGGGTTTACATACGTATTTACAAGTGATACTAGTATGAAAGATATTGAAAATGTATGTACGTGCAGGAATGGAGATAGACGCTCGCTAGACGCTAGTGTAAATCCATTCATCACGTCAACCACACTCACTGTGTAACTGAAAACAACAAGAGAAATAATTGTAAAACACGCCTGATGAAGCAAAAATAAATTGCGAAACGCGTCGCGAGTTTTTCAAAATTTGGTTGGAATTGCTTTCCCCCACTTATTTCATGTATTCATGAAGTGCATTTACGAGAGCGGACCATAATGACTAAGCTTGACTTTGAAAGAGGGTCATTTTGCCGCACATTTTTAGTTTGTGCGAGTTCAGTTTAGACGTAGGTGTTGATTGAGTTAGGGGTGGATAATCCACCCCTAACTCAATCCACCGTGGATTTAGGTAGGGGTGGGGATGGGGATTGGATTATCAGTGCCGCACCAGTGGATATCGTGTAATCGTGTACCATCCCTTTAGCTGATATTTTGGATAGAAGTTACCTATTACACATTTACATACTACGAACCCCACTCACAAATCTCATCTGACACATTCAAAATGTATGATCCCTTACACTAATCTCTCAGGCAAATAAGTAATATCCGAGTTCACAAGTAAGTGGAGTGGTTTATTCCAGAAAGAAACATTTCTGAGTCAACAGCTTTTCCGTTACGTGTTGTTATTTTCAAGTTCACAGCTAGCACTTTGACCCCGCAAAATTAACTCAATACAGCATAATAATCTTACTTATGTACAATGAAACAGATTGTGTGTACATATTTTCGCTTCACAACTGAACTGTTTGCATCTAACGTACTCACGTCACCGGTATACACATTTACATAAATTAGTATGTATGTGCATGTGTAAATAAGAATGTATGTGTGTATGTATGTAAATCCTTGTATGATCAGTAAGGAATGGAACCATGGGGTCATTGTGGGAATCATAACGTTGTAAAATAGGAAGGGATAATGTTAATAGCATTGGGAGGATAGGAAAATCGATACGCATTTCTGCGTGTACATTGTCCCCTTGGTCCCGAGCTTATGCGTCCAATATCTACATATATCCAGAGGTCGACGCCGACAAAATTTCGGCGCCAGTTTTTGGTGATTTTTCGGCGGCGTCGGCGGCGCGGCGTCGCAATGTTGAAGGTATAGGAAATCAAATTTTTTGGCGGCGGCGGCGCATAAAATAGTACCGGCGTCGGCGGCGTCGAGGTCTGATATAACATAAATACACTCCATAGCACGGCGCATGTCATGTGGGTCGTCACCCGTTAGAAACACCATGGGTTATGATAAGCCTGTAAATATTCCATATTGTATCTCCAATTTTATATGCACTTATTCATAATACTGGTCTCAAGACTTGTTCAATGATCCAATTGCAATTTTTTTTCTGGTTTAAACACATTTATATTTGTATTGACGTTTGTATGAATAAATTTCCATGAGATGATTTTAAGCGTACCGATTTATGCATTTGTTCAAAATTGAGGTACGATTTGTCAAGTAAATATTTGGCCACGCGACTCAGGCATGTTCACAATTTACTCCATTGGAATATGAATATGTTGTACATACGTATTTACATATGTACATGAATATAATTTAATTTACTGATATTCTGGACACGATCTCTGTCGGCATCAAAAATTAGGAATACTCCTCGGTCATGATTGTCTCGTACTATTTTTTCCTCTTAATATTCTTGGGAGGAGAGATACAGTTTAATCAACTGGTAAGTACTATTTACAAATTTGGGGTATTCATTTTGGTCTAAATTGTATATTTACGGTATTAAAATCGTACTTGATTCTTAACCTTTTTGTTGGATTTAAATTTGAAATAAGAATTTGGAAATTAAACCAAACCGCCGGTTTTAAGTTTTTCATTGTTCTATTTTGTCTTAGGTGGAAGGTTCGGATCATAATGATGCACAAGCCTTTCGTCGTACCGTTAATAATCTACTTGAAAATGTTGGCAATTATTTTGAAAATTATCCTCTTCAAATTTCATTTTTAGAGATAGTTGATTTATTTTTTTTAAGCTGGCCGACCAAATAACCAACATGCCCACGAAGGAGGAGCTCGCCGCGTTGGAAGCCAGATTCCACGAGAAATTAGATAGTTTACAAACGGATGTCCTGAATTTGGAAGCTCTTATCAACTCGAAGAAGATGGGAATGGGTACAAATAGTGTAGAAGAAATTTACAATCCAAGGAAGCGGAGGTCAATTCCGGTGTGCATATAACCACTAAACTACTAAATAAATCCACGCAGGTATGTACCTGTTAAATAGTAAGGTTATTTATACTCCTTCAGGCGCCAGATTACGCAGCTACAAATTATCAATTGGGCATAACACCTGAGGCTAATAAGGTATAGGCGTGCGTTCATAATAAAATCGACGTGTTTACACAACGTAATTTCGCGAATTTTTCGAATTCCATAGATTGTGTTCAGGCTAAATAAATCTCATTTTTAAAGTTATTTTCATACATTATTACGTAAACTATTTGCTAGTAAATAGCATTGAATAGACATAAGTGATATAAGTCTTAGATTTAAGGTTTTTGATATTTACAGATATTTATATAAAACACGATAATCAATTTAGAATTTTTAAAATCAGCCTAATTTTCAGTTAAATTTTAACGAAACGTGTCAATTTGTGGAGCAACTACTTACTGTTCAGAAGGATCAAGCCGTAGTTTTGGACGAGATAAGGAACACTAGCCATAACATGCTTCGAGGTGTTGGAGCTATTGTGGAGGCAGTGGACTCATTGAAATATGATGAACGTATTTATTATTAACGATTCACTTGACTTAGCATGAATTGTGTAATTTTTATTAATTATTTATAACTGGTCAGCATATTAATCGATCGGAATTTTTTGCAGGTATACCATGAAATTGGCACAGAACCGGTGAAGGCTTGCGGGTATGCTTCCGACCTTACGAATTCAACGTTCCGCAACAAACAAGTAATTAATTGGTGGACATCTCTTACATAATTTGGTTGCAATGTTGACTAATTAAATAGTAATACGTCTAGCTCGTTTGCAACAAGGGTTGGACCCTAATTCAACGAAGGGGTACTCCAACCCATCCAGGGAGCGAGAGAACTAATTTCGAGAGAAACTGGGAAGATTATGAAAACGGGTTTGGTACACTCGACCAAGATTTCTGGCTTGGTGCGTGTAATCATGAAGAAAAATTGAGTAATTATGCAAATTTGGGTTAACTTTTAATCTTAACGCCAGGTTTACAAACCATCCATGAACTCACGATGGCAGGATATACGCGGTTACGAGTTGATCTCGAGGACTGGGAGGGTCACAAGAAGTACGCAATGTACGGCGTCTTCAAAGTCGGTGGTGCCCGAGACAAGTACAACTTAACGGTAGGCGAATACACAGGGACGGCAGGTTAGTGTCATCAGCCAAGCAAAGTAATATATCCGATTTCTGGAATTTTCATGCTAATCAGAAATTAACACATTTACCAGTTAGTTGCGTACCAATTCAGACCTTAACCTCGCATTTTGCAGGGAATTCCTTATCCTCAAATTCTGGAGAAAAATTCAGCACGTATGATAATGACAACGACGCCAACACCTTTACTAATTGTGCTGCTGAATATCGAGGTGGCTGGTGGCAAGGGAATTTTTGTTCCGAAGTACATATTTAGATATTTTTGTATTTATAGTTTTGAGCGTTTCACAATATTTTGTACAATTAATAGAGCATCCTGAACTCCGTATACCATAATTCCAGTCATGTCGAAAAACCTGGTGTCGGAGTGATCTGGTGGCATTGGACGGATACAGAATATTCCTTGAAGAAGGCGGAAATGAAAGTTCGCAAGCCTTCAGCATTCACCTGAAGTTCTGACAATGGGGAGCCTACATGTTGTGGATTGTACTGTACATGGGATTGGGATGTCATCAATGTACCGTATTTTATGCACAAACGAAGCATATAATATTTAAAATAATATAGTATGCATACCCTCACACATCTAAATAAAAGAGAGCTACATATGTACATATTTGAACATGTTTATGTTTGAACGTGTTTAATCACACATTTATTAATCCTTCCAAATGTACTTCAACTATGGTCACAGAGGATCACGATTTAATATAGCATAAAGTGAACCAACTAAACGAATCATAACGCAATTAGGGTACAATGTGGCGCTACTTATTAAATACGTGTATCCTTTTCAACAAACCTTTCATAAATTCAAAACAACAAGAGTAAATTTGCCATTTGGTTGATACAAAAGTCTTGTAAAATTAGTGGAGTGAGCCGATCAACAAAATTCTGCCCAAAGCTTACCTTCAGAGGTGCTAAGGAAGCTAAGATTTTTCGATTTATACAGCTATTTTCTCTCTTCTGGCATTCCTTTAACCACTTCACGCTCCTCTCATGAATCATGCCAGCTAAGGAAAAAAACACCAAATTGAATCCTGTCACGGTCAGGGCTTCTATTGCAACGAAAGCAAATTCTAAGGGGTTCAAGCTTTCGTGTAGACGGATGCACGCAAATCCTCCCAGAATTTCAAGGAGGGGAAAAGTTGCCACGATCACGGGGAAAATGCGGGCTTGGATGCAAGCATTGAACAGTTTCTCAAAAACATGAAGCTCCTTGTATTTTTGCGTAAACTTGACACGTGTGGAGTCAAACAACTTTACAGACTCGAGCCACAAGTGGATCATTCCCGCGAAGAGCAGGCATCCAGTAAAGAAGCCCGCAGTCAAGGTCACATAGTGTACAGCGCCAAATTCAAGCATGGCCAAGATTAGGAGAACAATTGAGCATGGAGCCTGACAGGAACTCCGTGAGAGAAAGATTGAACCAAGAAATGGCTGTTTGCACGGGTGCAAGAAAACAAGGATACCGACCGGAGCGGGAAATGCGAAATATCCGATATTCAAAATGAGAAACAGGAGGCGGGATATTTTTAGCACGTTTCGTCTCGCCTGGTGAGAGGAACCTAGGCGCGAGATTATAATGTTAGCAACAATTTATTTTAAACGGGTATAATTTTTTGGGCGGGAGTCTCAAATCTTACCATTTTTCCTTTCGTGGTCAATGGTCGGTTTTGAGGTGACATTCAGCAACTGCGGGATTCCTTTATCAGCTTCCCAATACAGGATGATGAGTAGATTGGCTATATATGATAAGCTGAATAACGCAGAATTTAGCTTCGTCACATGGTTCGCAGTATTATTGTGCCACAAAATTCCGTACGTTTGTAGCACGACGTAAATCACATACGCCACGAAACTAACACGGTCCAGCAATGCCCCAAGTCCCCTTCTGCATGTCACGAGTTGTTTATCTTTTTCAAAAGTGAATGATAACCAACAAAATCGGTCGGCAAGGGAGAAATTTCTTTTTAAAAATGGGAGCAGGATTTCTGACAACATTTCAGAGATCGGTATTGCACTTGGGTACGTACGTCATACCCAGAAGAAAGATCGATCAGAATAAATAATTCTTTTGGGGGGAAATCATTTATTGAGGAGAATTTCTTATTACTATTTCAGTTAAAGAAGAGAGAATACGGTAGTAAATGTAAATAATTGAGATTAGGTAATCATAGATATACATCGATACGGGTCGTAAAAAATTCTTATCTAAGAGTGCACCTGCTGAATAATTAATTATTCTGGTTAACGACATGAAAAGGGTGGATACTGATAGCTTAATGTACACTACCTTCAAATATCAACTCATTTATTTTTAATTACACAAGCTCATTTTATTATGTACTCACCTGTTTGTAAGCACATACATTAATTATACTATGAAGGAAGGTCGCACACTAAATAAATTGCATAACAAAATGTATAGATGGAAAATCAGAAAATTACTTATTTAAATTAAATCGGGTTCATGTATGAAATATTAGTTTGTGTATTTTCTTCAATAAAATCCTACTGAAAAACATGTATGTACCAGAGTGTGCAAAAAGGCGCCTTTTTGGGAAAAAATTCATGCCGTTTTGCCCGTTTCAATGCTGAATTGCCTTTTTGCATGCCTTTTTGCCCATTTGATGCCTTTTTGCCCATTTGATGCCTTTTTGCCTATTTGATGCCTTTTTGCCCATTTGATGCCTTTTTGCCTTTTTCTGTATGTTTCCATTGGGTACCGCCTGTACCATTTGACAAATTTTTCTATGGAGAAGGAAGAGTGACAACAATGTAATTTGCTTTAAATTTCGGTTTTTCTAAAACGTTACCAACCTTACACTTTTACATAACTATTCCACAACATTATTTCCTTCGCACTCATGATACTTAAGAGTATTTGTGAATATTTGTACACCTCAAGATGTGCATAAATTTTTTAGTGGTGTACATATATGTAGATGATAATCTACATATAGATGATAATCCAAATCGGCTTAATATCTTAATTATTCACATGTCGACAAATCCTGTAAACTTTGAAAGACTACAACGAACAAATCATGGGAACGTATTATCAGATTGCCCCGATTTTACCAAAAAGACAGTTCTGGCAATCGGGCATGGCTAAAATTCAAGTGCCTAATAGGCAAAAAGGTATTTCAGGCACGGCATGCCTGTTTGCCCTTGCACACTCTGGTATGTATATACAAGGTAGGCATTAATAAATTTTTGACAGTTTTCTTAGAAATTTGAGTGTATATCTATATCACATATGTATAACCTAATTTTTTTACCAGAATCATATCTTTGTAGTCTGGTAACAATATTATTTAGTGTTAGTGCTTTACTTAAAGCGTATGTCCTTCGAGTGTGCCGTGGTTTTGTTACTGAAAGAATGATCCTGGATGAAAATTTTATATTTCGAATGTGACGATGGGCGTAAATTATTTATTTCGTGGATAGTGTTAGATTGGTACCCGCGCCTAGGGTATTTTGACATTTATGACATGCCCTGTCTAGACACTACTGGACAGATAGATATGCATATATGTAGATATCTTCGTATTTAGTAGCTCCCAATACCCATAAAACACCATTATCTATTATTTGATTTATACATGCATATATAAAATGAGTTCTAAATAAGTATTTTTGGATGATCTAATTTATTATTTTTCGGTAATCTATGTAATTAAGTATTTTTTTAGGACATGTCCTATTGCATTCTGAACGTAGGGCATTTTGGGCAATTCGAATCAGAGGTCAACGCCGACCAATTTGACGGCGGCGCCAATTTTGGGGATTTTTCGGCGCGGCGTCTCAATGTTGAAGGAATAGGGAATTAGATTTATCGGCGGCGGCGGCGCGTAAAATTATATCGGCGTTTGGCGGCGCGGCGGCGTGAGACCGGCGGCGTTGACCTCTGATTCGAATTGCTTTTTGAGTTCAGAATTTTTATGAAAGTTAAATTAAATTATATATATTTTGTTTTGCTCAAAAAGTGCTTGGTTTTATATATAGCTTTTTGAAACATTCTTGGTTTACACGTTGTTACTGTTGTTAGAATTTTATTAAAACATTTAATACATAACGTTGTTGAAGAACCAAAGGTAGATTAGTGAGGTTCGTTTAGTTTAGGGATTAAAAACTGATAACTTCATATCAGAGCTTATGAAGCTTCTAAATATGTATGTAAGTATTCTGGAATTGACAAAATTGTAGCTTGTTTGCTTCCTCGATGCTGATATAAAAATTATTATTTACAAGATTTTGCAAATTACATCCCTCTGCTAAATCTACCTACGTATGTACTTCTGTACATAAACTTGCAAATTCGTGCATGGTTGAAACCATTAATCATGCCACTCGGAATTACTAAATTTTTCCAGCCAGCTTGTACCAACTTCGTCATTTTCCAACGAACTATTTCATGTGCGGTTTACTTTAGTCACACGTGGATCACATTTAGTAAATTCTTGTTAATTAGCATTTAGCACATTAGAGATATCAATTGGTTAAACTTAATCATCATCTAGATCAATAAATATTTTCAAGTGGTTATATTAATTAATAAAGTTATTGAGTATGTAAAACAATTCTAGGAACACATTTACACCATTAAGCTCGAAAAATATTGCTTCCAATCTGTCTGCTCATATTTATTGTAGACCGGAATCAATTAATTTAATAGTGATCTGTATAACACATCACGCTAATCTCCGTGCAGATATTTTTTAAAAGAAAAACCACAAAGTACATAATATTACAATGAAAAAATTTGCAATTAAATTGAAAAAATAAGCAATTATCTGCGGTATCGGTGGGTATAAAAAGTAGGGTCATTGCAATGAATAACATCCAAAACATTCAAGACTTCAAGCTCTTCTCAACCAGCTAAAACTTTGTAAAGATGTCTCCCCTGAAAATGTAAGTTTCTGAAATATTTATATTTTCCCCACAAGTTATAAAAATAATTATTAAATTTTTCCTCTTAATTGCAGGATTGTCGCTCTCTTCGCGTTTTTCGCCGTTGTTGGGGTCGCTGTTTCCGATGAGGGTCGTCCCGCTTCGTCTGCATCGGCCTTTGGGGACAATGGCGTCTTGTGGCAATGTCAACACCCGGTAAGGAAATGTCTAAAAATTTCAAGATATATTTCTGAGTTTTTTTGTTCCTATGACAGTGCCAAAATCTCCACTGCGATGACCGGTACAGCCGATGCGAGTTTAGAAATGGACAGTGCTGGTGCTTCAACTAGTTTTCCGATGCAATTTTGACATACGCCTCACTCTGGAGTAATTAGTGCATAAATCTGTATGAAGAAATTATTTATGATTGGAAATATTTATCTTTAAAGTCAAAAGCGGATTATTAAATTAGAGCTTTGAGCATCATAATATTTGGAGATTCCAGCAAATTTTGATAAATAGTGCAGTAAATTTGATTGCATTTACATATTTTAATCGTGTCTAATTAGTAGGAATTTTTTATGCTATGCTAAAATTAGGTTGCACCTAAAAGCAGAGACTTTGGAATTATTTGTGCGTGTGCATGGAAAGCTCTTATCGTCGAAAATGGGCATAATGAGATTTACGAAAAAAGTCTAAATGATACTGGATTGTAAAAATTCATAGGCAACTGTACGTCGGAGGCTACATAGATAATTAGAATTAATCGGAGTAAATTAATAATCATAAATATTTATTTCTGCAAAATACTCATATTGACGTCGTACTCGTCACATTCAATAAACTTTTGCATAACATGAATATTTAAATCATAATCAAGGAATTAGGATTTTCAGGATCCATGTACATACGCCAATATGTATATGCAAATACTACTAGTTCCAAAAATCACAATTGTTATCTTCGTACCAGCAGTCAAGTATTAGCATAATTTAAAAATCCATCATGTCGAACAGTGATTCCTTCTAGAATAAAATTACTACACCATCAAGCCAGACACTTAATAAGATCAAGATTTATGCACCAAGTAAAATACCTGAAAGATCTGTGACAAATACGTATGCACTAATTGTCCAAACTTGGGTGGAACAATATCTCCGAATGTGCCACGCTTGTGAACATAGCTGCCTAATTTGTTCTCCAGGTATTGTTCTATCCCTCTCCCAACCCAGTTCTCCGTGCCATTTCCCTCCGATGTGTCCACTTTGGCTAAAAGGCCGACAAATCTTGGCAACAAAAATATCAAGATGACACATATGTATGTAGATAGATAATTAGCATAAATTAGTAACCCTGACTCAACAATGTGGGTACGAAATTTTCCAGGTATGTCGCATGGAGTAATTATTCCGTCAGAAAAAGTTTCATCTATTTATTTAGATAATCGATAGAAGAAAATTATTTTATTTGATAACTAGTGCGAAAAACTGGGTGGAATGTTACCACAGGAAAAGTCATTGTTATCAGCCAATCTGACATGCGATGCATTCATGTAAGTTAAATTTGCTCGGAATGTACATATCATGTCAAAATCTATTGTCCAATTTCCGTCCGAGTGAAACGTAGTCGTGGCATTCATGAGGGATCCGTTCGCACGGTACAATCCTGTAAAGAGGAGAAATTACATGGGTGCTTAAAATTTAATGGTGGAATTCACTCAGACGTTCGAAATTGCAAAAAATTAATGGTATAACAGAATTCTGTGCACTATGAATTTTTACGTAAATAAAAATAGGGATGTTATGTTTGCAACATGTTTTTAACTTGATTTGTCCCACAGAAGTTTGGAATAGTTTCCCATAGTATTTTTTAATTTATGTAAATGGGGAAGTTTACTGTGTTACAAATTTGACTATGTATCTATCAAGACAGAATTATTTTTCATGCGAAGCTTATGGCGAGCATGACGCGGTTTTCATAGACGGATAATAAATAAATATTTCAATAACCTGAAAGTTTGACATTCTGTGCGACGAACCGAACCGAAATGTGACCATTTTCCAAATCCGAATAGACGCAATCCGGCTTAATGTTAGCTGCGATATTTGTCAGATTTGAATTTCTAAAAAGAATGGTTGATTTGGTTAGTATTGTAAATTAAAAGTCTGCTATTTGAACGTTTATCCATACTCAAGGTCCACTTGGAGCGAAAATAATTTGTTAGAAATGTCGATTTTAACCATATTTTGGATATTTATCGAGTCCAGTTTATCTCGGGAAAAGCTTGGAGACGATGTTTCCATCCAATGCGTCAAATTGTTTTCGCGTAGTTTGAAATTCAAGTAGGTATCCATTTGAGACGTGCCGAAACGTGGCCCTGGTAGTGGTCAGGTTGAAAATTTAGTAGTTAGTTATCTCTCAATTTAGAAATGTACATAGATACATTCGTACTTATGCTACCTTTTAAGAAGGCGGGTATTCCAAACATATCAGCGCGAATAGCCGTGAGAACACCGAAGAACAAAATTACAATTAAGTGAAAAATCATTTTCTTCCAAATTTTCCTATTTATCGATGAACCATGTAGGGTTGAAGGTGTAAAAGTAATTAATTAGAAACTGAGACAACTTGTGTTTTTAAATTTTAACAATTTCTGCGGATTCGCCCACTTTCGTCCTTCTGTCACGGAATGTCATGCATTCGCACTCGCAATTTCTATATGTGCATGTCACGTCAAAGTTTAGCATAATGAATTTACAATAATAATTAACAATCAAGCTTAATTAACGAATGTATGTATGTACATCCATACATAGGTTTGAGGTCTCATGAACTTAGGTCTTGAGCAATACATACATACGTACATATTATCATCGCTGGGTGTATGCAAGTGGCAATTTTATTAGCAAATTGTTAATTATTACGGCTATCTCTAAATCTGCGACTCCGGTACTGCACGTTAGGCCACGCGGAGAGATAAATGAAAGGGAGGGATAATGACTTCATTTTCAATTCCTTAACAAAAAGATAGAGCCAAAACTCTAGTTCGTTAATGGTTTTATGTATGTATTTATAATTAGCTCATGGTGTGCCCCATTTAGATATATTTGCGTTCAAAGTTTTTCTAAGCCATGAAAAATATTATGAAAAATTCGTCACACCTGTGTTCTCTCCCTGGAATCATGTGCTTATCGCTCTTAGACATTAATCGATAACGACGACCATAATCGTATTTTCCAAGATTGCCTTGTAATACCCACATTTCATCTCTTTGTCAAAAACAATCATTTTATTCCTGCCGAATCCTCCATGTAGCACGATGGGCTTCAAACTGGCCACTATTTTCTTGAGAAGTGTCCCTTTTCGGGCAAAAATTCTCCATTTTCTTAACCATTCGTCAGAATCCTCCCCAATTTTAGAGAACCTCGGCGTGATTCCGACAATCGTGAGGTACGTCGGCACGGTGAAAGTGATAAACACGGTGCACGTGTAAATCCGCAGAAGAGGTCCAACCCTTAAGGCGATGAAATTACTAGAAATTGTAAATCCCAATGTTGCAACGACATAAAATAGTAGTGAATTCAGCAGAAATTCTAAGCACCAGTGATCCACCAGGATTACTAATTCCCGGTATAAATTCAAATTTCGGACACGTAGCATTTTACCATCCACATCAAAACAGATGGATAATGCATTAGAAAAATTGGAAAATGCTAACATGCCAAAAATCGTTGCTTGAGACCAGAGACAGGCTATTTCGAAAATTATTATGAAAAGAGTGGCACCACTTCCGAGCAGAAATAAAGCACTGTTTAGAGACCAGGCGACATTTGGGTGCAAAAAATCAATGACCGAAGCACTTAACGTAATATGATACGGATTTGACCCGGATATCTGAAAAATTGTGGGAATCATGAAGGGAGCCAGAAACCCGACAATGGAAACAATCATAAAAAACATTTTTAGTCCAATATCTGTACGATAAGTAAGTAAGTGATTTATTTGCGAGATTGTTTGGCATCATCCTTGTACAATCATATATTATTATTATATAAACTTGTATTGTTACGTCTGCTCTTCCTCAAATTCCCAAATTTCATTAACAGAATATCTGTACGATAAACGGGTGCTCGAGCAGCAGAAGAGGAGGTCGGTTTATTTTCTGAAATTTGTTACATAGATTTTTAGTTTAAAAACTTTGGGCAATTCAGGCAGGCCTTGGTAGAAGTGTAAAATTTTCACATTCCGTAAATTTACAATTTTTGCAAAATTTTACAAATTAGTTTACACATTTTTGTAAACTTAATCAAATCAAGGGCGTCTTTTATTGCGTCAAAGTTTGCAAAATTATCTAAAGGGTGTTAATAAAGTCCGATCCCATTTTTCCTATAAAAAAGTGAAGGCTAGTATAAAAAAAACTACCCGTGATACTTACAAAAAATGTTCGACATATTTACCTTAGTATTTGGTCTTGTTACCATTTACTTTAATCATGCCCTCAACTCTTTGTTTAAGGCTCTGTGCTAATTTTTCCAATGTGTCTGTGGGAATCGAATTCCATACATCTTGAACTTTTTTTACTAGCTCTTCCCTCGTCCGGGGTTGTGGCTCTTTGTATATATTTACCTTAAGTATGGACCACAGGTTCTCCAGGGGATTCAAATCTTGGCTGTTTCCGGGCCACACCCCCTTGCTCCAGACCGTTGAAACTTGCGTCTTGATGAGACTCAAACTCGCTTTTGCTGTATGGGCTGTAGCACCATCCTGCATGAAAACTATTTTTCTTTCATTCGGAAATATTTCCTTGTTCCCCATGCTATCGAAATAGATAGGTAATATTTTTTCCATATAATACTTTGCATTGACTGTTTGGCCTTTTGGTATGATATGTAGAGGAGTCACGCCACGTGCACAAAATCCACCCGCTACCATAACTTTAAGCCCGAATTTTGGGACTGCTCTTGATGGTACATCCGATTTGTTTTCTGTCCTGTAACGAACATTTTGTTGGTTCAATTTTGGATATAGCTCAATAATAGATTCGTCAGTCCAAAGGATGTGACTGCGCAATTCTTCACCAAGTCTTTTTTCACTCAAATGGCCACTTTTCTGAAGGAGTTCTCCAAATTTCAGACGGTCATCGATATTTTTTTGTGACATGAGAGGTTTTTTGGTTAGTTTGTAAGCTGTGTGACCCCACCTCGTAGATTTCACAAATTTTTGCACGGTCACATAGTTAATTTGCTTCTTCTTCTCTTTATAGCGTTTTGAGTCATTTAACTCCCTTGCACAATTACGTAATGAACTACCGGTTTTCTTGTAAAGTCTGTTTTTAATCATTCTCTTTGTGGTAGGTGACACCTTTCTGGGTCGCCCGGGTCGCTTTTTGTCGTGGACAAAATTTTTGTTCTTCCATTTCCAAACAGTTCTGCGGCTGCAGCCCAATTTTTGCACAATTTCTGCAGGTTTAAACCCCTGCTGATGCAATGTTTGTATCTTAACTCTAAGATGCTCATGACTTACACGTTTAGTTGTTCCTCCCATGGTAAAAATTTGAAATAAATAACTTCACTGGTTCAAAAGTTCCAGCTGAATTTGTAACAACCGCGCTCCAAAAAATTAATGGGATCGGACTTTATTAACACCCTTTATTTTTACAAAATTTTACGAGTTACCAACCACTGCGTGAATTGCCTGATCACAATTTTCAGAAGAACACATGTATGTACGTATGTACATATATTGATTTTTTAAACATAAACAAACCTTCTCGAATTTGGTTATCCATTTCTACCAGAACATTAAACACGTGCAAGAACTGCTTCCCGAATGGCAGTAGAACCAAGTAGATCAGAATTACATAGAACCCGATTAAAGCGAGGCAGACAATGGACCCGATAACCTTTGCTATCGTTATAGTCCCGGGATATCGAAGATTTTGAGCAACCACCATTATCGGACGAAGTCCCGGACCGAAGAAAATTGCGAGACGAAGGTAGACATCTTCAATCCGTGATTTTTCAAAGGAACACACAATTTTATGACTTTTCCTACAAAGATCAATCGGGCTGAGGAAAATCAGATTGAAAAACTTTTCTTGAGCAGCTATAATACATTCCAGCTATAATACATTCCATTCCATTGTATTCCAGAGTAATGGAGACGCCATTTCTATATTTTACATATAACGTATGACAAATGAAATGGAGTGTTTTTTTTAACTGCATAAATAAAATACGAGACACCATCTTTATTTATAGTTAACCAAGCTGCCAGACAATACAATTTTTTGCATGGTCTGAGTGGTCCAATTTTCCAGACATATTGCGAATTAAGGAATAACAACTTGTGTACATATGTGTATTTATTTACATCCGTGTATTTACATGTAAATACATGCGTGGGCGAACGTGGGCAAGAAATGTGTAGGTCAGACAAACTAAATTCATCTCAAAGGTTTTAAAATTACAAGTTTCAATTAATACGAAGGCAAATCTGTGATTTGTTTATGATTTATGACAGTTTTACATGAAAGGCTCTCACTTATTTCACCATGTTAAACTATGTGGAAGCAAACAAAAACCTTGCACATTTGTCTGCCATCTGTGCTGCTCTTACGTGGTCCAGTTAACAGGGTATTCCGACCCCGGGTTTTACTGGGTTGGGGTTTTGGGGTTTTACTGGGTTTTACTGGGTCGTAAATTAATAAAACCCAGCGGGTTTTACTATGTTAAAGGGGTTTTACTGGGGTTTTACTCGGGTTTTACTAGGTTTTATCTCAAATTCAAATTGATAAATCAATCTAACTAGTTTGCAGGTGCTTATAACTCTAATTAAGCACTCTGAGCAATATTCCGTCAATTTCTATATTTATTTAGAATTTTTCTTTATGATCTAAAAATAACAATTTACAGCTAGACTTTGAGTTTGATCATATTAATGATTTTTGGGTGTGTCTTTTGGTATTTTGCATCAGTCTTATGGTAAATCTTGATAGAATACATCAATTTAACAAATGAGTATAACATTGCAATTTTTAGCAGTTCGCCCCAAACATTGAGTAAAACCCAGTAAAACCCCAAAACCCAGTAAAACCCAGTAAAACCCCGGGGTAGTTGTTTTCAGAGTAAAACCCGGGGTTTTTCCGAACCGTGCCAGTTAATACCATTTGAAGAATCAACATGTTCTCGCTGCCTTGTGCTACATATATCAATTGAAACTGGCGTTTTAAATAATATATGTGAAACCACATAGTTGAAATTTGTTGCGCTAGATATAGTGTAAAAATCATTCATCACCAAATTAATCCGGATTATTAATCCATAATCCATAATCCTGAAATTTCCAGAATTTATGAATTAATCCTGACATGAATTAATGTCACGAAAATAATTTAATCACAATCCACATCATTTTGTGGTTAATCCATAATCCTTAATCCACCCTCAAAAACCAATAATCACCCAGCTCTGATAAAGTGCATAATACATATGTAGGATAGTACTTTTATAAAATTGTGCAAGCAAAAATTGTGTTGTAAAAATCATGCAATTTATCCACATTATTTCACACAAAAGGGTTTATTTTCAAGAATTGTTGAATTTTTACATTAATACATATATTTACTTAAAGATGATTGAATTTGCATTTCTGAAGATAATAACTCATTTATTTATGCACATATCGTTTTCTATATTTTAAATATAATTCAGACCAGATAAAATTTAGCCCAAATAGTGTTTATGAAGCCGCTCAAGATTCATAAATAATTCGAATTCGCATACATTGCAGTGTGCATTTCACAAATATTGCTAGGAAATAAATAACATGCACTATTTACTATACAAATTTTTGCAAACATTTTATTAATATTTTAAGATGATCTCTGGATTTTAGGCCACATTTAAATTATTCCGTAACCACGTGCCACATATTATGAATACAACTCCGCAAAGCTTTTTTAAATTACTGGAGGAATTGGTGGGGGAGTAGGAAGATGTTCTCCACTGGGGTTAAACCCATTTTCATCAGCTATGTACACGACTGTTAAAAATTAAGCAAACAATTATGTCAACCGGTCATCATGCTCTAAATATCTATCTGCATATTTTCGTGAAGTTACCTCTGATAAGTTCCCCCTCTGGAGAATAATATTGGTAGGAGCCTTGCACAGTCTGAATCTCATTGTTGGTTCCGCGTCCTTTCAAGTACCCATTCTCCTCTGCCTTGATTCCATTGCTAGTTTCGTAATTGTAGGAATACGTGCCATCACCATGATTGATATTGTCGTACCGCAAAATGTGTGCGTAACGCTCATCTTGTCGGCTATTGTAACCACTTTGGGGCTTGCAAGACACGAATCCCGCAAGGCAGACAGAGGCAACGGCCAAAAACTGGATAATTAGTTAAAAATAAAATTGACACGGATATTTCAGACAATGTATACTTTTTATTTTATTATTTGAATATTCTGTATTACCAAAAGTCTTTGCATCAGGCGTGATATATATTTCTGCCTTGGGATCGTCGATGAATGAAGTTATTAATTTGAAATTGGACGATAGACTGACAAATGATTTCTTGAGTCGGATCTTTTATATCATCAACATTATGAAGATTACTAGGAATTAAGGCATTCATAAATTTTCCAAATGCATGAAAAGAAGACGACTCGAAGGACAAAGGGTGATAATGAGATTTTCATTCATGCCATGAATTAAAATCCATGAATACCCTCCATGAGGTTCATGGAGGGTATGAAATATGTAATACGTGAATAACAATGGTTTGGGGGCTTTATTGGTAGAGTAAATGTGGTCAAAGTAGTATGTATGTTAGGATGTAACGATGGAGTTTGTGAAGAATTTGGCGTTCTTCTTGTGGTCAGTAGATCATCTTATTTTTTTGCAAGGAAATCACTACATGCATATGTAATGTGGGAATATCTAGCTAGATTTCAATGTTGGAAGATGCCCCACATTGATTTCATTAGTGCCGATAAGTATTGATCTGTTTCAGGTCGTGAACCGATAGACGTTCCGGAATGCAGAGACCGATTAATTTAAAGCTAGAGAGATGCGATCAGACGAGGACGCCACGGTGCCAGCGGAGTAATTTCCAGGTGGAGGGGGATGAGGTGTGCTGATGGCGAGAGGAGTGGATTTTCTACTGTGGAGGGACGAATGGCGTCAGCGCGGTGATGATTCGGGACACTTTGGATCGTTGGCCAGGAAGACTTTACGTGAAGCGGCCAAGGGTATAATTCTTACTATAGAGGTTAGGTTATCTTAAAATTTGAATTTATTCAAACATATTTTCAAAATGATAATCTTTGACAGTCTCAACGCTACACAAGTCACTCATCCCACCACGATGCATATCCTTACGGCGACAATTGCAATGCGCCCTACTCAGTCGTGTCCACATCTGACCCTTCTTTCACTTCTGTTCAGCCCAAACCCTTTTCTTCTCCCCCTCTGGCAGACCCACTAAATTAGCCATGTCCTCCCTCATTTGCTCCAACTCTGGGCAACTGAACGTGGTCACGCCAGCCTTCTTCATGGCCATCATCTGTTTCCAGGCCATCAGGGTGAGTCGGGCGTCCTGAACCGAGGAATGTGCGTCCTCCTGGACATTTCGATGGAGGCAGTGCCACGCCAAGTCGGCTAGCCTTATTGAGCCCAATCGGTCACGGGAGAAATCCTGCACGTCCTCCGTGCGAAATGGAGTCTCCTCCCCCTCCTGATACTCCAACGCCATGAGGTCACCCACTGTTGCCGCCCCCACTAGCGTTTTCCCCGAGAAATATTTCGTTAAATAATAACGAACCTAGAGGAAACAATAATAATTAGTTAGTTGTGCCGGTGGGTCATGTGGAAATATGAACCCCGGAGCACAAAAAAACGTACCATTTTCAGCGTAATTCCCATTGCAGATTTCGCAGCAGACACCCCGGTGACCTCGGTGTGGAAGTTCTTGATGGTACCAGGACGGTGGAGGACGAAGCAATGGAAGACGATCCTTCCGTGCATGTCGACAATTGACAAGTCTCCAGCTGGCTTAAACTTAACCGTCTCGAATGGTGTAACTTTCTCCAAGTAGAAAAAGAAGGTGTGACATTTAGCAATCTTATCGTGCCGAATAATCTCACCGCACTGCAACACAAACAAAACAATGTCATTATCATCACAAATTATTATCCTCCACCGCCACCACTACGTTTCAACACAAAAGGTTATTATAACCACTTACGTGGTTGGCCGAGACTTGGCCCCTGGGTCCAAAAGCGGAGGACGAAACACTCCCACTGGGAAGTATTTCCTCGACCTTTGCTGCCTCCTTTACCCCCATTACCGCCTTCCTAGCCAGTTTATCAGCCACGGGGAGTCGTTTCTTGATTCCCTGGATGGTGGAAGAAATTGAGATGACATGGGCAGGTTTCAGTTTCTTCTTCTCCTCCCCCTTCTTAACAAGCGGTTGCAGTAGGTCAAAATAGTCGTCAGACTCCATGCTCAGCGCCTCGTCCACGACACGGAGAGTCAGAGGTGCTTCTTCAAAAATAATAATTATTATTGTGACCGGTGGGTGGGGTGCAAATCTCAACCCCGGTGTCACTACTCCTCCTCCAACAAACTCACCTCTACAACATCGATGCGTCCTTCTCCTTCTTCAGCCATGATATTTGTGAGGGGGGGGGTGGTTATTATTATTGAGGGGACAAGTAAGTTTGGACGTTTATAAACGTGGTGGAATTGTGATGTGATGAAATGGTTGAATTTGGTGGATGGTACTGATGTTGGTTTGGGAGATGGGTGTGGGGAGGGCGCTGCATGCTTCCAACTCGCACTACAACCAGCACACCGGATGAGTCCATCCACCAACAACGACGTTACAAGTGTAACTCTGCACCGGGGTATATATTTCTATATATCCCATCGGCAGAGTAATAAAGTTGTATTTGGAACGTTTGTGTGGAGGTACCAATTCCTGCTCTCTACTAAAGAAGCGGTGGTCTGCTCGTCACCACATCAGCCGGAACTTTCTCCCAAAAACATAACTAATTATTTGTTGCGAATTTAATTGCTTGCAAAACGATAATTCAAGTTTTACCAATAAGTAAGGTAAGGGAGTAACTTTCATCACGTTTTGACCGGTGGGTGACCTGGTTACGTCAACCCCGGAGTCATTTATAGTTGAGGAGAAGGAGGACGGAAAAACTTGGTTGAAAAACGGAAAAAACGGAAAAACGGGCGCAAATGTGGCCATGGAGTCAAACCACTTCAGGGTTTTAATACACTCATAGGACCCTACCACATATGCAAAGGACATCAAGATCTGTGAAGGGCAGGTGGTGAGGCTCCCCTCCTGAGTGATGCAGTTTCATTTCTGACAGTGAAATCTGGCTATTGATCACTTGTAGGGGTTAATACTGAAGGAATATAATGTGTTCTTATTGTCCTAGATAATTAACTACTGAATAAGGTTATCAACTAAAAAAAATAGCAAAAAGTGTGATTTTTTATGTTGGCAAACAAAGTGAAAGTGCCACGAATTGACAGTGCAGACGATATACAATAATAATGCTTTATTCTTTGAATCTAAACAACACCGGTATTATTAAACAACTGGGTCCTATCTATAAAATCACACTTCTTGCACACGAATCCAGAATAGAAATCATTCGGTTGTGGTTTGTCATTTGAAAAGGTTAAGATTGAACCTCCGCTGTCAATAAAGTTGCACGCCTTTAGCATAAAATCGGTTGCGATGAAGTTTCCATATACTTTGTTCAGCATGCTTAAACCTTCTTCCTTCTCAGCCAGCCATTGAAGGGCAAACTGCAAAGTTCAAACAAATGACAGGTGGGTGAGTTAGTAAATCCAACCCCGGTGTCATAATTATGAAATCCATAAGTGGGAGGAGAGCACTCACGATGTAATATGACTCGTAATGGTCAATATCATCTAAAGAATCCATGCATTGTGCCAAGCCCTCGAAGATGCGGGATCCCTGTTCATAACACTGAAGTACAGCAGGGGTTTGTTGAACGGAATGAGACCTACGGGCTTGAATTAGTCCATTCGTTTTTTGTTTCCCGATACTACGTTTGAGTTCAGATGGAGTCATTGTTCGAAGCATCTCCCAAACCTCCCCGGCTGGCTTCCCCTCGACCACATCGTGGGAATTGCAGATGTAAATTTAAAGGCTGAAGTGGGACATCTCGTGGATTTGGTGAAGGATTTCGTCTTTTTTGTTGTAATATCGGATCAGATCCGAATCGTTGCGACGTGAGTGTTGTTCAGGGGTGCGACCAGCATCGGAAATTTTCATTGCACCAGTCAGCACACGTTTACGTTGGATAATAAGTCGAGTGGGAAGATGTACGTAGAGGTTATGTTGTGGTCTGTCACTACGTGGACCGTGGTTCACGACATAATGACTTGCCCCTTTCCTTGGTGAGTTTTTCTTCCCACACGTCCTCCAACGTATGTCATTTTCTCCAACGATATCTCTTCTTCCAACTTAAGGGTTGTTATACACCTATCTGGAACTATCATGTGTAAAAATTTCGAGAGGATCTGTGTGTGGCAACTAGTGAGGTTCTCCTCCTAAGTATGCAATGTATGTATGTACGTACTGACAAAATTTTCAATTTGACCTAAATGTCAGAAATTTGCGAAGCTGTCTGGCTCTGTATTGAAGGTACGTCTTACAAATACAAAAATAATGTCAATATGAACTCACAGTTGTTTACTTTACCATTCGGTTTTTAGGAGTGCGACAAGAACCCTATTTTGTATACCCTGGAGGACTTTTCTTTGACCCAATATTGCAAAAGTGTAATCTGCCTTCAGAAGTAGATTGTGGAAATCTGTAGGTCGTAATTAAATTACTCCTCATACTGGTAGATGAAAGGCGTTAGGAGAACTTGCAGCACACAAACAATGCCCAATGCTAAGGAAATATCCAATACACTGCAATCGGAATTAGGTCGTAGAACAAGTAGAACGTGATAATAGCCAACCCCATCAACGATGTTAGTAAAGCACAAACGCCGATATCACTTATCTTATGGACCGATGCAAGATAAATGTGTAACATTTCGTAAACCCGCCACATCAATCCTAAGGAGAGTTTTCCAAGTCACAGTTATCCCATAAGGAAGAAGACGAAATCCACTATAGCATTCACGAAAACGAACATGAGGGTTCCGATTCTGAGAAACTCAAGGACGCAAATTGTGCAGAAAATACTGCGCAAGATGAAAATCTTGAATGAATGGTCTTGAAACATTCTGTCTGGCATTAACGCTTTAAGCGCGTAAACGTAAGCATCCAAATCGAAGCGAGTTCCTAAGAAACAAGTGAGGACACCACAAATGGGAATAACTCTGATGACCAAGACAGAAACACGTGTGAAAACCTCCAGCAAAGCGGGTTTCTTCGTCTCCGCCGTCGATACTGCAATGAAATTAATGAGGTTAATTTAGGTTATCCCAGTTAAAAATTAGATGTCAGAAATTTATTTAGGTATAGGAGTCGCAGAGTTGGATATTTAGGTAGAGGGTGTAACTCCGAGAAAACATCGTTAGATTTGAACGAAGAAATATAGGTACATTGATAATCGATAAGGCGATAATAATTTTATATGATGCATTAATCATCACCAAATTTACACACAATTCGTTTGTGTTAATTTTGTGCATATTTTGTACAAGTATGTAAACATGTAATGACAATTTTTTGGTACGAATTTAGCAAATGCGACTTGTACAAAAAAGCACGAATCAGCTTCACATTTTCATGGTAAATACGATATAAAAGAAATAATCCCCGAAAACCGCAGAAATGGCTGATAATAATATTCTCGGAGGATGGAAAAAGTTATATGAATTCCTTAGAACGCTTCGCGGTGAAGCAAGTGAAGAAATAATCCACGATATAAAGAAATTGGAATCATTATACAAACAAGATATTCATTTGATAAATCATATCATATTCCTGAGGCGCTGTAAGAAACATGGTATCATGCCAAAAGGGCTACAACTAACGGAATTTCCGAGAAGATTCGGACCTCATGAAAAAATGAACAAGATGCAACAACACACTGAATCAAGACTACTAAGTTGCATGATAAATATCAACTACACCAAGTCGAACAAAGTTCAAATTGATATTACCAAACTAAGATCAAGAATTCGTTCAGCAATCCCGTCATTGTGGAATTGGGTTTGTAATTTAATGAACACAATGAGAAATATCGTCCACTTAAAAATAAGCCGAACCCAGAAATACAAATTCAAAACATTGATGGAGAAAAATGTGGATCAATTTTTTAGCAAAATTTATCAAACCAATAAGGACCTACTATGTAAACCGACTATCAACAACATGTCATCTCGTCCCCTCACAAAGTTTGAAGAACAATTGCTCAATTTAGGACTAAATTTTTCACTACACTGCAAAAAACGCCCGTCGGTATTTCAGTACGGACGTATCAAAAATCGCATTGCGAGCCATCCGTACTTAAATGAAGTACAATTGCACTCCGTGCAAGTAGGAATGTATTTAAATTTAAGTACGGATGGCTCGCAATGCGATTTTTGATACGTCCGTACTGAAATACCGACGGGCGTTTTTCCCGTGTACCCGTAAAAAATGTCGGATACACAATGTGCGACACTGCTGCTACCATCGAACTTCGCATGATGGATATGGAACTGACAGATCATCAGAAAAATAATATCAGAACCGGAGTAGCGAAGATAATGTCTCAAAACATTCATAAAGAGAATATAAAACAACGCTGGGAAGCCTGGATAAGAAATTCAATCAAATCACTATTAGAGGATGACACAATTTGCATTACAAAAGCCGACAAAGGAAATTCTGTTGTCATAATGGACAGAAATAAATACATAGAAAAAATGTCATCCATGATTGAAACAGGCCATATCGTCGTACTAATTCTATAAAGACCGAAGTGCAGTCAATAGTTAATTTTAAAAAGACCGAAGTGCAGTCGATGATTAATTTTAAAAAGACCGAACTACAGAAAAAAAATTCTAAAAAGACCTAAGTGCAAGCATGTATTTACTTATGGATATATCTTGCCAAAACGATTCTTCATATATCGCGCGACTTAGCCATAAGTAAATACATGCTTGCACTTAGGTCTTTTTAGAATTTTTTTTTCTGTAGTTCGGTCTTTTTAAAACTATTCATCGACTGCACTTCGGTCTTTTTAAAATTAACTATCGACACTTCGGTCTTTATAGAATTAGTACGACGATATACAATTTTAAATCACGATCCAACTCCACTATATGCCAAATCGGTAGCTGAAAAGTGCCACAAATTGACAGAGCTAAAACTTCTACCAGAGAATTTGTTGGAAAAAACCCCAAGATCACCAATTATCTATGGAGCCCCAAAGATCCACAAGAAAGACATTCCTTTGAGACCAATTGTTGACTACCGCCACTCTCCAACTTACAAATTATCCAAATACCTAGCAAACATTTTAACGAAAGTTGCTTCAAATCACGAGTTCACCATTTAAAACTCTGCAGAATTTGTTGAAGAATTAAAGAAAAAAAGATCTCGGGTTGGGGACACAAAAGTTTCCTTTGACGTTACATCACTGTTTACGATGGTGCCAATTCCAGAGACTCTTGAATACATCAAGCAGAGATTAGAAGAATATCCAGATCTAAAAAAATTGACTTCACTACCCATCGACGAGATCATGTCACTCCTGGAATTATGCACATCCTCTTCATACTTCCAGTTTCAAGATAAATACTAGAAACAAAACTACGGTACTTCGATGGGATCACCACTATCTCCAATTATAGCAGAATTTTTCTTACAAAAATTGGAGTTAACCAAAATTAAGAACAACCGAAGAATTTACTTTTGGAGACGCTACGTGGATGACGTACTGTGCATAGCCAGAGGAAGAAATCAAGAAAAAATACTCCAAGACATTAATAGTTTTCATCCCTCCATTCAATTCACAAAAGAGGAAGAAGTTGACTAAAAATGATTCCTCCTTAGGTCATTATGTATATAGAAAACCAACCCAAACGTGTCAGTACCTCAACTTCCGGTCATTTCATCCGCGAGCACATAAAATCGGAGTTATTGACACCTTGCTGACTCGAGCCATCAGACTTTCAGATGACGAACACGTGAAGGATGAAATTCAATTAACCAAAATCATTCTCATGAAAAATGAGTATCCACCATCGTTAATAAATGACAGACTAAGAAGAGTCGAAAAGAAATGTCTACAACCTCGTCCCAATAACAAAAAAGATGAAGAAGTCAAGAAAAGAATTATTCTTCCCTGGACCGGAGACGTGACATCGAAAATTGCTTCATATTTAAGAAACAAAATGGACTTAGATATTGGCTACTTTCCTGGTCCTAAAATTGGGTCAATTATATGTAATGCCAAACAGAAATTGGAAAAACCAAGAGCAGGAGTTTACAGTATGCAATGTAATTCTTGTCCTGCTGTGTATATCGGTGAAACAGAACGAGATTTTATGATCAGAATTACCGAACATCAGAATGACATCAGAAGAGAAAGTACAACCTCGCCTGTCGCCGCTCACATGATAGAAAACGACCACCAACTGGATCCTAACTCTTTTAAACTAGTTGTCCCAGAACAGAGAAGATTCTTCAGGAAATTTAAAGAAGCTTTACACATTAAAAAGCTAACGAACAAAATCAACATATCCAATGGAGTCAACATCAATCCAATCTGGTCCTCAACACTTCTGAATTTTTTATAATTTAATCGTGACCAAGTAACATTTTTTAGAAACTATTTTTCCAAAAACATGAGTTGTCAAAAGAATGAATTGTTTAAATTTTATCCGAAATCTTTGTATTCTTGCCTGACGAAGATGACAGTAGTTCATTGAAAGCTAGCAATTTTCAAAAATAAAATCAAGTAATAATCCCCGAAAACCGCAGAAATGGCTGATAATGATATAAAAGAAGTACAAATTTAATGCATTAGTTGCAGATTTTGGTTACTTGGGATTGTACGGTACTATGGATGTGAAGACAAATCTGGATACCTGTTTTGAATGTGAGGCGTACATATGTATTTAAGTCGTAGTCAATTTTTCATTTAAATGCTTGCGACTTTTTTAAATCAAAACTATTGTATATTGAAAAAACAAGCTAAAAATTAGGAATCGCACAGGGTTTACGATTAGAATTCCATTAAAGGACGCCCGTGTTGAAAAATATTGGGGTCAAAGTGCATACCAACGACATTGATGACTGAAGGAGCTTCGCTTGAATAGATGGCTACTTACTATATATTTTATGTATCTCGTGGGATCTAGTAACCGTAACTCATATAGCATGAGGATTGTTTCCCCTTCTAGTCAGATATTGGTAGTTCATGTACCAACGAGTGCCTTGGTTTTCCCCACGTTTGGGGAAAGGGAGAGAATATTTACCAAAAAATTGAACTTTACCACTGGTGGTAAAGAAAAATATTGGTCAATATTTTTCTTCAGTGCAAAGATACGCGCCTTGTAATCGCCTTTTCGATATAATTAGATTGCTCGGCGTGGGAGGATATTTTTCTAAAATTGAATTTATTGACAACATACTTCAAAGAATTTGTAACTTTCAAATTTCATTTTGTAATTTTTCCATCGGCTTTTCCGTATAATTCTTGAGCAAGTTTTTCCCTCTCTCTCTTCATCATTCCTCTAGCTCCCAATTTTTTTCCAAGTTTATGCCTTTTTGGGGCCAACAGAGATTCAATTCCCTAATTTGTAAAAATGTACTAATTAAAGACTGGTAACACCTTAAAGAGCAAGATTGGATACCCACTAAACAATCCGGTAATAAAACCATACCTTTTCACTTTCACTCATATGATGACTGATTATGATAGAGAATGAAAATATATTTCCTGCCATTTGTATGAAATTGAGTGAAAGATGCAGTAATTTCAAATGATTGAGTATGAATGAAAGGATTTCCCACTCCCTTCATTTTTCACCTCATGCTTAGTACATGGAGCGAAGTAAGAAATGAAGCCCGATGGGTGAAATGAAATGAGTTTGAATGAAAATGACAATGCGATGGTGTGAAGTGTAATCCTGCGAGTTGGTTGAAATTTCGAAATTGTGGTCCACGTTAATACAACCAAAGTTTCTTGAGGAAGTTTGTGCGATAGTCAAAATTTTCAAAGATATTTGAGGTTACAGTTAAAAAGCGGGCAATTTTTAGCACGGGAAGAGAATGGAAGTTTAGTTTGCTTCCTCCGCCTGGTAAAAATCGCCCGTTTTTCAACCTTGACCTCAAATATTTTGCCAAATTCTGACCATCGCACAAACTGCCTCAAGAAATGTTGGTTGTATGGACATGTAATACATCATTTCGAAATTTCAACCAAATCGGAGGGTCACACTTCACACATCGCATTGTGAATGTGAATGAAAATCCTCACTCAGAATTCGGAATGATTGAAGTTTGAATGAAAAAGTTTTGTTGAACAGGTATGCTGGTAACTTGTAGAAATTATTACCGGATTGTTTAGAGTGTACAAAAACAAAATGCTTACTTGACCACTAAATCCATTCCCTCTCCCAAATTTGCACTGCGTTACGTAATATTCTGCATTATATTTTTGCCCGTCATATTTAAAATCTTGCGCAATCATTCCTGTGGCGTCTTTTATGACATCATTTTGATCCTGAGGAGATTTCCCTTTGGTGCAAAAGTGACGTTCAAAATTATTCACGCGGCACAAGTTCCCTTCCAGCACTTTCTCCAATTCAGATTTGACCACGGAAACTTTGGCGTTCGCGTTTTTACCCGCGGCGGGATAAACTTGCATGTTATAAATCCATTCTCGCTCGTTTTTATCCTTCCCGGCATATATTCCCCAGTGGCTGAAGCCCCCTTTTCGCTGAATTTCGATGATGTCGCCAATCTCCGCGGTTAGAAGGGCAAGCCAGGAAAATCCTGTGAAAATTGAGGTGAACAATCAAACAATTAAGATGTTAATCTTTTAGCGAGGGTGATTAACCACAAGAAAATTCATTAACAATGGAACCTTTCATCACGCTACACTGAAGTCGGTTAGCGAGTTATACTAAAAAATCAAGTAAAAAAATACGAGTCACGTGGCCATTAATTTTTTGCATAAATTTTCTATCGCCTTCCCTCCACCAGGCAAAGCCGAGACACTCGTGGGGACTTGGCCCTCAATATTTTTCTTCAAAAGGGAAACGGAAAACGGAAATATGAGTGTCACGTGGTTCCTAATTTTTGGCTTAATTTGTTGATGTAACTCTCTACATAATCTTGGTTTAGTTTGAAAAAAGGTTCCATTGTTAAGTAATAATTACAATGGTTAAGTTGTTTAGAATTATTTTTACTTACGTTCCATTTTCTGATGTGGTACTTTTTTGCACAATTAATTAAGAATTCATGGACTGCATAAATAAAAAATGTGTATGTGTAGATAGATTTTGTGTATGTCGGGTGTTCTCTTTGTAGGCACGGTAAAGACTAGAGTGCGTAATATTGATTTAAATGGAGACGATTTTTTTGGATGAACTGAGGAGTCTGTATTTTTAGAAATTGGACCCCATCCAGGTAGACAGCGAGAGTGAGAGTAAGCGTAAGATATGAATTGCAAGGCAATAAAGGAGATAAAGATTGAGATAAGTGAAGAATCAAGATATGCAAATCTTTATTCCGCAAAATGACCCATTTTATCGACCATGAGAGCTTTTAAATGTTGCATTCTTCTATTCAATCAAAGGTCACGAAGTGAGATAGATATGGCCTCAAGGTGAAAGTGAAAAGCAGGTTTCCCAAGAAATTCTAGGATTTACATGAAAATAAATGTCCCTGCATTCTTCATAAAAAATGAACCCAGTGGCCCAACTACCACATGCATGAAAGGGATTTACAAATTGAACATCATTCTCTGAGAAAAAACATTTTTGGTAAAAAAAAATTGTCAAAATTCCTTATAGAGTTGTTAAAAAGGCGCAAATCATAAATTTTTTACCGGGAGGAAGATAAATACTGCAAATAATCCCCGCTATCGTATCATTGAAAAATTCGAGACAAACTTCAAAAGCTAATATCCTAATGAAGCATAAACAACGAATGTATTCAAGTAAATGTGGAAATAAGTTCACATTGTCTTGGGAACAAGTTCGGTCCAAGTATATGGCAATTTTTTTTGTAACTTTCAAGAACAAAAAAGTGGGGGTGGTGGCCAGACTGGGGGTGGAAGAAGCTATTGTTGATGTTGATTTGTAGACAAATCGAATTGAAGCACATGCAAACTTGCCCATTTTCCTGCTTCTAACCACATTTGGTGCACACAAGGTGCAAAAAGCTTGTGACAGATTTGTGGGGGGATAAGTGTCAAAGCATATCTACATATCCTTCCATGGTAATTTTAAAATGGGCCTTCACGAGGGGGGAAGGGGTCAAAATTTTCCGAAAATGGATCACATGCTCTATGTACGGCCCCAACCGAGAAACTTGCTCCTTGCCATTAACACGGACCAGGTTACCTTTCTCGCTAGGGGCCGTACATAAAGCATGTAATTGTTTTTCGAACAATTTTGACCCATCTCCCCCTCCCCTCGTGTCACTGATACGCCGCATGTTATACCTAACATCGGCGTATAGGACGGATCCCTAAGAAGGATAGGACGCCTTGACCCATGTCCCAGTTCAAATCGATCACATGCTTTCTGCACAGTCCTATACATACGCATGAATGTATGTGCTTATTGATCTACTTGTGCACAAGTTGGTTGCATAATACATATGTACATATGCGACCAACTTACATAAAAACATATTTACATATTATGTACACATCTAACAAATCATTTACAAATTTACTCTTTATTCATTTTACTCTCTCTTAAGGTTATGTATGTACGCCAAATGTAGAAAATATAAAATCTGTCATTATGTATAAGTAATTTTCACATGAAAAGTTACTATGTATTTACAAGATTACACGTTATTTTTAAAACATATGTATGTACATATCTGCACCAAAAAAGCGAGAACAATACAGTACTTCTGCATGTATTTGCAAAGAAAAAAGTCTTTCAAAAATGTTCTGAGTTGCATAAATTTGCACATTAATTCGTAATATTCTTATGTGTCCATACATTTATCCATAATTTCAATTTAATTTTGGTGAATTTTCACCAGTAACTCAAGTTCCGTATTAGTTGGTTATTATTTATTCTAAAAATAATCTTCATTCGAAGAATTGATGGTTAGGTAAAGGCTTACGCAGTTGTTTCACAAAATGTCAAGGCAAATGTGCTCGCACGTGCATATTATCTACTTGTGTATGTATGTATAATCAAGTATGTATAATTATTTATCCTTAATTTATCGGTTGGACTGTCAGTATAATTAAAACTAATCCAAATATTCAAAATTTCAAAGTACATATACATATTTTATTTGTATTTTAATTAAAGATCTTAAGCATTTAGGTTTTGAAATTTCAATAATAAAATTTGAAAATGCGCAAGTAATTGGTTTTCCTACTACATTGACATAATTACTAGCTTACATATTTATTTGGAGAAGCTATGGAATGATAATTCTATTAAGATACATATGTAATTATTTAGCCATTTTACTTAATACAACCTACACTAGGGAGCAATATTATTCGGACAAGAGGAACCCCAAAATTCAAATTGCCATAAATGATAAACTGGCGAGGATACCGATTGCAATTCTTTGTAAATTTACAGACAATTTAATACTCTTCCAATTGTATCAAACCTATTTTTGAAGAAAGTTAAAATTTCCAAATAAATCAAGCAACACTAAAAACATCAGAAGAAAGAGGGAAAAATTATTTGGGCGGAATTAGTTTTTATTCCATAACGGCGTATGACTTTTGATTAAAACAGGTCATTTTTCGGAGAAAGTATAAGCATTTTGTTACGTCTTTGAATGTTTGCAGTGCAGTAGTTTTCAGTTAATCTGTATTTTTTAATATAGTACAACGGACGTATGGTGTGCTCATTTAAATATTTAAGATACTGCGCGCCATAGGCTTTGCATGCAAAAAAGTCTCAGTTAAATGATCACGTCATAGAAGGATGCAGTATAAAGCAACGGGAAACTTCGCTTTTCGTCTTCTTCCCACTGTCACACCCCTTTCCAATTAGATAATGTACAAGCCCGTGAACAGGAGCACTAATCTTTGCAGCCTTGCTTCCTATTCCTATGATTTTTACAGGTTTAAACTTAGAAAAATCATGCAGGTTATAACATGGTTTATTACTTAACCTCTTGAAGACGAAGGGCTACTATTGTTGCATTTTGTTTTAATTCCTGAGATACGATAAACCACTATTGTCGCCTTTTTAAAATGTCCCATGGAGACTAAAGACGACTTTTGTCTCTAAGTCAAAACATCCCCGTGAGACGACGGTCGACTATAGTCGACTCAAAAAAAATATCCTGGAGACGACGATCGACTTTTGTTGCCATAATATTTTGATTTTTCTATGAAAATCATAATTTATAGCCCGAGTCAGGGCTTGTGTAGCCGTCATAGTGGTCTGTCCGTCTAAAAAATTTCGTCTGGGGTGATCCCATACCGAATTTGAGAAATCATTCTAGCTGAAATCTGGCGCAGAGGTTGCAAATGGCTCCTGATGGAAGAATACGGGTGAAATTCGTAAAATTTTTATGTGACTCTAGGTGACCCAAACTGATTTTCAGAAATGGTCTTCAAAAGCTGAAATTCGACATGGCGATGCTTAATGGCTCCTTATCAAAGGGTGTGAAGTTAAAAGTGAGGAACGTGTAACCAGAGTGACCCATACGAGTTTTTAAAAGTTGTTATTTTCAGCTGGAGGCTGCACATATTTTAGCTACCATATCAGAGTTATTTCTTACCATAACTCTGATAGTATGAAAAATTTCAGCATTTTTTTCATCAACTTTAAAAAAGTAATACAAGTCATCCTTTTAGGTATATATAAATTCACAGAAGTATCTTGAAATGTATTTCATATTCGTAAATTGTTCACCTTCGTGCCAAGTTTTAGTCTTCTATGACCATTTTCGAAAACCAGTGGGGGTCACCCTATCGGGTTCCCCTAAGAATAATTAGGTCGCTGACGATATATTTTTAGTTAACTACGCAAATATGACGAATGTCACAAATTTCGACCTTCTACGACCTTCTACGACTCGTTGTTTATCTCAAGTCCTTGGAAAGACTGATCGACGGACGGACGTATCCGACGGGCACATAAGTCATGACTCCCGCTAACAATTGTTCCAAAATCTAAAATCGATTTTTATCGTCTCTAAGGAATTATTCGTATTTTTAATTTCGCCTCTGATAAGTGTTCGGCAATTATCACTGGCGCCCCCGTAGTAACGCCAATGAGTATCTTTGGCGTCTTTGGGGGAAGTTAGGGATAATAAACGCAGTACGGAAGAGGTTAAACCAGCGGCTTTTAACTTATCAGTTCAATTTTCGTTGAATTCGCGGCTTAATGAAGAAAATTCGAATAATTTGAGCGAACAATGCTTGTTTTCTATCTCACAAAGTATTAGGCTTGGGGTGGAATGATACAAAAAACATCGTACCCTGTTATATTGTCTACTAATTGCAACAAAAGCTTTGGAATACCTTGTATTGTTACTCATTAATTGACTTTTGAATTGAATTTTGAGGTTACTCTTGCCAGTATAATAATGCTCTCTAGTGTATACATGAAATTCTATAACAATTCCTCTCTTCACAACACTACTTAATTAATAATAGTAATTACTGTAACATATTTGAGGAATTTCGTAAACAATTTCACCGTGGATTAAGAAGTTCTGAATTCTTCGCAGACAACTGTCAGAGTCAGGCATAACGAGCTTTGTAAAGAAGCGAGCTTGATTAATAAATAATAATAACTGAACTTTAGATAAGCAAATCCGGGAAAAATCTACAAGGATTAAATACATTTATAAAAAATGAAATACGTGTTGCAACGCTACCTCCGCATCACAGAGTATCTCAAGTGCTTACCAGTCAAATGGTGCTCGGTCAAGGGCATAATTATTATAAGATCACCAAATCAGCAAAAGCTCGTCATTTTGACCATACTTGTCCACTTCTTGGCAACGTTATGTCGCCTATATTCCACTACATTGTACCCATCCAGCATTCTGAACCGTGCCGAGGCTGCATTTGGGGCGATACTATACGTGTTCATGTTCATTCTACGATTCGATATTCCAGTCGACTACGGTACGGTTGATATCGTAAATTTTATGATCACTTCCAATAACTCGGAAACCCGTAAGTCACCAAATCCACGAAAACAACTAGCTCAGTTTACCAGAGTGGGGAAAATACTTTGTGAAAATACATTGTGTTGAGCTCCGTAATTTTGAGCGTTTGGATTTCCTCAGCTACTACAACCACAAAAAGGCGAAAATATAGATCCATAATACAAAATTAACACGAAAACATGGATTTTCTTCAATTTTTGTAGCTGACAAAACACAATGTGATCATTTCCTAAAAATAAAGTATTTTTGATCAGGATAGAAAGTTAGTTACTATAGGAAACCCGTATTTTCGACTGACGGTTTATGTCCATTCGGTGGGCATTGTAACCCTGGAAATAAAAACACTCCGAAACACAGAGCACAAGATTTTTTATTCCCGTTAAGTATTCTTCCCACCTCTGGAATTTACATAAATCGTGTAAAATCTTACATATTTCTGTTTCAGCCGGGAGCCAGGGTTCCAAAATAAATGCGTGCATTAACTTCTTCACATACGCTGTGGGAACGACCGTCGTCATACTCAGATCGGCCCTGTATTTTTGCGTGACTTCGTCCAAGGATGACTTAATTGACAGCAACCAGTCCAGCATCAAGTTAAAGTTGCAGGAAATGTGGTCTGCAGAGCAAAATATTATTACTCATTGTGAAATTTGAGTTTTCCAAAATTCCAAAATTTATAATAATGAATAAAAAAAAACCTCCAAAATAGTGTTGCCACTTGTCCACAATTTCTCCAAGTTTGATTTCCGATTTAAGAACCGTATCCTTCAAGAATTTCAGGTCTCTGAGCAACTCCGACAAATCTGTAGGGCTGGTTTCATCGCTAAAATTAATTAATCAACCAATTAATCTGGTGATTTAGATTTTAAACTTAATTACATTACCAATGCATAAATTCTTCCTCCTGTTTTATTTCTTCAGGATTAATCAATTCCTCCTCGTCTTGGTAATCCATTTTTGCCGATATTTCTGAAATACAAAATAATACGATCGCAAAATGTTAGAAGAAATCAAATCCAGTAGTAAAATAATTCTGATCTGCTATAAATTTTTAATAATTTCAATACCTATCGGTAACAAATTTAACATGTGCAGTGTGCCAGGTCCACACCGGAATTAATTTAATTGTGAAATAATTTTAAAACCCAAACTTTAGAAATGGACAAAATTCAAATCTTTTCCGTTTAATTTACCTGAGGTGAATCCTGTATGAATTTTTGTATTTTCACAAAATCATTAAGTTATAAGTAGTTAAAAACTTGTCAACTACGTAATTAGATACATGGGGCAGCCATGGACATATAACTTATAACTTATAATTATGACGTATAACTTATTTTATAAGTTATAAGTCATAGAAACTCCATAAGGCGACGTATATTTATAATTATAAGTTAAGTTATACCTCATAATTTTAAGTTATAAGTTATATGTCCATGGCTGCCCCATGTATCTATTATGAAATATTAAATTCAGTATTTGTGGCAAATTTTAAGAGATTTTTCGCATTTTGTATTTTGTTGTGGAGCGATTATGGTTACGTGGATAGTAAAATTATTCCGGTTAGGAAAAATTAGGTTCCACGATGCTTCGTTGATTTTTTAATATAACTTGATACACAATCACGGTGTATATCATAACAAGAATCACAACCAAGAATTGCGCTGTGGTGTGTGTGTGTGTGTGTGTTACCCTGGACCCAGATTCACTAACTTAGACCGAAATTTTGGCTTAAGCTTAAGACTGTGTTAGACCGATCTTAAGACGGGTTTTATCCCCAATTCAGCACTTTTTTCAAATCGGTCTTAGATGGTCTTAAGCTTAAGACGGGTTCAAGAACGATTTCATAAGGCGCGAGAGACTAAAGTCTGTCCAACCTGCGTGGGATATATAATGTATCCACCCCCAACCATCTCACTTTCTCTCACAACAATACTCGGTCGAATAATTATGTTTTTGTTGACATTTTGAAAGCATCAGGTCCCTTGTTCTCCTTTCCTTACCCCCACTTGTTAACGTGGCAAGTACGACAACATTCTTCGGGCTGATTAAAATCAAATCAAATAAAATTTACACAAAATGGATTTTGGAGTTCTTTTAATTTTTCAAACTAGAATAAACATTTGTACAACTATTTATGACAGATTTGCCGCATATTTAAAATATTTAAAATCTACACTATCCAGCATCTTCTCTACATCGACTCTGGCCTTATGGCGCTGGTCTAACGACGCCTGAAGAATCTAATATATCGTCGTGCCGATTTCCTGCCTTATTTATCGTTAGCTATATTTGGCTGCAACAAAATGACAAATAAACAAATATAGCCGTCATTAAATTAAACACCAAGCAAGCTTGTGGATATTAGTTCTTCATCTTAAATTTCTTCAGTTTAGACGGATCAAAGAGAATTCTTTCGTTGCTGAGGTTTAAATGGTGCCGTCTGTGCCATCCGGTATTACAATTCCTCCAAGAAAATTTGTGACGTTTATTCCAAATGAGCCAGCGGCTTATGGAAGGCCAGCGCTACTTCAAACTTGAAGCTGAAAAGGAAAATACCATTTGTTAGAATTAAGTGTCTTCCATGAACGAATTTTGCATTCTAATATAATTGAGAAACACATTGTCATTAATTAGTTACATTTCCTAGCAGTGGCTAAAATATTTACCTTAAATTTGATTGTAGTAAATGTTAATGATTTTGTCCCGTAATGGTTCGTGGACATGCGCGAGCGGGATGTCCTTTTCAATACGTGAGTTGTGAAGCGTAGTAACACTCGCTGCCATCAATCCAATTTTCATTCTTGGTAACACGATGTGATTCCTCTCCTACTTATCATACGCTTCTCAGTGGGACCTACAAAAGTTCTTTAATTATGGGTCAACCAACATACTTAGGAGTAGAAGGTCGCAACTTGACGGCGCCCGATTTTGATCTCCTTTGGATATGTTGTAGTACTATATGAGTATAGAAAAAGTGAAGGAGGGTTAGACTCCATGAGCCCATTTACGCCCGCCACTCCCCCTCAAAGGCGCACAAACCCCCAGAGTTGCCGCACTAAATTCATCGCCAAAAATCTAGTTTTGGTCAGATTCTCAAGAAATTTACATTTTTGTGATCCCAGATAGTTGCACTATCATATTCAATAGCAAATTCAACTTTTTTGAAATTTTCAATATTTTCGAAGATTTTCTGACCAAGGGTATGTATTGAAAAAATTTGAAATTCAAGAAAAGTTGAGTTTGGTATTGGATATGATAGACCAACTATCTGGGATCACGAAAATATAAATTTCTTGAAAATCTGACCAAAACTAGATTTTTGGCGATGAATTTAGTGCGGCAACTCTGGGGGTTTGGGCGCCTTTGAGGGGGAGTGGCGGGCGTAAATGGGCTCATAGAGTCTAACCCTCCTTCACTTTTTCTACGCTCATATAGTACTACAACATATCCAAAGGAGATCAAAATCGGGCGCCGACAAGTTGCGACCTTCTACTCCTTAGACATTAAACGTAATCAGATTTTTCAAGTACCGATGGTGCGTTGCACAACACTACTCGTTTCTTGGATTGGTTACATCACAATTTATAATCTTTCTCAGCTTATTATCTGCATAAAGGTCAGCAACAAGGCTCCAAAGGTTCAGAATCTGCCATAAGAGATAAATGTTACTTGATGTCAGCGCAGGTAATTCTGCCAGCACATGGTTTAATTTTTTACCATTCAAAAAACATCCTGTGGGATGTTATAGCGTAATCGCCAAATTTTTTGGTTCGCCAACGCTGGTATGATTCCTATCACTACATTGACGCTGGCCTCATGGCGCTGGCTTAATCCAATGCATCTGCGGGCTGAGTTCCTGTATGTTTGTATTTTACTGTAAATAGAACAACAAATCAATAAACAAATCGGGTATCAAATTAAGTATCTAAATAAGCCCGCACAAATGAGTTCTTCATGCACCTTGTTGAAGTTCCAATTTCTTGCGAGCAAGAGCCTGCATTCTGATACAATGTGCACAATGTTTTTAAAAACTACTACTTGTTCTTGTAAAGCTACTTGTCGCATCAACTTTGTTTATGTTCCATCTTCGAAATTCGACTTTCGTGTTAATGTGAGTTTTTTATGGTTGGTGTTGAGGAAGGTTCCGGCACATGCACTGGCTGGCAAGGCTCTGGCAAAGGACTACGTTAGTAGGAGAGGGGGAAAATTATCTGGCATTTATTCAACAATTAAAATTACTAATTAATTAAATATTTTATTTCCACAAAAACAACAAAAAATAACATGTGTTATTCCTCTCGCAATCGCACAGAAACTAAGCTTAAATCTCAAAGTTAGACAACTCCGGAGGAGGTTTGAGATTTGGCCTTACTTTGAGCTAGCTTTAGTCTAACTTTTTGGTAGTGAATCGACCTATTCACTAACTCGGTCTCAATTTTGTCTTGGGCTCAAATTTTGCTAGATTTTGTCTTAAGACAGGTTTAAACCGAGTTAGTGAATTGGATTTTGTCTATAGAATGTCTACAGACCAAGAATATTTCTTAGTGAATCTGGGTCCAGCAGGCTCAGGATTTGAGATTTGCTTCGTCCCAGACAAGAAAGTCGAGGGGGAACTTGAACAAACAAATCTTTGTCTCGAGAAACGCAGAAAATCAGAGAATTTGCACTTTTCATGCATATTTAAATATTTATGAAAAAATAAGAAGTTTAATAAAGTGGCGATGAATAATTTTTTCAGGAAATCCGTAAAAATTATACCCGGTGTTTCAAACTACTATTTACATACATATTTATATTTGTCCATATTGTACCTATGTATGTACGTACATGGTTACATACATATGTGCGTATGTATACGCACTTTTTATTGATTTTTCTTGCTCGCATTTGAAATGTGAGCAAGAAAATTTTCACATTTTCCCTACAAACTTAAACAGCTGGCTCGACGTGATGATTTCAAAGCAGGATTTTTTTTTCACTGCATTATAAAACTTGGAAAAATACTTATTTGACCAGTTCTTTGGGTGGACTCACGTCAAAGTCGTGTCAATCTCACAATTGAACTTTATTCTCTCGTTTTTTGTCAGTTTGCAGAATATTCTAAACTTTAAAAAGTAATTCCTCCGTGTACATACACAAATTCTCACGAGGCAAAATTTGCTGACAAAAAATCTGCGAAATCTTTTCCGATTCTGCAGTATCCTGAAATTTCTGCACGTGTCAAAATAAATACACGCACGTCAAAAAAAACGATATTTCTTCAAGCTTAAAAAGCTGTAACCTTTTTTAAAAAATGGAAGAAATCAGCATACTTTTGACCGAGCCTGAACCAAGGGGTACTTTGCCCCCTCTGCGGAAATGCAATGTGGAGCGAAAGGAGCCAAGTGGTGGGGGATATTCCGTGCCCCCGAGGAAGTGCAGGGTTTCCCTGGTCGTAACGTCGGCGTCCTTTCTGGGCACGGTTGTTTCCATGAGATTGGTCGCCATGGCCAGAACGTCGTCCCCCGTGGCGTGGCCGTCATTTCTGACCGACTTGGCGAAAATATATGTCGCCTTTTTCGCCATCATTGAAGCAATTAATATGTTACTGGAATGGTGTGACGGTAAGTTTGTGGTTTACACTCTTAAAAATTACAATGGTACCATTTTTAGCAGTATAAATTTTGCATGGATTAAATCTTGTATTTACATAATGCCACCTTTAAAGATTTTTGAATGTTAGGCAATGCAATCGGATTACAGATTATATGTTTTGTATTACTTTGTTCAAATTAATTTTGGTTCAAAGTTAAATACGATATGCTCACACAGTATATTTCGCAGTTTTTTTTCCACCATGCAAATGTATATTGAGTGATTTTATGTACTCCGGCTTTGGTGCCATAAGATGTGGGCGGAATTTAGAAATTTTTCGTAATCCGAAAAATAATCCGTGGGCAGATTATGTAACCCATACATAATTTCGCAGACCAGTAGTACATATCTCAAACGTAAGCCTAGAGACATCGATTTAAAGCAACATCGTCCAAATCACATGAAAATTATTGCTAAATTATTAATCTATACATAATCCGCAATCCATCAAAACTGTGGGATTACCTGTGCCAGGATTAAATACCAGTTTTCTAAGAACGTATTAATATAATCCTATACAGATTTCTGCATGTCTTATTTCCAGAAAAATTTCGTCCAAGGTGGATTTTCTGTGACAGATTTTCCCTCGCGTGGGGTCAGACCAATGACAAACTTAATTTCCAGGCCCTATTTTCTATGACGTGGTTTAGCAAACCGCACCCTCCGGAACATGGACCAGAACGCGCTCATTTTACCAAGTTCTTATCCAACCTCTTGGAATCCTTGGACTCTAAATTGACCCAAATTTTTAAAAATGTTGGTTATCAAATTTGGAAATATTTTTAATACACTTTTAAAAATACTTGCACCATTTTTAAAAGTAATTGCACATTTAATTAAGTGAAAAATACGAAATCCTGAGTAAAAGTTCAGCCACACAGGTTTTGGAATAGTTTGCTTAATACCTTGGGTGAAAAATTTAAGGGATTTTATGTATAAATTTGGCAGGGTTTTATGCAGAGAATTGGCTGGATTTTATGCAGAAAAATTAATGCCGAAACAATTTGTGCACAAAATGTGCAGAATTATGAATTATTGTGCAAAACCTTTCTGCAGAATATACCTGTCAGAAGTTTTTTGCAGAATCGTTCATACTTTTTCTGCACAAACAATTGGTCCTGGAATTTGTGTCGAATTATGTCAAATTCGATGTACGATTTTCATCAGGGACCGAATTTACAGTGTATTTGCTCTTCAAATGTGTGTCATTATTTTTAAGAGGATGTGAAGTTAGGTTTTTTCTCTATTTAAATATTTTTGTCAATCAGAATTTATCCAGTAATGAGTTGGACGTTTACATCGCAGCGGTTCGCCTTTGGTCGATTTCTCCCCCGTCCGACAGAGATGGGGAAATTAGATCGAAATGGGTCAATTTTCTGAACGAAATGGCAACATTTGTGGAAGAACGGTAAGGTTTGTTTTCTTTTTCAATTTGAAATTTTGACAGGAAAATTAATCAAGTTTTAAGTCATAGATATTAATATATTGACACCGGCGTTGCTGATTTTGCAAATTTTTGTTTTGAGTGAACTAGATATTTTTTCTTACGCAAATTTCATTCTTGTCCAGGAATAAGGAATCCGAGGTGCCCAAGAAATAAATGAATCCAAGGAAAAATAAGATTCGCTTAAATGTACAAAATTATTACTCCTCTAATTTAAAATAACTATGTATTACTTGATGCTATTGCAAATAAGACAAATATTTACCTTATTATGTGTGTAACGTATGTATATATGTAATAAACTTAACGTATTTTTTTTACTACATTTCATAAGTAACCATGTTATAAATATTTTATATCCATTCTTGACTGAAATCCTATCCAAAATAAAAATTAAGTTTAAAATCACTTACATTACGTACATACATACATAGATCGAGTACTCCGGGCTTGGAGTACGTACTCCGGCCTCCGGAGGCCGGAGTACGCGACTTTTTCCGGAGGCCGGAGTACGCGGAGGCCGGAGTACGCATGGCTGGCCGGAGGCCGGAGTACGCGGAGGCCGGAGTACGCATGGCTGGCCGGAGGCCGGAGTACGCGGAGGCCGGAGTACGCGGAGGCCGGAGTACGCGTGGGAGGCCGGAGGCCGGAGTACGCGTGGGAGGCCGGAGTACGCGGAGGCCGGAGTACGCGTGGGAGGCCGGAGGCCGGAGTACGCGTGGGAGGCCGGAGTACGCGGAGGCCGGAGGCCGGAGTACGCGGAGGCCGGAGTACGCATGGCTGGCCGGAGGCCGGAGTACGCGGAGGCCGGAGTACGCATGGCTGGCCGGAGGCCGGAGTACGCGGAGGCCGGAGTACGCGTGGGAGGCCGGAGGCCGGAGTACGCGTGGGAGGCCGGAGTACGCGGAGGCCGGAGTACGCGTGGGAGGCCGGAGGCCGGAGTACGCGTGGGAGGCCGGAGTACGCGGAGGCCGGAGTACGCGGAGGCCGGAGGCCGGAGTACGCGGAGGCCGGAGTACGCATGGCTGGCCGGAGGCCGGAGTATGCGGAGGCCGGAGTACGCGGAGGCCGGAGTACGCGGAGGCCGGAGTACGCATGGCTGGCCGGAGGCCGGAGTACGCGGAGGCCGGAGTACGCGTGGGAGGCCGGAGGCCGGAGTACGCGTGGGAGGCCGGAGTACGCGGAGGCCGGAGTACGCGTGGGAGGCCGGAGGCCGGAGTACGCGTGGGAGGCCGGAGTACGCGGAGGCCGGAGTACGCGTGGGAGGCCGGAGGCCGGAGTACGCGTGGGAGGCCGGAGTACGCGGAGGCCGGAGTACGCGTGGGAGGCCGGAGGCCGGAGTACGCGTGGGTGGCCGGAGGCCGGAGTACGCGGAGGCCGGAGTACGCGTGGGAGGCCGGAGGCCGGAGTACGCGTGGGTGGCCGGAGGCCGGAGTACGCGGAGGCCGGAGTACGCAAAATATCCGATCTATGCATATGCATACATACATATTAATTTTATATTAACCTTAGATAGTTATGTAAATCAAATTAGAGTCAGGTGAACTACTTAGCACAGCACATATTTGGGTTGAACACATTGCATCATTACGAATTATCGAGGAAGGAAATGCATATACCGGAAGACTGAATATGCACGCTGTTCTAAAATCGCAACCTTACAAAAATGCAGAACACACAATACACAGAACAAAAAATGGATTTATGTATCAATTTCTTACACATATTTAAATATATTTATGTATGTATCTACGCATGGATATGTTAGCATAATGATGAGCAAATAAAGCGAAATTTCGCACATTTACCAAACATTGTAAAGATTCAAACCTTTTCCATGAAATAAATTTGCGCATCCTTCCATGGCAAAATCCTTAACTCCAGCTAAACTATGGAAATACCTATCTATGTACCTATTTATGTGCATACACACAACCATGCATCATCTCCAAATTGTATGAATTTGCAAAAAAATCAGCAACACTACGTTCGTTCACCCACTTGACGATGCACCGTAAATTTGTTGGCTGGTGTAAATTTTTAATTAAAAAAAACTTGAAATTAATATTTGCCTCATTTTTGTATGAAAACCGTCAAATTCTTATCCGGGTGTCCAAACTGTATATGAATCTCCATTTGTGCCGATGGAGATGTGGGACTGTACAGAAAGCATGTGATCGATTGGAGGAGGAATGGGAACATAAAGGGATCCTATCCTTTCCATGATAAATAATTATAACATGGGACGTATTGGCTACACCGGGGGGGTTGGGGTCAAAATTTCCGGAAATAGATCACATGCTTTATGTACGGCCCCAGACACAAGTGGAGATACGTTCAGTCACAAAAAAGGGAAGAGTGTTTATGTTTATGTGCGTATACGCACTTATTGATTTTACTTTTTCACCTTTTTCATACAAAAACCAGCTGCCTAGCAATCACATCTGCTCGAGTTTCCAAACAGGATTTTTTTTTACTGTCAACTGTGTTCTAAAACTTGAAAAAATACTAACTTGATTTGTTTAGTACACTCTTAGAAAACTGGTCTTAAATCATTATCGACCGGAGTCCATGTGTGGTGTGACTCTACCCGCATTGGTAAATATTAACGAAAATTACCCTACAGGTAATGTTGAGGTAATGACAAATTTACCTTACATAGTTAGGAACAATTCACTATCAATTCGATAGGAAATTGTTACCAAATCAATACCAGCACGGCGTATGTAAATAGGTTACCCTTCCAGATTTTTAACAGTGTACATAAATATTAATATTCTTTTGGTGAACTCATGTAAAATCTGTACATAAGTAAATTAAAAAAATATCTCGTCCGTGTAAATACATGTGTGGATTTTTTGGTAAATATCTTGGATAAAAATAACATTTTTGAAATGTGATTAAGACGCCTCTTTAATCATTACCCAAAAATAAAGCACTTCACTGCTAAAACTTTGGTAGAGTCACATATTTATGTAGATACTCCGTGCTGGTATTGATTTGGTAATAATTTCCTACCGAAAATTGTTCCCGAGTGGTAAATTTTTCATTACCACGACATCACGGAACGGTAATCCCGGTTAATACCGGTGCCGCAGTTTTCAAAGAGTGTATGTATGTATAAGTAGTACCGCTGCGGGTGACGATTTGTCTCTAAATTATTTGAAGTGCACATAAAAAAATTTAAAAATTTGAAACCCACCAAAAATGGCAGAAATCACTATAAATTTGGAGGAGGGTAGCTCGAAGAGTGTTGAAGCACCCCTGCGGAGATGTAATGTTCGGAGGGCAGCTGCTAAGGGGACCGAGCCCCCGAGGAAGGCCAGGATTAGCGTGTATATAACGACCATGACGTGTCTCTTTACCCTCACGGTGTTGGCCCGGTCAAATGAGGAGGTAGTCCAACCTTGGGAGAGTATTCGGGGGCTGACGGGCCTTTTGGTATTCTTGTTTGCTGGAGTGACCGCGTGTAACATGTTCCTGGAATGGACTGAAGGTGAAATGAAGCGGGGACGTCCATATATTACATCACATTACGTGAAAGCGTCGATTTTTAGAATTAGACTCAAGTATACGTCTAAAAATCTAAGCTTTCACCCTTACAAGGGAAACCTCCGAGGTGCCGGTCGTGTCCAGGGTACCCATCGTGTTTTTAGAATCTAGAGCCCTAGATGAAAAATCCATTCATATTTCCGTGCAAAACTGATATTTGGCGCAAAACTTAAAAATTCGCATTTTCGACCAATTTCAAACCTACATAACTTTTATAGTTTCCGTGGGATTTTTAAAATTTTATACTTAAAATGATCACAAAAGTCAAAATTTTAACAAAAATAAAAAATAATTTTTTTTATATTTTTGAGAAATTTTTACGATTTTTTTGACGAATTTCACATTTCTAAGAAAATTGTGAAATTTTGCAAAAACTTCAAACCGACAATTTTTTAAAAAATTTCAGGACATGAAAGTTGTCATGATTTTGGTCAAAAATTTTAAAAACCGGTCCAAGATTTCAAAAAGTTATGGCGGTTTCAAAAATAAAAACATTCAATTTTGGCGAATTTGGCGCAGCGGCACGGCGCCAAATATAAGTTTTACACGAAAATAAGAATGGATCCTTCATCTTAGGTCCTAGTAGATTCTAAAAATCATGGTGGGTACCCTGGACACGACCGGCACCTCGGAGGTTTCCCTTGTTAGAAACAAGGGAAACCTGAAATAGGGTAACGATTATCACCAGAAAAGTAAACGTATGTGACTCTACTCTGTGGTTGTGAAGTTGTATGTACCCAACTGGTTACAGAGATATTAGCTCTGTTGACAATTTAATACGATATCGGTGAAACTTCGTAATTAGTCTGTGACAATTATAACCACCCGATGAAAAATTTATGACGACATAAATACATACATAAGTTTACTTTTACATTCATGCTTTCACATACATATGTTTACTTTTTGGTCATAATCGTAACCCCATTTCTAAGAGTTAAGTCGCATTTCTGGGTAAATTTGACAAATATTTGCCGTGTCAGATTTTACAAAATACGGACGAGTTTGGAAAAATTGATATTATCAATATTCAAATTTTGTATTCTAAAATTTGTATGCTAAACATCTCTTGACGCTAATTTATTCTAATTATTTATTGTCAGATCGAAATTCTTAAAACTATTTTGCCAGATATTTACAGGAATCAATCTATATGCGTGTATATGCTCATCCAGATAAATATACATACACGCAAAGTGCACTATACATATACTCCTGTATATGTAAATGTTTCGATTCCATTCCAGACATCCGTCAACACAAGTGGATTTTCTACACCAGATTTTTCCTCACTTTGGGTGAAACCGATGAAAAAACGGATTTCGACGCCCTGTTTTCCTTGAAGTGGTGGAAGAAACCGGAACCTCCGGTAGAGGGACAAGAAGTGGTTCATTTTGCCACATTTGTGTCCAACTTCTTGGAAACTTTGGACACCAAATTGACCCAGCTTTCTTCCAATGTAAGTTGAGCGACCAAATCTAGGAATATTTTTGATACACTCTTAAAAATATCGGTACGTTTCTGAAAAATCTGAAAAATATTTATATGCTCTCTAAATTCTAAACTACACATGCACTAAATCCCGAGCAGACTTTACTCTTTGCCAAGTTAACTCTAAACAGTCAGGAATTTGTATAGTATGTATGTATGAGTTACCTTATGTAGCATCTAGAGTGCATTTGCATACTCTTTCAAAAGGGTAGCATTATTTTTAAGAGAGGTTCAAGTTAAATTTTGTCTATTTACATATTTTTGTCAATCAGATTTCATCCAGTAACGAGTTGGACGTTTACATCGCAGCGGTTCGCCTCTGGTCGATTTCTCCCCCGTCCGACAGAGATGGGGAAATTAGATCGAAATGGGTCAATTTTCTGAACGAAATGGCAACATTTTTGGAAGACAGGTAAGGCCCAAAATGTTTATGAAATGAAACTTCATATTATTCTTCTTCACAGAAAAATTCAAGTTTTATAACACCTGCGTAAAAAAAATATTACAAAAAATCCTACACTCCTATAAATATAATGATACTCCTCTGAAAAGTAAATATGTATGTACACTTTGAATTTTGAATTAAGTAAAATATAAATATGAAATCCAGAGGAAAGAGTTTACTCTTTATCAAGTCAAAGTTATTCTGGATTTTGTTTAGTTTATTTAAATAATTTGAAATTCAGAATGTATTTACTTCTCAAAACGGTAACATTATTTTTTAGGGTGTTAATGTATATTCTAGTAATTTGCGCTTAACAGTATGTATGTACCTATGTATGTATATGCGTATCAAGCAGAATTCCTGTAAATTTCTGTACCAAAATTTTTGTAAATTTTTAAAATTTCAGAGATTTATTAATAATTAGTCGTCATTATTAAATATTTGTTATGTAATTTATCTCAATAGGTAAATTTATCTTGCTCCTTGCAGGTACAAGAAACCAGACGCTGCCAAAAAATGAAGAGACCCACAGAAAAATTCGGTTCCTTGAAATGTTCAAAAATATTTAACGTATTGGTCTTACCATGTACATGCATAAATTGTATTGTAATCTGTGTGCATGATGTTCATAATTTGTGGCCGCGGAAGGAGTGGGGATATAAAAATCTTAGGATAGGGAAGTAGGTGTTAATATATATATGTACATGGGTAGATGATCTAGACATCAAATATCCATGGGGACAAAACTGAAAACTTGGGAAGGTTATTGACCACCAAATTTGCATTGGAAACTACATGCCGAGTTTTCAGAAATGGAAATTTAGGCCTTAAACTCGACGATAGGTTTCTCATAAATTTAGAATACCACGACTAGTCGTGTGCATTTGAATTTCTGTTTCCCGAAATCGACCTGGTTCGCCTAACTAAGGAGGAGAGACCCTCTACATGTCATCTTCAGATTTTGATGCCCTTTGCATATGTTGGAGTACCCCATGAGGCTACTAAAACCCTGAAGTGGTTTGATGCCATGGCCCCATTCGCGCCCGCCACGCCCTCTCAAAGGTGTAAAAAACACGAAAAAAGCCCTGTTTTCATGTACTTCAACTGTCACCAAAAATCCAATTTTGCTCGGATTTTCATAAAATTAACATTTTTGTGATCCCAGATACTTGTTTTATCATATGCAGTAGCAATCTCAACTTTTTTGAAATTTTGAAAATTTTCGAACAATTCGTGAGCCCAAAAATTTAGAAAATTTCAAAAAAGTTGAGATTGCTATTGGATATGATCAGAAAAGTATCTGGGATTACAAAAGTGTAAATTTTATCAAAATCCGAATAAAATTGGATTTTTGGTTGGATTTTAGAAGTTGGTAATTTTTGTTGTTTTCATCCCTTTGAGTGGGTGTGGCGAGCGCAAATGGGGCCATGGCATCAAACCACTTCAGGGTTTTAGTAGACTCATAGGGTACTCCAACCTATGCAAAGGGCATCAAGATCTGAAGATGACATGTAGAGGGTCCCTCCTCCTAAGTCGATTTGCCCTACCGAAATTTACCCATTTCAAAAAACAGCAACTTATAGGAGAGAGAGATACATAATTCGAGAAAGCTTTCCAAATTTGCCATTGTGGATGGCATGACGAGGTTTGAGATATCTAAATCTTGGCCTTAAGCTCAACTATTGGTTGAACCAGCATTATTGACCGGATGAACTCAGTCAGATGACCGTTTTCCTGACACCGACCGGCTTCGCAAAGTCGAAATTGTCCTTCATACGACGAGTAAGATCAATCAAAATTACATTTTCGAACTTAACATGAAATTTTGAGCAGTTTTATGCACAACTTGAATTTCATAATTGAGTGTTCATGGTTTGTTATTGGGTTTACTTGTTAAACATTAACTTTTGAATCAAAAGTTTTGATGTAAAATGAAAATATTTCAAATTTAATGCTGACTGACGAGTTCGTACATAAGCATATCGAATTAGTGTTACTCCTACACGAAATTTGGATTCAACTCAGCCCAGTAATCTACATAATCTACAAAAACCCACAAAAGCCCATCGAAACCCAAAAATGTACCGTCATGGATTATGTATGTACATTGTGCATGTATCTAGCTCCAGACATACTACACATATTTATTTACACGCTGGCGATGACTAAATAAAGTGAAATATTGTACATTTATGTACTAAATAATGCACGTAAATCTTTTCCATGGAATAAATTTTCTCACCATTTCATCCCAACATCATCATCCTCAACAACATCATCATCATCATCCCATGTCATCCTTAACAACAACATGCATATTTACAACCTTGTACGAATTTGCACAAAAATTAGCAACACTCCTTTTGTTCGGCCACATGCTAAACCTCAACTCAGTTTTGGGAGTGTACGAGTCATTTTTTTTGCAAACTACATAAACCCACTCACTCCATTTTGCAAATCAAATCAACAAATATGTCTGAGCAAATATCATTCTCTATTTTGCAATTGTTTGCATCGTTTTCATGGCTGAAGCAAATTCACCCCGTCTCATGGCAAAGAAGACGTCGTGGGGGACGCTCAAGGATTTTATGTCGGGTCAAAGCACCATTCTTCCGACACCTTTGAACATAACGTTGACCAAGGAACAAGTCGAATTTGCTGTGAGAGGGTTCATCCCCAAGGAGATGGAGGACCATTGGTTCATATATTTCGATCCGGATGACGGTATGGAAATAATGTAAATTATTTTGTAGAACTTAACGTGTGAGCTGGTCTTTTTTATAAACGGGCTGAAGGAAGTTACGGTTAGTTATTGTAGTCGATTTGTCTGTCCGTCGGTATTTTGGTACATCAGAAATTTTCGAACGGTCATTTTTTTGTTGTGTTTTCAGATACATATTTAGATATCTTCATTAAATTTTTGGAGTTAGGGGTCATTCGTAAATTATGTAAGGCGAGGAGAGGGACTCCCCCCGGGAGGGGTTTCAGGCTTCACTGATTTTATGTCAATGTGAGACATACTAAAGTATGTACGTAAAGAGTGTGGATTTAATTTTCCCCGATTGGTTTTGAAATTTGACACAAATTGTCACATTGTAAATTAAATATTACGAATGACAATATTTAGACGAGAGTAGTTAAATAATTGTAAGGGGGAATTAATAGGATAATTATGTGCTGTAAATTTCCCAAGGACTAATTAGCAATGTGGCTCTAATTAAAAGAATTTTCCTCGAGGTTTTAATCGTTCTTTTAAGTACAAATTTTGAAATATCGGGCATTCTCCGAAATCGGGTCAAATTAAATCAACACCCTTTACATATTTTTTTTTGTTTCCAGGCACATTCAACTTTCACCGAAGTTGGAGTGGAATTCTTGTCTACAGGGTGTCCTCCCAGCGGTCGGAGGATGGGAGCATTCTTTTAACCCAGGTCGAAGTCAACGGTAATGGTCAAGAGATTAGATCAGATGGGTGGGCCATGAAAATGGCAAAAGAGGGGATCGGATCCCTAATTCAGGATAGCCCAAACTTCGTGTATAGTGACTGGTTTGACCCCCCGGAGGACACGGTCGATCCAAAGGTGGCGCAACATCTTATGAAGCTGTTAGAAATGAAGTATTAAAAAAAATATTTTAATCATGTAAATTCTTAAAATTTTAGTTTAATCCACATTTTATAACTTGTTGAATTTTTGTCCGGCGAATTTAATCCTGCAATTTAAGTATAATTTGTGGTTCGGTAAGTTTAATTCATTTGATATAACTTGATACTCTAAGCAGAGTGGTAGGAACAACCTGGAGATGATTGCTACCAACTATAGTATTTAAATATGTATCACGCAAAATTTCTGTACATAGAGTTTTGAAAATTTCAGAGATTTATTAATAATTAGTATATTAATTTTATTACCAGAGTTTTTTAATTAGCCACATGTCCAACTAATTAGTAATAGATAATTGGAAGTAAAATATGTTGTCTAATTAATTGGTAATTAGTAATTAAACTCAGGGTGCTAATTAAGCAAATTAATTAGCAAATTAATTAAAATATTGACCAATTATTTTTTAGATTGTTAGTGATTTCCTAATTAATTAGTAATTAAAATTAGCTTCGGTAGTACTAGTTAGGGTTAATTAGTGATTAATAATTAGTTGAAACATGCTATCCAATTAGCTAATTAATTAAATTGACCAATTAATTAGATAACCCAGGTTATTACATATTATCTTAATATATTAATGTTAGGGGATCGGTTCTCTAATTCATGATAGTCCAAACTATGTGTTCAGCGGGTGGCTTGACCCCCTGTACAAATAAAAGCCCGAAACTGGGCGCGACATTTATGTACTGTATTAAGCGAAAAATAAGTCGGGTGGAACATTTTGAAAACACGACCGGGTTAATTTCCGAACCCGAATTATTTGTCGAAATAAATATATAAATAGGTAGGTACATGTTAGAGAGAACAGAAATCGCTGAAACATTTACTTAATAATTACAAAATACATACGTACAACAAAATACGGGTTAATTTTCTGAACGAAATGGCAACATTTGTGGAAGAATGGTTCCAAATATTTATCAAACTTCATATTATTCTTCACATCACAATCGATGATTACCTGCGCCAAGAAATTAAAAATGTGTTAACAGAAAATATGTTAAACGTAAACGTTTAAAACAAAATGAAATTTACAAACGTGTAAATTTGTATGTATTTATTATTGATCCTAATTTCATAATATAGGTCATTGATTAAGGTTTACGAATCTTTCTCGTTGCAAAATTGTTCTTTAGCCTACCTTAAATTCTTTATTTCAAAAAATGTTTAATATTCCATAAATTCTAATTAATCAATTGTAATTTTAAACAAAATCAACAGCAGTTCACTTTGCAATTAGCATAATTTACTTCAAGTAAATTACTTGGATTGAAGGTTCACTTGCTTTTAATTAGGATAACATCTATTGTCATTATTTATGAAGTGTATGAAACATAAATATATCTACTATTGCCTTGAGGCATGCCTCTGCTCGGGACAAGGGATACATACATAACGTACTAGCAAAAACATTTGTACTTAGGGTTATTTATCATATTTGGAACAGTCTACGGTCGGCATCGATGAATTTGGTTGGTTTGTTCAATGTGTTTACTAGCCCTTGCGAGTTACCCTAGCTTAATTTGCGATACATTTGTATATTACACACATACCTGTTCAGTTACATTAATTTGGCTGATTATTGATTAATAATTATGATTGTTATAGTCAATGATACATAGTGAATGAAAATGAATTGAGTGTCATTTGTATGCAAATTACTGAAGCATTTAGTCATTTCAGATGAAGGATTGTGAATGAAAGTAATTTTCACTCCTTTCATTCTTCACCCTATGCTTAATACATTTGTGAAGTATGAAATGAAGTCGGATTAAGTGAAATGGAATAAGCTTGAAAGAAAATGACGCACTACAAATGGAAATCTTCAGTCAGAAATCGACATGACTGATTATTTGAATGAAAACCAAATTTTTGTATAAAAATATGATTACACCTCACAATTTTGTTCTCATTTAAACAAAAGTAGCAAACTAGCCGTTTGTCAGACAGAAATCCTGTAGCACGGTGTTAACGGTTCGACACAATTATTTCCAAACTGCATCTTCAAAGGAGTCAATGACCAACACGACCTCTTCGCTAGGGCCGACTTACCTCTTCCCCTGCATTTCCAGATCCACCTTGTACTTATCCCAATTACATTTACAGCGACGGAAAACGTCACCAATGTTCAACACAGTACCTGTTGGATTTCGAAAGATATTCATTTAGTAATTTCTCCATAATTTTTATAATTTTATTAATTCTGTGAGAAGTGGGGCATTTTGAGATTTTTATTCCCACTTTCTTTTGTAGTTGGCGCTGGCACAGTTTCTTTGTCTGATTTTTTACCTACGTGCTCAGCCAAAGTTTATTTTTTACACACTCTTTACCTAGACTTTGAAGTAGCAACAGTTACGATTTTAGGCTCTTCTTAGTAATTAATTAGTCATTGTTTTTTGTTAAAGTTTTTTGATCACATTTGAGTAAAATAAATAAAGTAGTGTCCTGCCAGGAGGAAATATTTCGGCATAAAGTTTATTTCGACTTCACGGCGACTACAAGGACTCATTTTGTGCAAAACTGATCATCTTTAAATCACAACCAAGGCCCTTTTCATCGGATTTCCTGGTTTTCGGGTCGAAGACAGTGTGTGAATCCAACATTTCTGGCGCCCAACGTGGGGCCCTTGGCTGTGAACAGGACGACCCAGCGAGGACTAGAGGACCCTTTTCCTGGATTACAACTGTCTTGCCTCTATGAGGGCCCTATCCCTGGCATCGGGGAGCCTCTCAGGATTTCTTGTGACCGGCTACCCATTGGCGATCCGGCGAGGACCTTTCCATTGAGGGAGACATTGTGAGCAAAACAAGAAGCTGGACGGTCTGTGTCACACCCCCGAAGTTGACACAACATTTTCATTGTGGTTTGTTCCCACCGGACGGGAACATAGCCAGGTTATACCGTTCCAGTTTACTTGTAAAGAGAGTAAATAATAATTTTTGTCGTTCTCCCTGTTTTACAAATCAAGGATGAATAAATTAACGAAAGCAAGAGCTCCAGTAAGAGGATCCGTCACGAGGACCTGCACCAAAGTAGATGCTGAATTGAAGAGCGACCCTATCGACGTCGACGTGCTTGGAGCTTTAATGGAAAGTTTAGAAAAACTGATGGCTCAATTAGACGCAGCAGACACCGAGATAAGGACTAAGATGGTGGAGGTCGGAAGCAATGATGACGAGACACTTGCTGAACAAAATGGCGTGGACGAGTACAGAGAGAAAATTCTGATCGCCAAAACAAAATTGAAGAGGGCGATAAATCAAACTCCTTCACAGTCAAAGCAAAACGCTCCAGCCACAGCAATGAAGCTCCCCAAGCTGGAACTGTCAAAATTTGATGGGGAAATAGGAAAATGGATCAATTGGTGGTCGGAATTTGCGCAAATCCATGAAGACAAGACTATCACCACCACAAATAAGTTCCGTTATCTACATCAAGCAATGGTGCCAGGATCGAAAGCAGAGAATCTCCTCAAAAATATCCCTCTCAACGAAGTTGGATATGTCGACGCAATAAAGACCCTTAAAGAAGAATTCGGAAGTGAAAGGGTGCCTTGGCGACATTATATGATGGAGTTCATTAAAATCCTGGAAACCAAGAAGAAGTATTCTGCACAAACCGCTTACGCCAGAATACAAAGTCAGCTTAGAGCCGTTAATTCGCTAAAGGAATTGAAAACAGAAGATCTCCTCTGCCCCCTATTCGAGTCAATTGTCCAAGAGGATATTTTACTGGCGTGGCAGCGTAGTCCTAATTAGAAGAAGGATGGTTCAAATGAAGTGCCTCCAAAAACCGAGTTGGACTACTTTTTGGATTTCTTAAAGTCAGAGAGCGAAAGGGAGAAGCTGAATGAAGTTTCAAAGGACAATGGAGATAAGAAGGACTCTCGAAATAAGAAAGAAAAATTCAAGAGTGAAGTCCCGACTGCAGCAGAACTCCATGTCAATCAGGCGAAAAATCGTTGCATTTTTTGCGCAAAAAATCACGACAGCAAGGAATGCGGGCAGAGCAATAAGTTAACTCTCGAAGAGAAGATTGAAAAGGTCGAGAAAAGCAGAGCTTGTTATCGCTGTTTAAGGATGGGACATGGATCCAAGAAATGCAAGGTTTTCGTTAAATGCTTGGCCTGTCATCGTGACCATCAAACAATTATGTGTCCACAGCTTTATGGACACGAATCACAGGAGAAGATCTGCAAAGAAGAGACCACCACCGTTCCAGTATCAGTAAACTTCACCAAGGGCGTTTTATTTGAGACATTGTCAGTTCGGCTCATTGGTCAAGGAGGGGTGGCACATAAAGCAAGGGTCTTCCTGGATCGAGGGTCAGCAAGAAGCTTCATCAAAGGATCAACGGCTAAATTATTGAAGTATCCGTCGAAAGGGGTAGAGATATTCCAGAAAGAGTTATTGGGTGGAGTATTGACTGGACCGAAGAAGCACAATCTCTACGATGTCCAAATGGAAAGTCTTAATGGAAGAAATTTACGCAAAATTAGACTGACCGAGCAGGACCCAATGATCTGCAACCTTCCCCTTATCCCCGACGGTCCGTGGATTCATGAATTAAGAGAGATGAAGATCAACCTGACCGATTTTAACTACTCATCTAGCTCAGATATCGATATTTTATTGGGAGCAGATGTAATTCCAAGTATTATGACCAAGAAAACTGTCAATTTAAAATGTGGAATCGTTGCGTCTGAGACAGTTTTCGGGTGGGTGCTATTAGGACCAATTGCACAAACCAACCTAACAATTGCAACGAAGGTGCTTTGTGGGCACCTGAATGACATCACAAAGTTTTGGGACTTGGACATTTTGGGGATACGCGATCCAATAGAGGTGAAGACCGATGCGCAGAAGGAAGAAGAAGCAAGGAAGTCATTTGCGCAAAACGTGACAAGAGAACCTGATGGACGCTACTCAGTATCCTTACCCTGGGCAGAAGGAAAAGAAGATTTACCAAGTTATCGAAAAGTGGCAGAGAAGAGATTAGAAAATGTGACCCACTCTCTCAAGGCCAAAGGTAAATTCGAGATTTATGATCAAGTATTTCGCTCATGGGAGAAAGAAGGGATAATTGAAGAAGTCCAAGACCAATCCGACGGGTGCCATTACTTACCCCATCGACCAGTATTTAAGGAGAGCGCAACAACCCCAGTGCGCCCAGTTTTCGACGCGTCCTGTCGAGTTGGCGCAATGCCGGCTCTGAATGATTGCCTCTATAAAGGTCCAAATATGATAGAGCTCATCCCCTCACTTTTGATGAAATTCCGAGAAAAGAAGATCGGCGTGGTGGCGGATATTAGAAAAGCTTTTCAGATGGTTTCCATTTGCGCAATGGACAGAGATTATCAAATGTTTCTCTGGTGGAATAACCAAAAACAAATCAAGGTATACCGACACACGCGGGTAGTTTTCGGAATCAGCAGCAGTCCCTTCCTTCTAGCAGCAACAATTAAGCATCATTTGGAGAATGTGCCAGAAGAGCAGAGGGAATTTGCGCAAGTTTTATGTCAGAATTTTTATGTCGACAACTGCCTTACCTCGGTCAGGGATCTCCATGAGTATGAAGATTTCAAGAATCAAGCAACGGAAATAATGAGAGAAGCTCAAATGGAACTGCGGGAGTGGGAATGTTCGTGTGACGACGCCACATCCGATTTAAACGTCTCAACTGTCCTTGGTCTTGAATGGAATAAGAAGGATGACACTCTTGGTTGTTTCCTCCCTGAACCACCAGAAAAGTTAACGAAGAGAGCAGTATTGTCACAAGTACACAGGATTTTTGACCCCATTGGATTTACTTGCCCAGCTACGCTGGTACCAAAAATGATTCTCCAAGACACGTGGAATCTGAAAATCGATTGGGACGAGGAGTTACCCGAGGAGCAGAAGATCAAGTTTGAGAAATGGATTAAGGAGCTGCCCTCACTAAAGAATTTGAAGATTCCCCGTCAATTCAGATTTGCCCAAAATATTCAGGTTCATGTCTTTGTGGATGCAAGTAAAGGAGCATATGCAGCAGTAATTTATATTCGCTCGGTGGGAGGAGATGGAGTAAAAGTTCAACTAATTGAAGCAAAGAATAGAGTCGCTCCACTGAAAAAGCCCCCTCCAACAATTCCTAGATTAGAACTGCTGTCTTGTCTCATTGGATCAAGATTAGTGGGAGGAGTCAAAGATGCCCTTAAACTCAAGATTACTCCCATATTTTTTGGACGGATTCTTCCACCGCTTTAGCCTGGATTCGTCGCAATGAGAACTGGGGAACATTTGTGGGCCGTAGGACGAAAGAGATCCTCAAATTAACCGACGTTGAGTCATGGCGTCACATCCCCGGAGTTGACAACCCTGCCGACCTCCCTTCTCGCGGATGCAGTGCAAAAGAATTAGTCAAGTCGAGATGGTGGGAGGGACCTGCTTGGTTAAAATTGACCGAAGACGAGTGGCCTTTCTCAAAGCCGACATTCAATGAAGAAGAGATAAGGCAAGAATTACGCAAATCTGAGCCAGTCAATCATGTACAACAACAAATTAAGTATCCTGAGCCGAGATTCTCTACTTTCTCTGGAAACCTACGAGTGTATGGATGGGTCCACCGCTTCATTAAGAATTGTTTCAAGAAAGGAGAAGACAGAGAACTGGCACCTTATCTAAAATTGGACGAGCTCAAATTTGCACAAAAGTCATTATTCAGAGTCATACAACAAGACACAATTCCAGTAGAAGTGCACACCATTAATGGAACTCCTGTGAAGAAAGGCGAGGATGGAATCTACAGAGTGATGACACGGATTCAAAATAAAGAAGAACCGGAAACCTTCAAGAGCCCAGTTTTTCTTCCCAAAGATCACCCGTTAGTCCATCAATTAATTACGGAAGTGCATAATCAATACTGCCATGCTGGAGTCCAGTTTGTGATGACCAAGATCAGAGAACAATATTGGCTTTCTCAAGCAAGAAGAACAATTAAGCGGATTTTGCGGAAATGTGTCAAATGTCGCCGATTTGATGCGACCAAGCTCGAAGTTGATCCAGCAGCATTGCCGGAAAAGAGAACCGCTGTCGGACTTCCGTTCGAGACCACCGGAATTGACTTAGCAGGCCCGTTGATTTTAAAGGACGGAACTAAAGCGTGGATTGTGCTATTTACTTGCGCAGTTTACCGCTGCGTCTACTTTGACCTCGTCACATCGTTAAGCACCCCAATTTTTCTTGCCGCCCTGGAGCGTTTTATTCATACCGAAGGAAGACCACATCACATCTTCAGCGATAATGGGACTAACTTTATCGGTGCCTCCAATCTCATGAAGAATTTGAATTGGACTGAAATTGAAAAGGAGATTTGCGCAAAACGAATTCAGTGGATTTTCAATCCACCCACAGCATCGTGGTGGGGTGGATGGTGGGAGCGCCTCGTACGGACTACCAATAATTTATTGCGAAGAATGCTAGGTAATGCAAAACTTACTTACGATGAGATGCGAACTTGTTTAGCCGCCGCCGCCCACACAATTAATGGACGACCACTCACCGCCGTGAGTGAAGATTTGCAAGATCTTACCCCTTTGACACCAGACATGTTTAGAAGAGGACTTCCGATGGGAGGATTTCCGGAGGGCGACAGATTCAACATCAAAGACCAGAATTTGCGCAATCGAATGAAGATGATGTCGGCCCTAAAGAAACAATTTAATGACCGCTTCAGGAAGGAGTACCTCTCACAATTAGTTATGCGGGTAAAGAGGAAGATGACAGAACCACCCAAAGTTGACGACATTGTTTTAATCGGAGCTGATAATGTCAAACGGATCATGTGGCCGATGGGGAGGATTATCGAGCTTATTCCTGGAAAGGATGGAGAAATCAGAGTAGCCAAGATCCGAACCGCCGGAGGAATACTCACCCGTCCCCTACAACGCCTCTACCCTCTTGAAGTTAACAAGAAAGAAAATTTACCAGAGATCACACCCAAAATGAAGGAAGTGATTCAAGAGATGAGAGGTCAGAATATCATCGAGAAGGAAGACAACGCTTCTGAGAAAGAAACGGATGGCGTCGCTACCTCATTTGGACGCAAAATTAGGAAACCTCAACGTTATGGGGAATATAAATAATTGTTTAGTTTTCTTTTTGTCATTTGTATTCCAAAAAGAGGTGGGAGAATGTTGGATTTCGAAAGATATTCATTTAGTAATTTCTCCATAATTTTTATAATTTTATTAATTCTGTGAGAAGTGGGGCATTTTGAGATTTTTATTCCCACTTTCTTTTGTAGTTGGCGCTGGCACAGTTTCTTTGTCTGATTTTTTACCTACGTGCTCAGCCAAAGTTTATTTTTTACGCACTCTTTACCTAGACTTTGAAGTAGCAACAGTTACGATTTTAGGCTCTTCTTAGTAATTAATTAGTCATTGTTTTTTGTTAAAGTTTTTTGATCACATTTGAGTAAAATAAATAAAGTAGTGTCCTGCCAGGAGGAAATATTTCGGCATAAAGTTTATTTCGACTTCACGGCGACTACAAGGACTCATTTTGTGCAAAACTGATCATCTTTAAATCACAACCAAGGCCCTTTTCATCGGATTTCCTGGTTTTCGGGTAGAAGACAGTGTGTGAATCCAACAGTACCCCTACGTATGGACAGATGAATACCATACCTCTATACATGGCTACGTCTGGTGCATGAAAAATTTTTATCGCAACAAAGCAAGTCATCAATTGCACGAAGGGCCCAAGGTATCTTAGCACGGCGAATATCCTGTCGCGTAACACAGAATTGACGATTTTCTCGAGAACCTGCAATTTTCGATAGTCTGAAACTCCCCTCGCCGAAGTTTCCATACCTTTCAATTCCGTCAGTAAGAAAGACAGGTCGGGTACAAGGGTAAAAATCTGCGAAACACGGCAGAAATTAGGAGAGTCGCCATATTTAGAAATTCAAAAATTACGAAGATCAGCCTCTCCGCAAAGTTGAAATCCAAACGTCCATTTTTCCAAAAGTTCGCGCTAAAAAGGGGTGCCTTACAGGATCGCTAGAAGGGTCACGCTTCCAGGTAAAATCCAGCACTCTAGCCCCCCATTGTGCAGTAAGAGGTTGACAAATTTCCAAATTAATGTGTCATCTGAATAGTTTTGGCCTAGAAAGAGAACATACATATTTTGGAAATTATTCTTCCCCTAAGAATTTTTCTAAATAATTTACAGATGCAATTCAGCAGAGAAATTTGGTCCGAGTCTGGATGGAATTCAAACGAGACTGAGAAACCGCCCAAAGTCATGACGGTAAATCCGAAGGCTTCAGCCTTTTCGACGAGGGTATTAGCTTTCGTTATGGTGCAGTACAGCTATGCCCAGATGGGCAAGATGTGGGGGACGTGGAAAAACCGGACTACGTTGTGATCTCCCTTTTTTCGTAAGACTACTTGATTCTTGTTGGCATCCCAGGTGGGAAGGGTGCAGAGAAATGTGTCCCCATACTTTAGATAGTGTTTCATCCGGGCAGTTAGGTGGGAGTGGCGATTGACGCATTTTTCTTGTCGGGCCGGGGTTACATTCCGGGTTACGAAAAACTCAGTCATATTTCAACACACTGTTAAAAATATTATGGAGTCGGGTTTAGGTATTGATTTCTCTGTGTTAAAGTTCATACCGCTTGGTATTATCCTTTCGATGTCTAATGTATATTTAGCGAAACGGTACTAACAATGGAGGTCTCCCAACGTATGCTCACAGATTTGGACAAAACTAGTCTCAATCGATCACAAATATAATTAGTATGATAATTTGCAAATCGTCGTACTAATTCATAAAAGACCTAAGTGCAGTCGATGTTTAATTCAGAAACGACCGAAGTGCAGTTGATACTTAATTCAGAAAAGACTTAAGTGCACAGAAAAAAAGGAAGAAAAGACCTATGTGCAAGTATGTATTTACTTATGGCTAAATCGCGCGATATATGAAGACTCGTTTTGGCAAGATATAGCCATAAGTAAATACATACTTGCACATAGGTCTTTTCTTGTTTTTTTTTCTGTGCACTTAGGTCTTTTCTGAATTAAGCATCGACTGTACTTCGGTCGTTTCTGAATTAAACATCGACTGCACTTAGGTCTTTTATGAATTAGTACGACGAAATGGGACTATCTGCCAATGCGCAGGTTTGGCAAAGATACATATTTGCATCCAAACCCGGAAAAATGGGCAGCAAATTTGGGAAATAAAAATTTGCCAACCTTTGATCGCGTTTTCCTCTTTTAAATGCAAATATCTTTGCAAAACCTGCGCATTGGCAGATAGTTCCATTTGCAAATTTCATACTGATCATGATTGTGATCGATTGACACTAATTTGGTCCAAATCTGTGAGCATACGTTGGGAGACCTCCATTGTTAGTGTAGGCAGATATCTATTTTGTGTCGGTTATAGGGCTGTCAGATTGAGAAGAAAAACAATTCGAAAAAAATTTCCTCTGATACGAAAAATAATTTAAGTGGTATTTTTTCGCCCGTTCAGCCTCTGTATTTACATGTAATAAATCAAAAAAAATATTGAAACTGAAATTGATTTCTTGAAAATTCGTCAGAAAATTTCAATGTACATACATATACATATATATTAAGCAGCAAGAGTCACGCCGACCTAAAAAACATAGGGTGCCTATAAACCATTTTCAATTGGACAAATGGTTAGGTATGATTCATAACGGCAAAATTTCAGCACTACATAACGTGGCATATTATATGTACTATATATGCAAGTTGAAAAAATATGACGAAACCATGCAAATTTTTACCAAAGTTTGCCAATAATTTGAGAAAATCAGAAGAAAAGGAGATTTGACATGGAAATATTGGATTATTATATGTGAATAGAAAGGCTTGATGAAAATGATACAAATGCGGCTAATACCATGGCTGTGGGACCCAATTACTTGTCCGTCAACAAGCTGTTCTTCCGTTGAGTTGTCCGTTACCAAATTTGCGACGGCGATTTACCACCAACCCATTTATTTATTATACAGAAACATATTTATATTCACAATTTTTTGCTTTATGGTGTACACTAAAAATTTAGAAAGCTATGAATATTTACATAAGTACTGCTACATACATATGTCCAACATATTAGCTTCGTCTGTCATCGCTGCAATCCTACTAAATTTTTCCCGCCACCTCAACACAAGCTTTAATTTCGGCGTGAACCTGAAAGAGCTAACGTGACGTTTTTTTCCGTCAGAAAATCACCACTTGGCTTCTCGACGTTTGGATCCCACTGAAACTCAAATCTCTGACAGAGTGAGACAAGCACTATAAAAAATTCATGAACTCTGCACGTCGACTAAAAAGAGTTCTTTATTGAAACAACTTTCTTCACTCCAATCAAGTTTCTAAATTTATCTAAGCTTCAATAATTTTGGTCGTCAACTTGCCCCTTTGTGACTTATTATTCCAAGCTACGTAGTCCCGCACAAGTTCATCCTGAAGTGGGTATCTTTTTCCACGGAGTGTCGGCATACCAATTCTATACCAAAGATATATTTTCTTCTTAATTGGCTCAATATTTCCTCCTTTACATGAGTTCTTATGAACAACCGCGTTTTTATGTTGTCCACCAATTTTTAGCTCTGATTTTATCAAAATTGTGACAGATTCGAACTTATTACTCAGTCCTTCCAGTGGAACATTGTCACTTTGTGGACCAGTATATATTTTTAGTTGCTGTCCGGTACAATTAGTTAATGTACAAGCTTCTTGCGAACATAATTGTAACAGTTCACCACAGTCGACACCCAATAGGGTATTATCGTCACACACAGACATAAAAGTCTTCAACTTTACAGAGTTAAACTTTGATTTTTCTACGACACATTGACGACTGTCCTTTACGATTAATTTGCCACACAAGGACATGTTGCATTCCACATGCTTCACACTAACAATTGAGCAGCCCACGAGGAGTAGTGCGTACCGAGAAATATTATGTGGGTCTTGCAAAACTACTTCCTCAATATTGTGGCCCGTCCCGTATGAGGATACAATTGACATTGCTACATTTTCAATAACGGCATGACTTATGTTATTGTGACAACTATCGTGCATCAGTATTCCATGTACGTCTCTACACGTTGATTTGTTGTGAATGGAAATATCTCTTAGGAGGTTGTATCCATCCCCAAGGATTAGAAAAGTCCAAGACTCCACAAATGATTCCGAGGAGAATGAAGCTTCATATTGGATATCTACATTCGTGACGCGGCAGTGGGATCCATGAATTCGTACGCAGAAATCTTTACATCCAATGATTTTGAGATTGGAAATGGAGCACTTATCCCCAAGGATAAGTATTAGCCCGGCAGTAATTGTATTTTGCAGAATAGTGTCATTCCCATTTCCAACTAAAGATATTTCATTCTTAGTGATTGATAACATGTTGCAATCATATATTCCATCTAATAGCTTAATCCTGGTTCCATCTTGGCACATGTTTAAACATTTAGTAAGCTCGTCCCCATTACTGACTTGCATTTCGTTGCCAACATATGTAATACAATTTGGTATCTGAACTATTTCAAAAGTTGGGTTAATATCCCACAAATTCTTGACGCGTTGAGTAACATCCAATTGGGACATACTTAGCACGATTTCTTTCATATTACTTCCCTCCCGCCACGTGTCCACCACGCTGGTATCTTTATGAAATACCAATTTTGTGAAGAGGGTGTTCCTCTCGGTTTTTTTAATTAATTGCAACACTTCCCAAATCACGAGACCCATGCTAAATATATCTGAGGATGTGTTGTAGTTTGCCGTTAAAATTTCAGGAGCTTGGTAAAGTTTTGTTCCGACATTGGTCGTCATTTCATTATTTAAGTAGCCAGCTGTGCCCGATTGGCTAGGGAGAGTGGGGTCGTTGACTAATTTAGATAGTCCAAAATCTCCTATTTTAACCGGGCATATTGCATTATATCCCAAAAAGATATTATTTGGATTTAAATCTCGATGAATGATGTCTTGATCGTGTAAGTATCTCATTCCGGATATAATACCAAACACAATATTCACTTGTGTGATTTCTAAACTATTCTGGAAGCTTTGTCGGTTTGAATCATCCAACCAGTTTCGTAGGGATGGACCACATAACTCCATTTCTATACAAATGATCTCGTTGTTTTTGATTGAGCCGATATTTTGTAAAAAATCGCTGCCCGAAGCCAAATTATCTAGCCCATCCGTGAATAATTTTATATTAGTATCGTCTAACATCTTGAGTTTGAGACTGTACAATTTCGCGACGTTTTTATGTGAGAGATTTTTCATATTTTCAAATTCCCGCATTTTCTTGTAATTGCTTGTACGCGATTCCTCGGAAAATGTGTATGAACTATCCGTCAAGAATTGTCTCGGTGGAATTAATTTCACTGCAACTTGTTTCCGAGTATTTTTTTGTAGTGCGGAAAATACCGTCCCAAACGCGCCACTCCCTAAGCAGTGGACAAATTGCCAATTCTGATACCATGTCGATCCGATGGGATCTGCTAGACGTCGAAGAGCTTTAATGATAAAGAGGAGCAGTTCATCGGACTCGAATGAGGCGCCAATATCGTACCAGATACTTTTCGTCTTCTCCTAAAGTTTAGAGAGGATAGTTTTATTTTTGTTTTAACTTTATTTATATTGAGGGTATTCATTACGAGTTCGCATGTTCGCATCGCAACATAATTTTTTCAAAATTGCGAATTTTGCAAAGCAACGAAGTGAAGACCTTTTGTAAATGACAGTTCGTAAAAATTAGATGTATGAAATTTCACAAATTTTAAAAGGCAAAACCTCGGTAACTAATGGAGATTTATGGACTTCCGATTCTAGAATTTGTAAAAAAACTTCTGCTAACCAAATGCTACCCTTTTAGATGCGCAAGTTCGCAAATTGATTTTCAAGCCAAATTTTTTTTTCGAATTTGCGAACTTTATTTTTTTGCGAACGTTGCTAACGATGCGAACTCAAAATAAATGGCTTCAATATTAAAATCATTGCACTCACATCATTACATATCTTCAACCAATTCATCACGAATGGTTCAAGATCTTTAAGTAATATTTTTACATTGGACAAATCAGAAGTAATCCCAGGATAGTGGGTGGCATGTCCTAAAGAAATGTGTAGCTTAACGGTACGTACGAAGTTATCTGTCGCTCTTAAAATAAAACTCTGCCCAGATAAGCTTCCATGGAAAATGTCTCTCTTATGTATAAATGCCATACTGTACACTATTCCTTCCATAATTGTATGTAGTTCTTGTTCAAGATCGGTGAATTTATTTTCTCTGATCCAGTCGGATAGTGGGGAACCATCGCATAATTCCGATTCGATGCAAATCATGTCATGCACGTCGGCATTTTCATCAAGTTGGAGCCATTCAATTAGATTACAAGTTGTATAACTCGCATCACGTAGTTTAGCCCGGCGAAGAACGTCCGATGGGAAGTGAGTCCTCGTGATTTTGATTATATTGGATAAATTTGGATGATTCCAATTAAGCAGAATATTACTGTTGTGGATCAAGTTTTTGTTGTGATCATGCCCACAATAAATATTTGGAATTAGAGTAAGCGTTGATTCAACTTGTGTGACAGAGTCTTGAATTGTGGCCATTACATTGTATCGATGATCATTCTTGTAGAAAGTGTAGACATATTTGGAACTATCAAACCATACGCAGTAATTTAGTGGTGGAGATGCGTCAATATTAGAAAGATTGGGGATTTTAGTATCATCTAAGGCAGGTAGTGGTAGGAGTAGCTAGAAATATAATTATTAGTGGCTCTTTTACTACGTAATAAACATGAATTGACTAACAATGCGATGGCGTGAGGTGTAACGCTCGGATTTGGTTGAAATTTCGAAATTATGTGGTCCATGTCAATACAAGCAACGTTTCCTGAGGCATTTAGGTCAAAATTTGCCAAAATATTGGAGGTAAAAGTTGAAAAATATGCGATTTTTAGCATGAGAAGGGAATTGAAATTGAGTTTGCTTCATCCGCCTGGTAAAAACCGCCCATTTTTCAACTTTAGTTTCAAATATTTTGGAAAATTTTGACCATCGCACACACTGGCGGAAATAAGGGTACGTCCCACGTATCGGCCCCCGACAGGCGACGGCCCCGGCCCTAGGAGGGTCGGGGGCCGTACATATAAAGGGTGTTGATTTCATTCGATCACACTTTTCCTGTAAATTTTTGAGGAGCTATTACTCATAATTTGTATGTAAGCAAGTATGTAGTAACATAAAGTAAAGTATGTAGTTAACATTGTGTCCACGTAATACTTGGCATCACATTTTGTCCCTTTGGTATAATGTGAAGAGGTGTTACCCCACGCGCACAAAATCCACCGGCTACCATAACTTTTAACCCAAATTTCGGGACACGCTTTGCAGGTACGTCTGATTTCTTTTCTATCCTGAATCTGGAATTTTGTCGGCTTAATTCTGGATATAGCAGAATTGGAGATTCATCAGTCCAAAGGATATGGCGAAGCAATTCTTCACCTCGTTTTTTTTCATCCAAATGGCCACTTTTTCGGAGAATTTCACCAAATTTAAAACGGTCTTCGATACATCGACGATTGCCCCGACGGTTGCGCTTAATTTTTGCACATATGCCGCAGCCAGCCACGTATTTAGCCCACAATTGCTTGCTTGGGAATGCCAAGTTTATATCTAATTTTAATTTTGCTTCAAATTATAGTTTGCTAAATATATTTGCAAACTTTTTTTTCAATTCGCACAACAATAGGTTTCAAACTAAAAATCAGTTTACAGCCGGTTTTGCAAATACATATACCGGAAACCATCAAAAATTTGAAAAACAATTAAAAGCCGGTTTTTCTAAAAATCGCTAAAATTAGAATATCTCAAAATTATTTAAATGCATATTTTTACTTTAAAATTTAGCATTTGCTACTTTCATTAATATTTTGATAACGAAAACTAAATCCAACTCAACGTATATTGCATAAAGGAGAGAATGTCAATTCTGCATTGAACTTCATAAAAATATTGACAGGCACATAGATACATATGTATTGGTAAAGGCAAATTTAGGTAGGCCCCCAAATCTAGCTTACGTACCGGCCCCCAATCTATAGTTCCGCCACTGATCGCACAAATTGCCTCCAGACACGTTTGTTATATTAACATGGACCACGTAATTTTAAAATTTCAACCAAATCAGAGGGTTACACTTCACTCCATCGCATTGTAAGTAGCTAATCAAGATGAATATGTACCTCTACCCCTTTTTGTTCAATGGTTGGCAATAATAATCGTAATTCCTCCAAAATATCCTCCAAGTTGAGTTTATCGCTATGAGACTTAGCCCTTGATTTTTGCGCGGTCAACATTAATTTTACACTTGTTTGACCACTAGGCGATTTGAACACATTGAAGCTACTGGAGGACAAGCTTCCATTGTACAATCCTTTTTGATGGTAGAATTCTATCGCATTGGTTATACCTTGCATGACATGGATGACATCTTGCTCCATTTTGGAGTCAATTAGATCAGTATACTGAACTTTGTGAATAAAATAATCCACCCCAAATCCTAGGCATTCCTCAGTTTCAATACAAATTATTTCATGACACTCGACATCTCCATGTAACTTCCACCATTGTAGAATATTCGTGGTTCCATACATTCTTAATCTTGAAAGGGTACTTGTCTTGATTAAATTCTCCCGTATTTGAATAACCCGAACTATGTTGGCATGGTCGGTTCCAATTAAAGAATTCGCATTGTGAATAATATTTTGATTTATGGGGTCATCCTGGTAAATTTTTGGTATTAATACGACTGAAAATCGGAAATTTTTACCATTTTTGTCATCAGTAGCGCCTTCCACTGTGGCAATGGCATAATCTTGAATTTGCTTAATCCCAACAAATACTTGGTCCCCATTATAAATTGCCGGGTTATCGCCGCCCGCCATAGTCATTCCTATAAGAAAAAATCGAATCTAATGAAAAGTATCCAAGGCAAATGGAAAATTGGACTAACAGATTTTTAAATTACAGCTCAATCGCTCTACATATATGTGTGAATTAGAGGTCTGTACCCGATTTGTTGTTTTCTGACACGCGTTATGTTTGTGTCGGATTCAAATAATGTCTGAATATTTGATCTATATTTAGAAACACTAACAAAAATATTTTGGACAGAAACAATGTCTCCTCTGTTAAAAAACAGCAAGTTTGTACGGTTTTAAACTACACCAACTCAACAACTCGCAATTTAATCCTTTCTAAATTAGTTAAAGTAGAATATCTTAATACACAAACACAAGTATTCCTCAGTTAATAACTCTGAACGAATTTCTAAACTGTTTTTATTAGATTGCTAATATTACTATACAAAATTCATTGCAAAAGGAAGATATGACTACTGATGGGATAAACATATGTTATTTATGCAAGGTTGGTTATGCCGATATGTTGCGAGGATAAATAACTTGCAAAAGTTATATGCATCACGTTTAACATGACCATGTACACGATGCTTGGTGTCTTAATCAATACAATAAATATGTACATGATTGCGTACAATAACTGGTTATAGACTGTATGTGTTGACATGATACATATGTAAATATGTATGTGCATATTTACAGTTAGAACCACAATTGAGCGACCAAGATTTACTGCCCCATGGTGTAGAGTATTTCTAAGCCCCTAATAATCGTAAGCGTTTAACCTTTGCATATTTTTTAGATAATTTAATGTAGTTTAAGCTCCTATGAACATTTAGGTGACAAAAAATTCTTAAGAAAAATTTGGCGGTAAAACAAAAAAAAATGAAATTCAATCTCCAAAAATAACCGACCAAACGTAGAAATTATTAAAAATAAAATGAAGTATAAGTGAGAAAATTAGTTCTCAATAGTATAATACTTGGTTAGGCGTACCTTAATAGCAACTGTGGTTGGGCTCCGAATTGACAACTTTTTTAAGCAATTTTTAGCCCATTTTGTGCCTTGCGTCCAAAATCCCCCTTTTATGTCCCTGCTAATTGAAAACGGAGGTTATTAAGATTTCTCTCTTCACGAGGCCTCAGAGATGTTCAATGTGGTTGAGATCTGGGCACGAAGGCCCCCATTCGTGCTTGTGATTCTTATTTTTCTCTAAAAAATCATTGACAACTCGTTGTACGTGCATGGGATATGAAACTTGATTGAATGTGATAGATATGAAACTTGCAGCTCCCATTCAAATTTTTTTATAAGATTTCAGCAGAGTTCAGTTCAGCACTTCTTGATATACGCCCCCATCCATATTTTAGCCCATAAATTCCAAACTTGCTTGTCTTTTACAGCCAAATAAATCTGTATCCATAACCAATCTTCCACCATGTTTTAATTTTCTAAGCAAGTTTTTTGTTATCATATATTACTGATCTGTATTCGCTGAAGAAAGAGTGAGGGAAGTGGCTGAGTGAGGGGAATGAGTGACGTGTGAGGAATGAGGGAATGAAGGAGTGAGATCCTAGGTTCAATTTCTTCCACGTTCCGACGTTCTGAAGCTGCTTCCGACAGTACCTACAACATTACATCCGAGGGTTTTTGCTTCAGAATCCAAATTTTGCTAGGGCTTTCTCTTTTGATGACCAAAATTGTAGCTTCCTTCTTCCAACGCCTCTGATTCCGCTAACAAATTGCCGCTTCCTCCGTCCTGATGCGCTTCCGACTTCCGGAAATCGGAAGCTGCCCACCTTTTCTGAATTTATCGAATTCGAAAAGCATTTCTTTTCATCTGTTGCTATGGAGTTGACTGAGACCTCAAATTAGATGAAAACAAAAATCAACAAAAAGAATGAAATTTTATTAGATGAATTTAGATTTCATAAGATTACTTCTCAATCATAATGACATCAAATTATAGTCCTTGTGAAAACACAAGTTTTCCCTAATCCCATCGTTTTAACGACAATCATAATGTTTCCATACAATTTTTAATGTGTAACATTTCGCCCAGTCTATTTATGTATCTAGTAATATTTGTATTTTCTGTAGCCATTCTTCACGACTGTTTAGAGGCAATTGACCATTGGAGGAACGAAATAAAAACTTTTGAAGGCCAACGGTTCATTGGTTGTCAAAGTGTGGAAGCAGCCGATTACGAGAACAAAATTCAAGATCGCAAGTTGCTGATCAGAAAAGGTGAAAAAATTTACAAATCAGTCCGAGAAACAATCAGGACCATTGAACCAGATTGGACACCCCCTGATCCACCCATCCCCAGTAAGCAGAGAATAATTTGCTACGTTTTTTTGTGATGGGATTTAAATATCTAACAATGTGGACGCAGATCGTGTTCAATCCAGATTTTTTTTGACCAACTCAGTTTGATAGACTCCCTCTTTACAAGAAATATTTAGTGGCCCTTAATATTTCGGACTAAATGAGTGCGGAAGTTCCGCCCTTGAGCAAAATTGAGAATATTTATTATGGTAAACGAAACTTTGCGAAAATGAGGTGCTCGGTTATAATTTGAAAGGGATCAATGCGCGAATAGTTTGAGTAGTAAAAAACAATAGTAATCTGGGCTGAGCACGGTATTTGCGCATGTTGTACTATAATTTACCGAACTTGTTATTTTTCTTAGCTGATTCCGCATTTTTTAAGCCATCCAGCTCCTCACAACCGACCACCTTAGCCATCGTAGGTGGAAAAAGCCGAAACTTCATCTTGCAGATTTATACGAGAGCTTAATTAAATGCAATAATTGAAAATGCAAAGTAAATAATTGTGTGCCATTTTTAATCAGTAGTTGCTCTACGTTTGCTACCACCTCTGAAAAGGGACCAACTCGTAGAATTCTTAATTTTACAGGAGAGCAGAAAAACTGATTTTAGGCTACAAGCCGAAATCACTTTAGCTAAAAACAGCCTAAAATAAAAATGCAACAATTTCCTCCAAATTTCATGAATCGTTAGATCAATATTTTCTAAGGTCCTTAAAAATAGTTTTAGCGAGTTTCGCGCGCGCATACTAATGCAGCGCGCGCAATCCGCGAAATATAAAAATACTCCAAATCGTTTCAAGTTGGTGGATCTTAGGGGGTGTGGTTTTTGAATTATTTCTTAAAACGTAGATTTATGTTTAATTTCTAGCTCCAGAAACAATGATTTTAATTTACATTAATTAAATAGTTAATTTAGGAATTTATAGCCGATTTGTGCTGTTATGATTTTCCGCCCAAAATGTAATTCGTAATTACTCAGCATAGGAATTAGCTAGCGACTTGAAATTTTCAGGGATGATGTGTCACATGCCCCTTAATGTGAAACAGCAATAAAACAAAAATCGCTATTTTATCGAGTTGGTCCCTTTTCAGGCGCACTGCCACATATAGTTATGAATTTTAACATGTAAATTCGAATAATCCGTCATGATTAGCTACAATTGTCCTCCCCATCACTAAAATTATCCTGCCTCCTGCACCAACGTCCTTTTCAACTTGGCGTAAATACATATTCGATTGCATTAAATATTACATATCAAAAAATGATATAAATATGTATATATGTATATGTATGATTATTTATCATGTCTTTTGTCATATTTCGGCTAAAATTGTGTGCATGATTATATCTCTCTTTTGCATGAAATCCAATTTCGCTGGCAAAGCCATGAGATTTTAGTCCGCAAATTTATCCAACAATTGGTCATGTTTTTACATATTTCGCAAAATTATTTCACAAACTCATCCACACCATCGCCAGCAAGAGAAATTACAGAAATCAATAGAAACCGTACCAAATATGTGGGTGATTATAGTAGATTTGCGACACTGTGGGCATTTGCAAAGCCATATTTTTGGAATCCTGAATTTTGCGAAATTTTGTGACACATAAATACATATGTATGTATTTTACCACGAATGATTCCGTCCTTTTCCCACTTTATCCATCCCCACACTACTCGTTCTGCATCCGTCATCTCTCTCTGCGTCCTATTTTTAGAGCATAAAAGTGAATCTCCATGCAGATTCTTACTCAATGCATTAGGCACGTCCACGTAGTATGTCATCAAAAATTAGGTGGGTGGTTGAGTGGCTTATTGTTAATCTTAGCATGATTAGGACAAGGAAGGGACGGTGGGTGGTCTAAAAATCGGTGTTTTTTGATGACGTAATATGTGGACGTTCCCAGATCGCGTATATAATTCAACTTGTGCTAGAGTTTTTTCCTCGGACATATTTATTGCTGCTGCAGAGTTCCAGACGTTCGAAGGTTTTCTACTTTGCATACATAATCATGCAAAGTAGACATGAACTTTGAATTGTATACATATATTCACTCAGAAAGCGAAACTATGGCATTGCAAAATTAACTTTCACCAGTTAAGCAAGCTACATTCAAGTAAATTCATCTACATAGTACGGTTTGTTAATAACATAGTTGACAAATGTCAATTTTTGGTGACCATTTCACATTTTTGCAGGCTATTTTTCTACGTAGTTACCGATCAGAAAAAGAAACTGTGCAAAAACCATGCACGTTTTTTGCGAAATAATACCCGATCGGTTCAAATGGCAAGTATTGATTTAGGAAATTACACACCACTGCAACAAATCACACCTCCCCTGAATGTATACGTAAGTCAAACCATGAACATTGAATTTGTTATTCAAGTAATTTATTTTGATTTTTAAATCAAGGTTTCCATCATACATGTTTAATTTTTTCATTTAAAAGTCAACCATCCCGATTTCTGCCTTAAGATTTTCATTCAGATTGAGTCATTTTCCGTCAATTCATTTTCATTTTCTTGCTGGATTTCTTACTTCGTTCCATGTATTTAGCTTATGGATCTGAAATGACGGAATCCTTCAGACATTTTCATTCAAATGAGGGGAAATTCATAATCAATCAAATGAATGAAAATGAACAGGTTTCAATTCATACTCTGCTGCCATTTTTTTTAAGCTCATGTTACTTCACTTCATTTGGCTTCACCACCACTGGTAGTATAATTTTGGTTTATCCAATAGATATCATTACTGCTTGGTGTAACGTTAATACTGGATTTCTAAGAGAGTACTCAGGATCATAGATCGGATATTTTGCGTACTCCGGCCTCCGGCCAGCCACGCGTACTCCGGCCTCCGCGTACTCCGGCTTCCGGAAAAAGTCGCGTACTCCGGCCTCCGGAGGCTGGAGTACGTACTCCAAGCCCGGAGTACTCCGATCTATGCTCAGGATAGAATTTATTAAATACCAGTTTTATAAGGGTGTATTCAACAATTTTTGTTATAGACCATCACCGCGATTTGTTTCTGGCTCCCGCTCTGCGCCGTAAAGCGGTGCCGCCTCGTCTCCAAACTTTGGAACGCTGGAGCCATTCCAATTCTTTTAAAGCGGTCCACCCTCCGACTAAAGTGCAACGATATTAACGAAATTTCCAGAAATGTAACCTTATTCACGGAAATATCCTCCCTCACAATTCCCGACAATGTTCAAATCACAATTTTAAACCGGACACATCTTGCCTACAGTCATATCACGCGGGACATTTGGAAAAATGAATTTGCCGGATTTTACGCCAAAATCCCGGGAATAACGTCCTGATCCTTCAAAAATTTGACGCTCTGCTGGAACATTAATTCCCACATGGAAGCCGACTTGATCCAGAAACTTATTCAAAATTCTTCCCGCACTTTAACCCAGCTGAACATTTGTCCCAGCTACGACTACACTTATACTGTAGATGACCTACCTTTGCCCGAGTTTGATCTGACATTATACAAATTCGACGCTGTTAAAAGCTTGGATTTATCTGGAATTTATATTGATGGGTTTATAGTGGAAAATAATTTGGCCAAAGTGTTAACATTTGTCACCCAACTGATGACCGTGTTTGACAAGTTGGAGGACCATACTGTACACGAGTCCTTGATAAAGTTGCTGGTTGAAATAGTCGACGTAATTCCTAGGTGAGTGGTCTATGTACAGTTAGTGAAGTTGTAAGAGTTGGAACGTTACAAATTTTGCTTCGTCAACTTTAAATTTATGGAGCATGGCATGCTACCCTGGGTTTTTTAGCGTTGAGCAATACCCACGGGTAGTTGGGGTTGTCAGGGTTTTAAAATTATTTACGTTTACAATTTTATCTCCAAAATTGAGCCCATATTTTTTATCAGTGATGACGACATCAAGTGTAACTATCCATGCTCTTACAAGTTCAGTACGGGAATTTTTTCCATTGTATTTACTGCATCTCAGAAAATCATGGTAAAAATCCTTATCCAATTTTTAGAACAATGGTCAACCTCACAATTTCTGGTGGAATATTCCACGACGAATTACAAGACCTTACGCAATTGAGTAATCCCATCAGAAATCTATCCTTTAAAGAGGTCGTCGTCCATAAGGATGCCAACCCTGACATTATCCCGCAACTGTACAACCTCCTATCAAAACATGCCCAAACCTTGGAACATCTCACCTTAAGATTCCCAACCTGGGCAAATTATAACGACGGCTTAAAGCTGCCCGCTCTTTTAAACCTCAGACGATTTTATCTGACCATCCCGCCGTTAAAGTATAACCCGAATTTTTACATTTCTTTTCCACCGGAAACCCCGAATTTATGCACGGTTTTCCCCCTCCTAAGAAAGTTCTGCTTAATCTTTGATGTCGGATGGGAGAGTGATTGGGCATCCTGTTTCGAGTCTTTGTTCACTAACGGGGTTCCCGTTTGTCCGAGTGTGAGACACTTTGAGATAAGGGATGCCTGCTGGAAAAGACCTTGCGTCATTGTTAATAACGGGTACGAGCTTGACGTCAAATATGCCCGAATTTTAAAAATATTTCCAAACGCGAATAATAAATTTGTTACCGATTTGAGAGAATATTTGGAAAAGAAGGGAACTTATTTGTAATTCCATAAGTAACACGTTGAAGCAACGCGTCATTTCGCACTTTTGTATAAAATTTACAAAAATGTGTATCATTATTTGAAAAATTAAAATTTGAAATTTTATTTCATAACCGTTTAATTTGATTTACGATGTGTCAAATTCTGCTGAGGGTTCTTGCAATGAAGTATTTAATCGTAAACTGTTTTCTACTTAAATATGTTTGTAGAGATAAACCAGACCAAGCGTTCCACAAAACGGTTTCGCAGGAGAAGTTGAGACAGAGTGAGAAAAGTGGTTCGCGGTGGGTTTCCACCACCACTTCGAGTCAGGGTCGTATGAAACCCATTTCCCTTTGTCTCACTTTCTCCATGCAGCCATACTATGCATGTATGTATGTTACGGCTCTTGCAAAATAAGCCCCTCCCACAGAAACTTTGACCTGAAAAATCTCCTGGTTCCCACACTTTTACTTCGGACAACAAAAGCTGAAAATATAGCTCTTCTCAAGCAGAAAAATCTGGCATCAGGTTGTCAGAAGTAAAAGTGCGGGAACCATGAGTTTTTTAACGATTTATGTGTAGGTCAAAAAACCGCCAATTTTCGAATTTTGAAACTTTTGATGCATCAAAATGTTCGTATTCATAGGACAAGTCAAATGTCAAATACAACTTATGGTCTAATTCTTATGTTACAGAGTGTACATTAGCTTTCTCATTTTTTCCAGTTTCCTTCCTCAATTTTTAAAAGGGGTGTGGTTTCATATAATTCTAAAATAGCTATGCTACATTGATGGTTGCGCCCGAAATTTTGCTTGTAAATTTTTATATTTGATTAGAAAAAATCGATGCAACGTGGAATGGAACATATCCAATGGAACATCTCTGTATAGTATTTACGTAAATATAGTAAGAAACTGTTAATTAGAAAATAGGAAATTACAAATATTTTTTCTGAATCTGATAAATTCCTTTTGTAAATCTGAAATACAGAATGACAAAAACAGGGTTTCGGAAATTCACCCTTTTTTGGATAATTCCCATCACAGTGGGAATAACTGTGAAAAACTGGGAAAAATGGGAAAAACTGTGAAAATCCCAATTTACGGCATTTTCAACGGAAAAAGTCTTATTTTCTCGTGAGTCAAATGGGTTAATGTGGGATCTCTCAAACTAAGAACTGCGCTCGATTCAGCTCTCCTTGAAGGCATTAATTAATTGTGGTTAAATATTTCTTGAAAATAGTTGGAGATTTAATATTTTCTAAGATGGTTAACACTCGAAAGAAGGCTTCAAAAAAAAGCATTTCCTGGTTTTGGTGGGTCAAAACCTTCAAGATGCAGTTGGTGAGTAAATTAAAGAGTATATTATTAAAGTAATGAGTAAATTATTTCAATACGTGCCAGTGCCAATATTTTGTGCCCGTGTCGTATAATTCGTTCTTTTATGTCTAAAGTAATTCTTTTTAATAGACGACGTACTGTCAAATACGCAGCCCGAACATTCTAAGAGTGAAAATAACGACGGTGGTAATGTGCGATAATGTTAATTAACAATATAAACAAAATTTAATTGTGTGAGAACAAGAGAAAGTAAACAATTCACAGTAGTTTTTTAATCTTCGCTCCTTTAACGTGTATTAAATTACCCCAATTTGATTTTCACAGTTATTCACAGTTATTCACAGTGAGGTCTGGTGGTAATTAACGGTAATTACCGTTAATTACCGGTGGTAATTACCACCCGGTAATTCACACCCGGAACCCTGGACAATAATGACGAAATGTGTCAAGACTCATGTACACCCAAATATCTACACATGTAACAGAAATTTTTACTTGGAATAAAAGTTGTTTCATATTAAAAAATAAAGATTTTTGTGGGAGTTGCGTTTTTGGTAATTGACATAAACATGTACATACACTTTACAGTCACGTATCAAAAATTCGGAAATTTTCGGGGAAAACGACTTTACGTATTTGACAGTGTTTATTATTTTTGCATGGTGCACATTTGCCTATGCGGGGCTGACTTTAATATTGTGGCAGAAACATATGTACATATTTGCACCCTACTAAAAAGTGTGGAAAATTAACCCCAGACTGAGCAAAAAAAAAGGATAACACAAAAATCCGGAAAAATTTATCCAATTGTTGTGTAATCCTCACTCTTAGGAGGAGAGACCCTCTACATGTCATCTTCAGATCTTGATGCCTTTTGGACATATTGGAGTACCCTATAAGTCTACTAAAACCCTGAAGTGGTTTGATACCATGGCCCCATTTGCGCCCGCCACATCCACTCAAAGGTGTAAAAAACATGAAAAAAAGCCTGTTTTCATGTACTTCAACTGTCACCAAAAATCAAATTTTGCTCGGATTTTGATAAAATTAACATTTTTGTGATCCCAGATACTTGGGTGATCATATCCAGTAGCAATCTCAACTTTTTTGAAATTTTGAAAATTTTCGAATAATTCATGAGCCCAAAAATTTCGAAAATTTCAAAAAAGTTGAGGTAAATTTAACACAACTCTTATTTAGAGTGTACATACACACATTTTGCCAAGAATTATTCTGCCCACTTCTCACTTTTGTTTACATAATCAAGCCCCACACCACTCATTCGCCCGTCATCTGTCTTTCCCTCCTATTTTTAGAGTATATTTAGTCCTGCAGATGCAAACAAACGTGCAGATTCTTACTCAATGTATCGGGAACGCCTATGTATTACGTCGTCAAAAGGGTGGGTGCGTGGTTTTGGTTGACTTACGTATCTTATTTTACAATTCCGTACTCCTTAATGTTTACGTTGGGTGGGTGAATGCTAAAATATGACATTTTTTGATGACATAATATATGGATGGGCCCAACATGGAGAAACTGGGTGTTCGAACTCTGCTGGTACGTGTATCTGCATTTCATTTAACTTGTGCCATATTTTTTCTTCATATTTTACGGAGTTCCATACGAGTTTGGGCATTTCTACTTTGTATAATAATTTTGCAAAATTTGTGTTAAATTTAGAAGTTTAGCGTAGACACATGCTCACTTAGAATGTATCAATTCCAGCTATAAAAAATTTGCACTGGTAAGCCAAACTACAGACATGCAAAAAAAATTGTACATACGTATGTGCATCATACGTTTTATTAATTAAATACTTAATTAGTCGATTCTCTAATTTCAAATTTGGTGATCATTTCACGTTTTTATAGGCACATGTACATAATCTGAAAAAAAACTGCAAAAACAATCTAATTTATTGTGCCGTAATAAATAGTATCCCGACAGTTAGAATAATGTCACATCTGGATTTCGAAGACAACTCGCCCACCGAACAAATCACACCTACCCTGAATGTATACGTAAGTTAAACAATACGTACATGATCTAAAAACTGAATTAATTAATGCAAAAGCCAATTAAATTACATAATTTTTAAATGTTGGTTTTCATCCATATTTAGTAATTTTATTTATTTATGTATTGTTTCGCTTGAGGAGGCCCATTCATCTAATGCACAGGGTGGTTTAAATTTCTCGCAAAATTGGAAAACTTTGAGATGGGCAAATAGGCCAATAAATCTCCCTGCTTTGCATACATAGATACGAAGATTTGGAGTTGAAATTCTTATTAATTTTTCAACTTAAATTTCTATACTGATCGAACATGAGGACAAAATTCTTTTAAACTTGTAACCTTAAGGGGCAAATTTTCTGTAACTAGTGAAAACTGAGGAATATTTCCCATTACAAAATCATTTTCATTCAATTTAAATACTTGTACAACTCCGGTGTCATGCAATGTCAGAATTTCTCAAATGTAAGTGAAATATGTAAAACATTCCCTGCAAACAGCTCCGATATTACCTGTCCTGGTATTGATTTGGTGATAATTTCCTACTCCGTTTGTACAAGTTTATTTGTGCTTGATACATTTTTCATAACCACCACAATACAAAACTGTATTACTCATTATACTGTGACATGTGTGCGCTATACGCAATATGTATGTAATGGGATAGTATTTAGCTTCATACATTTGCATGCTACATATATAAGTTCATTTATTAACGAATTCAAGAACAGCACATTACAAGAGCTAGATAAATACATCGTTGGCTGACATACGTCAGGTGGTGACAACTTTGGTGTGCCGATGCTAAGGTTTGGGGTTAATCTACAGACCAACAACCAAGATTGCTTGACACTTTATCATAATACAAGGTTACGACAATTGCTTCGAGAGCCTCAAAAACCTTCATTTTCGAAGTGCTAATTATTTGGGCTGTCGCTAACGGTAATTAAAGCAAAAATTTCTTCCGGAACGCCGAAATAGCCGATATCACATTTATACATAACTGCACTGATTCTTGTATCTATGGTTAAAACATTAATTCGAGAGAGCGAAATGTGAGTATTGACAATTTTTGTGCGGTATGTTTCTGGGCGACAGGTTGTGCGGCGCACACTGGAGTCTACAGACTCCAGGCTTTTCGAAAATTAAAGTTTTTTAGTCGTTGAAGCCATTGTCGCAACCTTGTAATTATTACTAAAATTGTCAAGCAACCTTGACCAAAAACCAATGGGATATTTTTGCAATCTTAGAATGTGACTGTGGCATGACCATACCGGTAGAGTAGTACATATGTATGCATACGTAAATAAATACTAATAAATAAATAAATAAATAAAATACTAATAAATAAATAATAATTTAACTCGAGCTTCCTAACAGTGTGCAAAATATTTTTGTTACAGACCATCACCGCCATTTGTTCCTGGCTCCCACTCTGCACCGTGAAGCGGTGCCGCCTCGTCTCCAAACTTTGGAACGCTGGAGCCATTCCAATTCTCTTTAAGCGTTCCACCCTCCGACTAAAGTGCAACGATATTAACGAAATTTCCAGAAATGTAACCTTATTAACGGAAATTTCCTCCCTCGGAATTCCCGACAATGTTCAAATCACCATCCTAACCCGGACACATCTTGCCTACAGTCCTATCACGCGGGACATTTGGAACGATGAATTTGTCCGATTCTACGCCAAAATCCCGGGTATTACACATCTATCTTTCAAAAATTTGACTCTCCACTGGAACATTAATTCCCACATGGAAGCCGACTTGATTCAAAACCTTATTCAAAACTCCTCCCGCACTTTAACCCGGCTAAATATTTGTCCCAGATATGACTACACATTTGACGTCGATCTCATACCTTTGCCCGACTTCGTAAATAAATTCGACCCTGTGAAAAGATTAGACTTATCAAGAATGAGGACTCATAAGTTTGTCGTGGAAAATAATTGGCGCAAAGTGTTGAACTTTGTTACACAACTGATGACCGTGTTTGACAAGTTGGAGGATCTTATTTTGCACAAGACCTTGACCAAATTTCTTGTAGAAATTGTCGACGTAATTCCTAGGTGGGTGGGTGGTCAATATATATACATATACAGCAAGTGAAGTTATAAGAGCGGGAAGTTCAGAAATTGTGCTTTCTTCACCCTCTAATTGTATGTATACATAAACTCCGTTTCAGAACTGGTGATATTACCGCCATGAGTATTATAAATATTTTGCAAAACTTGTTTAAATTTCCGTACCCTGTGCTGCACTCAGAAAATAACGATACAAATCCTTACCGAATTTTCAGAACGATGGTCAACCTCACAATATCTGGTGCAATAATGCACGACGAATTACAGGACGTCGCACAATTGAAGAATCCTCTAAGAAAGCTATCCATTAAAGATGTCATCTTTGGGGACGATGCCAGCCCTGATATTCCCCCTCACCTGTACAATCTAATCTCAAAACATGCACAAACCTTGGAACTTCTCACCGTACGATTCCTAGCCTGGGAATTTTACGACGACTTAAAGTTGCCCGCTCTTTTAAACTTGAAACGATTTGATTTGACCGTCCCGTCGGTAAGATATGGCTGGAATTTTTACATTGATTTTCCACCAGAAACCCCGAATTTGGCCATGGCGTTTCCTCGCCTGAGAGAGTTCTGTTTAACCTTCCATGTCGTGTGGGAAGGTTACTGGACAAACGCTTTGGAGTCTTTGTTCAGCAGTGAGACACAAGTTTGTCCGAATGTGAGAAAGGTTGAGATAAGGGATCTCAACTGGAGAAAAACTTACTGCTTTGTTGACCGAGGGTACGAGATTGACGTTAAATATGCCCGTATTTTTAAAATATTTCCAAACGCGAACAATAAATTTGTGCAGGATTTGAGAAAATATTTTGAAAAGAAAGGAATGTTGACTATTTAAATGAAATTTGTCATATTATTGTGGCCATAAATTTATGCATAATAAATTTGTATCGTGTAAAATTTGAAATTTTGCTTTTTACAACCGTTTTATTCATGTAGTTTACTAGTCTGACGAAACACATTTCGTAGAACGGTTTTGGCATGGAATTGCATATGTATCTAATGTTAAGTCGTTTTCTACAAATTTACAAGAAAGTGCAGATCATAAATTAGGAAATATTATCAAGGATTTTCCATAGTGGCGAAAATGACAAAAAGTGTCGAAATTATTGTAAAATAAACCCAAATCATTAAAAATTCTAAATTGAAATAGTAATTATTTCATTCCAGGAATTAAAATTTGGTGAGCTCTTAATCCTGCTGATCATGTATATTACGGCGGTTTCCTTCTTCATATTCGTGGACGTGGTGCGTGATCCGGTCGGCGACAGTACGGGCGAATGGGTCATGATGGTGTTCGCCTCGTCGTGGCCAATCTTTGTAATTACCCGGCTTTATGCGAAGGTTTGGATGGCCTGTAGCGATCACGAAGGAGGTTATTAAAAAATTAGCGAATGGTTTTTAAATACACCCTTAAAAATGTTGCTGACATCTTGAAACGTAATTGCACACTGAATTCTAAGGAGGAGAGCTTCACCACCTGCCCTTCTGGGATCTTGTTGTCCTTTGCATATGTGGTAGGGTCCTATGAGTGTACTAAGACCCTGAAGTGGTTTGACTCCATGGCCACATTTGCACCCGCCACACCCACTTAAAGGCGCCAAAAACACGGAACAAGCCCTGTTTTCATGAGCTTTAAATATCACCAAAAATCCAATTTTGCTCGGATTTGGATAAAATTTGCATTTTTGTGATCCGAGATACTTGTGTGATAATATCCAATAGCAATCTCAACTTTTTTGAAATTTTCGAAATTTTCGAGCTGATGAATTATTCGAAAAAATTCAAAATTTCAAAAAAGTTGAGATATCTACTGGATATGATCACACAAGTATCTGGGATCACAAAAATGCAAATTTTATCAAAATCCGAGCAAAATTGGATTTTTGGTGATATTTAAAGCTCATGAAAACAGGGCTTGTTCCGTGTTTTTGGCGCCTTTGAGTGGGTGTGGCTGGCGCAAATGTGGCCATCGAGTCAAACCACTTCAGTGTTTTAGTACACTCATAGGACCCTACCACATATCCAAAGGACATCGAGATCTGAGAAGGGCAGGTGGTGAAGCTCCCCTCCTACGTGAAGTAGGTAAAGGTATGCTAAATCTAGAGTAAGGTGAACTTTATCAAGTGTAAAGTTTCCTCTGGATTTAGTACAGTTTACTTGCATAATTTAGAACTCGGGGTGTATTATTTCTCAAAAGGGGAACATTTTTTTAAGTGTGTAGCATAACTTTTTGTTTAGGAAAAGGCGATTGCATCTGCCCTGAGAATGGAGGAACTGAAGGAAAAACCTGGATTGCTGGGAATGGAGGCATATTTTGCAGAGGTACGCATTGCATTACACGTCTCATTTCAAAACTGCGATTAGTAAAAATGGAACTAACAATACCTACTTGTTGGTTGAAATTGTCTGAATTTCGTGTAAAATTTTTGAAACTGGCAGAAATTTTGCAATGCATGTCAAGTTATGCATTTACATCGACGGACTATATGTAGCTCGTTCAGAATTATGCTCGGTTAATAATTGGCTGTGGATTGTCACCACTGTCTCCACCGAATGGCCTTCTCGAGAAGTTGTGATTAGCCAAAATTTAGCACATAAATAGATTTAAGCCTTTGTATTGCATGATTTTGAGAAAAACTCAAAAAAATGACCGAACGTATGTATTCATGTAGATGATTTTTGGAACAAAAAATTGTGAGATTTTCCAGCATACAAACATACCCCATGGTTTTCTGTAGTATTTTTTTTAGCCCGAACCAGGGCTTATGTACCCGTTTTGTCTGTCTGTCTGTCTGTCTATCCGACGATAACTCTCTTTAAACTTATCCGATCGACTTGAAATTTTCCACACATCTAGACTATGCAAATACACAACTCGAGTTCGAAGATGGGCGACATCGGTCAAGTGGTTGACCGGTGGGGGTCATCGGAGTGGGTGGGGTACCGTGCACCAATATTTCAAAATTATAGTGGAAAGCTGAAATTTGGTACAGAGGTAGTAAATGGGTCCTAAAGGAAGGATATGAACTCAAATTGGGAAATTTTGCATCTTGAGGGACCCTATGGGGTGACCCCTACTGATTTTTCAAAGTCGTCATGTCGAACTAAAATTTGGCATTTAGTTTTCTTATGGCTCTTCATGGAAGAGTATACATTGGAATTTGAAAAATTTTCATCTGGAAGGACCCTATGGGGTGACCCATTAACCCTGGTTCGGGCTTAGCAAAGCTGTACTGATAGGTTTTATATTTTTACACCAGTATATTTTTGACAAACGTAAATTACAAAATGAAAAAAAAATGTTTACTTTTTTCTAAAATTTCAGCTGAATAAGGTCTACAACCTATTGACCAATCATCCGACGGAGGTCTCGCTAAATAATTACGTCAAACTGAATAACGCCTTGATTTTGGGGGTAATATTTATTAAAATGTGCAATTAGAACACACATCATTTTATCCATAACGATGGTATTTTCGAATTTACAGGTCTTTGAACAAGTTTTTACAATGTTCATCTTTAAAATCTTTAACTGCAAGCTTTTAACTTACATAAACCTTAATACTTTAAATGAACAGTGCGTGGTTATTTTCTCATCAGATGCAAATATATACTTCCCACAACCCTAAGCATACTACACTCTAAATAAAAAGTAAGCAAATTGCTACTGGGCGGTGTCTATAAATATATGATCTCACCGGTTTGGTAGCGATTTTCTACAGAACTGTAGTAAATTTGCTACCATATTTTGACTAACCGTTACGGCGGGGTAAGGAAATGCTACAAGATGGTAGCAAATTTACTACAATTCTGTAGAAAATCGCTACCAAACCGGTGAGGTCATATACATATAGACACCGCCCAGTAGCAATTTGCTTACTTTTTATTTAGAGTGTAGTTAAATTTGTGATTGAGCTTAGCTCAATGAGCTATACTAGTTTTGGCAAAATAAGATACTTCCCTGATTAGTGGTTCCGTAGTCTCATAAATTTTTCAATTTGCTAATTTCATTGCGTAATACTTCCACCGACCTCCCCGTCTGGTCCTGATTGTTGTTGGACTAACGCGAAATCGGGTCCCAACTCAGACGTCAATATGTCGCAATTAGAAATTTTTTAACTAAACCTGCCATCTGGCGGGATTCTGATTCCGTCGTTGTCAAGTCAACCAATTTCTCCTCGATTGGCTGGCCGATATTTGAACACGCCTCGCACGGACACCCATTCCCACGAGGTCCGCTCCCTCCACATTTCTCCCCGCAATCCTCCCCACACCCACACTTTCCCTTCCTCTTCTTCCCACAATACCACATTTCACCCTCTTTTCGGCACAGGACTCCGTCTCGATTCACCCTGAACCCGACCAGCTCCACGCATGCGTGGCACGGACACCCGCTCAGCGGCCCGCACTGCCCATCGCACGTCCCACAGCGACACGCCATCTTCCATTTCCCGCAGTAAAACAGGTTCTGCGGTGTCATCGCGGTGTCACCACCGTCTCCCAGGGAACCGCCCGGTTTACCCAGATCTCCCGCCGAATTCACTCTGAAACCGAGAAGTTCGACACATTCGGCACACGGGCAGCCGGACTTCGGACCGCAGACGAATGGAAATGGACAGTTCCAACAGCGGCAGGATTTCTTGTCGGGGAAAGTTCTCCCGCAGTAATAAATTGAGGCGGGAGGCAGCCCCGTGTCCCCGCCGGAAGTGGGGGAGGAGCCGGTACCCAATTTGGCATCGTAACCAGCCAGGTTAACAGTCCTTTTAGGCAGGGACGATTTTCTCCCCTTCGTCCACATGGTGAAGTTTGTCTCTGAAATGGAAATTTTTGGAAACATTACAGATATGTAAAGTGAGCTTTGTAAAATTCTTAATTGATTTTACCCGCTTTTACAAAATTACGTAAGGCCTTGTTTTATCAGGGTACTTTATAACGCTTCTATCTTGAATATCTACTTGATTTGTTTTACTTTCACTTCAAAGTTTGTTAAATTTTCATAATTTAGTCTCCGAGTTAATATTTCTTGTAAATACGTACCTTCTGAAAATGTATTTTTTGTAGCAGAAAATCTTGTCAATTACACAAAACTAATCAGTGTTTTGCCAAAAAAACTTTTAAACTAACAGTTGTCAATGTGTGTATGTGTATTTAACGTGCAAATATTTTGTTAGACTTTTACCTTCCTGCTTATGTATTATTAGATACATACATATCTCCATAAAGTTCCAGGTGCTCCTGTGTGTGTTTGTTTGTTCATACTTTTCCAATCAGTGGGAGGTATTGCACACGTAGACTAATGAACGGGCCGTGCAGAAGTCATGAACGGAAAGTCATGCCGGAAAGTAATGGAATACATGTATGTAAACCATCCAGACTTACATATTCCGACGTGTCGCCCCATTTGCATATTTATTGCGACAATAGACAGAGTTTGTTCAAAGGCAAAAATAAGATTTATGCGAATTAAATAACAATGTGGGTATTCACGTCAATTTCGTAAAAGCCGTAAACGTCGCTTCGCAACATATCTTCGCAAGTTTGCGATGTTTGGGAAGAGTTGCGATGTGACAACCAATCAGATTGCTTTATTTTTTTACGAAACATGCGAAGCAAAAGGGCATCTATTATCGTCGTAAACTATTTTTCGCAAGCTCGTCGTCAAGTGAAATTTTGATTTCTCCTCATTTTGGAAATGTTGCCAGACAACCTTATACTTTTCCTTCAAATGAATTTTTTTTTACAAATAATCAGTTTACGAATTTTTATGTAAAATAAGTCGTTCACGACACCGATTTCGCAAACACCGCAAAGTTGCGAAGATGTGTTGCGAAGCGACGTTTTTTAGCGACGTGAATACCCACAATGACTCACTTGACAATCAACAGTGTACCAAATTCTTTATGATTTATGGACGACCCCTACATCCAGACTTAGAGAAACTGTATGATTCATTGGATCGCGTGCTTAACTCCTTCGACTCGTGTAATAGAATGAATGAAAAGGGATCGCATGTTAGGGGCCAGGTATAAAGGATGACGCTTTTTAACTCTCGTCATCCATACACAAACGTCTAATGGAACCATTGCCATTTGGATGTGACGCACTGCTACTACTTCCATCACAATCGGCGACATGCTTGATGTACGGTCCTTCATGTGAACAAAAAAAACGACAGAAGCGCAAGCATTTTTATGTATAAGATACACATGTACATATTATATACATACATATGTACATGTGTTTGGATATACATATGTATGAACACTATAGGAAGTTGGTTATTTGCATATGTGTGCAAGTATTCAGGGTTTCGATTGGTAAAAACCAAATTGACCAGGGCAGCGGGAAAAAGTAGGAAAAAGGCATTTTTATCACCCGCCCAAAATAGGTGGGAAATGGGAAAAATGGAAGAAATGGGAAAAACTCTGGTTTGGGGCAATCAGAAACAACTTCTTCAAAACTAAAGATTTTCAAAATTTGACTTCATATTCGTATTCTGCATCAAATTCTGAGAAAATAAGTTGGTAATACGGTTCATTTCGAACAATCTCTAAAATTAACATGTATTCATATGGGAAAATTAAAAAACAATCAAAATTGTTCAAAAGTGTCCGTATTACATATCAAAATTTTCAGAAATTCGTGGAGATGACGAATATGAAGTCCAATTCCGAAAATATTGATTTTTAAAGAAGTTAGCCATCCCCATAACTAAATACATGGGCAGCCATATTTTCCCATTTTGGACGGTAAAAACCGTTTTTCCCGGATTTTACCACTTTTTCCCACCTGCCGTGGTAAAAAATCGCTTTCAACGGGAAAAACGAAACCCTCCAAGTATTGTCTCGGTGGACACATACATACTTCTAAAATTGCCATAATTTGCATACACATCCGGCATTTTGCCATCAAATCTGTTCTGATAATTTTATTCGCAGTTGGAAATTTTAATTTTATTGATAACACTTTGCAACAGTGGTCAACGCCGACCAATTCGGCGGCGGCGGCGCGGCTCGGCGTCTCAATGTTGAAGGAATAGGGAATAAGATTTATCGGCGGCGGCGCGTAAATTTTCTATCGGCGTATGGCGGCGGGAGATCGGCGGCGTTGACCTCTGTTTTGCAACAGCCTGTGTTGCAGAGGAATTTATTTTTTCTTGTCAAATTTACCACAAAGTTGGTCCGTTCATATTTTATTTAGCTGAGTAAGAATTTTTCGATTCAACAATAAGATCCACCACTAATTTTAAAATTTGGAGTTAAGTATTTTAAGATGCTACTATAGCCGGTGTGTGATAGTGGAAACAAGTTTTTTTGGGGGGCAATTACCCTGGGGGGCGTTATGGACTTATAACATGGTATACATAGGGAAATTTATTTCTCTGGAACGGGTGGATGGAATTCCAAAATCTTTTTTTTGTTGTAATCTGTACCTAAATACCTCCACCCTTTTTTGGTATTTTTCCGAAATTCGAATTATGAAATTCGAAAAAAAAATTCGAAATTTTGAAAATTCTGAAAATTTTGTGATTCAATTTTAAAAATTTTGTTCATGTTTAAAGGTAAACACTTGTGATAAGAACCGTGAAATGGTTCACAGATGATGACAGATGTTCAAATTTAATGTGGATTTGCATATATGGCAAATATATTGCAAATTTATACTTTTAATTCTAGTCAAAATTTTATTTCGTTGTTTTATGTTTTAGTGCTTATAATGGGGGCTAGTTTTATTTAAATAGTACAATAATAGTCCTATTTTAACACATTAAGCGTATTTTGCTGAATTTTAAAATTAGTTATTGTGAAAATAATTTAATAAATTATTAGCAGCTTGCTATTCAGTATAAGCAGATAACGATTTGCACAAATCTGTTATTTCATACGTATCCAAAAGTTGCAAATATTTATTCATTATTCACCAAACATTAACGAAGAAAAACTGTAAGTTTACAAAAATATATTTCTACTTATTTTCAAAATATTGTTTTAATGTCATAAATTAGTCAAAGTTTTCATAAATGAAGTAAATCATGTAAGAAAGCAATTCACGCAGTGATTTGTAACTCACAGTCACACACTACATCCATATCACAAACAAGCAGCTACCACATTCCTGTGAACAAAACACATTTCTCCTATTAATCCTAAGAAAAGAAAATCCCTGAAATATTTATCAGATAAATTCAGAAAAATGCGCTTAATGTATTAAGATTGGACTATTATTGTGCTATTTAACAGGGATGGGCAATTGCAGGATTACTTTAATCAGAATAAGTAATCATATTACATTAAATGTAATCCGTTGTCCAGTAATCCACGAAAAATTCACATTTTAAAGTAATCCGTAGTCCGTAACCCTAACTAGATCTGGAAATTATGTGTAATCCGTAATCCCAAATTTATGTACGAAATTGGAAAATATAATCAGATTACGGATTACTTTGTTGGATTACTTTGCTCCTGTAAACGGCATGACAGCTCCATCTTGCAACTTCTCCAGAGTCTGAGTCACTTCCTGAACTTGATTGCCTTCTGGATTCTTCAGCAGAGGTGCAAAGTTTAGAGAATTTTGGAACAATTAAGATGGGTTTACATACTTACTGCAATACATTTTTATCTGCCCTAAGAAACCGACAGTCGGATGAATCATTCAAAGCTCTTGTTGTTTGAACTAATCATCATCATAAGTTTGACGCTATTCAGAATAAATCGTTGCAAATAAAATATACCAAAGAGGTGGGGTGAGACGGTCACGCGATCATGGCATGCCAAAGCTATGCCTAGATTTTATTTTTGAAATCCCCGCCCAAAACTAAGTGTAAAAGTATACAGACCAAAATTCGACATTTTCGACTATGGCGTCGTCGACACGGTCACTAGGTCATGTCACGTCAAAACTATGGAGATTTTTGTAATCCTCTCCCGCAACTACATCTAAAACGGCCAAAACAAAAAAAAATCGACACGTTTTACACGTGGCGTCATCACCGTGGTGCCGTGACATTATGACCTACAATTCCTATTTTCGAAGTAATCCGTACCTCAAACATTAGAGTCCCGTTGGCGAAAACCGCATGTTGAAATTCGAAACCGTTCTAAAGTTATCGTGCATACTGACCGGGCGGACAACACTTTTCCATAAAGGGATTTCGCTTCTCTTCACCCCCTCATACACAAATATTGATTTTTGTAATCCAGATAATAATCCGTAATCTGATTACTGTAATCCGTAATCCACATCATTAATTTATCCCAGTAATCCAACAAGTAATCCACATTACTTAAGGAACGAAGTAATCCCAATCCAGTAATCCCATAATAATTTTTAAATTAATTAATCTGTAATCCGTAATCCATCGAAAGTGTTGGGATTGCCCATCCCTGCTATTTAAATAAAACTAGCCCCCATTATAAGCACTAAAACATAAAACAACGAAATAAAATTTTGACTAGAATTAAAAGTATAAATTTGCAATATATTTGCCATATATGCAAATCCACATTAAATTTGAACATCTGTCATCATCTGTGAACCATTTCACGGTTCTTATCACAAGTGTTTACCTTTAAACATGAACAAAATTTTTAAAATTGAATCACAAAATTTTCAGAATTTTCAAAATTTCGAATTTTTTTTTCGAATTTCATAATTCGAATTTCGGAAAAATACCAAAAAAGGGTGGAGGTATTTAGGTACAGATTACAACAAAAAAAAGATTTTGGAATTCCATCCACCCGTTCCAGAGAAATAAATTTCCCTATGTATACCATGTTATAAGTCCATAACGCCCCCCAGGGTAATTGCCCCCCAAAAAAACTTGTTTCCACTATCACACACCGGCTATAGTAGCATCTTAAAATACTTAACTCCAAATTTTAAAATTAGTGGTGGATCTTATTGTTGAATCGAAAAATTCTTACTCAGCTAAATAAAATATGAACGGACCAACTTTGTGGTAAATTTGACAAGAAAAAATAAATTCCTCTGCAACACAGGCTGTTGCAAAACAGAGGTCAACGCCGCCGATCTCCCGCCGCCATACGCCGATAGAAAATTTACGCGCCGCCGCCGATAAATCTTATTCCCTATTCCTTCAACATAGAACTATGTATGATTAAGTACATACATATGTATGTATGTACATGAAATTGAGTTTGCTAGAGTTAGAGTGAACAGTAATTTTTTACGATTTAAGAATTATTTCCAAAATTTATAAAGGTAGCTTCAAAAGTTTAAAAGTATAAGGACAATTGTATAAAATATATCTTGGCCGGCCCTGTAAATACAGCTACAGACATACATATGTATATTTAGGAGGAGGGACCCTCTACATGTCATCTTCAGATCTTGATGCCCTTTGGACATATTGGAGTACCCTATGAGTCTACTAAAACCCTGAAATGGTTTGATGCCATGGCCCCATTTGCGCCCGCCACACCCACTCAAAGGTGTAAAAAACACGGAAAAAGCCCTGTTTTCATGTACTTCAACTGTCACCAAAAATCCAATTTTGCTCGGATTTTCATAAAATTAACATTTTTGTGATCCCAGATACTTGTGTGATCATATCCAGTGAAGTTTTCGAATAATTCGTGAGCCCAAAAATTTTGAAAATTTCATAAAAGTTGAGATTGCTATTGGATATGATCACACAAGTGCTTGGGATCACAAAAGTGTAAATGTTATCAAAATCCGAACAAAATTGGATTTTTGGTGGATTTCACAGTTGTACTATTTTTTATTGAAATCCTCATGCAATTCTCCATCAGAAACCATGTTTCAAAGTTTTTTATGACCCAATGTGGCAAAGTGATAGCTCGGCAAAAACAGCATGTTGCAATTTTTGATCAACATTTTGGTAAACAAAAGATCTTCATTGTGGACGGTTAAAATGTTCACCAAAATTCATGATACCTTGGAAAATTGAATTTGTTCGAATCCATGCCGGATCCAAAGAAAAATTCCTTCACAAATGAACGGATTAAGTAGAACTATGACCATGGCCCTTAATTTGAACCTTGGACTTATGTCGCTAAGATGTGGGGAGGAACACTTGTTAAGTGCACGCTAGCTAAAACTAGACTCAGATGATGCGGGCGCTGATCATGCGGTACGCACTTAAAAAATGGAAACGGTTACTTTGAACAGCTGAGCAAACTTTTGTGATTGAGGTCAAATAAAACAGCAAAAGGACCGTATTCAGACCTATTAAGTCCAGACTATTCATAAAAATTTCAAAAACGTTAATTTGACCCACCATCCTGGTTCTGTGATTTTTTTATTAGACAAAAGTTGGATTTCGTTGAAAAAGTGATTTTTCTTACTCTGGCGGTCAAATTGCGTGTCTAAACTTATTTTTTGAATTTCTAGAGCGAATTGTGGAACCCCTGTACCACTCCTAATTCAAAAATAGCCACTAGACATTCAAGGAGTGTCCTGTCCTGTCCTGTTGATGAGGCCAAAATAGGAAATAGGTGATTGAAATCTAAAATTCGTGACTCAATTTCATATCAAGAAAAAAAATCACTGTCATTGAACCTCGACCTTCCGGACTATGTCATACCTTCCAAACTGGAGCCAGATGCACCTGCTAAACCGTGTAAAAGTTAGAAATCCGAAAAAAAATCCATCGTCTAGAAATGAGACCAATATCTCCTGGATCTCGTGCGTACCGTGAGTGAGACACGGACACAAAGACTTTGGGCTAGTGTCGCCCCGAAAGTAGGAAGTTTTGAAAACTAGTTGGTCTATTTTGAAGAGAATTTAAAGGGCTTTCTTGTGATATCATTATTTTTTAAAAATTCAGAAAACATAGCCTGCTATACTAATTTATGCAGTCTACAAAATATATGGCACCACCAGGTATAATTGACCAAGTATGTAAATCATGCAACTCTTCTCCATCATGCGTAAATACAAAGCCTAAATTTGCATATTAAGTATTTATTAAATTATACTTAAATTATACAAATTGCATACTTTGCTGTATAAGGTTTACAATTTGCACTTTACAATTTTCGCTGAGTGAGTGCACACGACTGATAATCATAATCTTATCATCTGTATTGCTTATCCTAATGACTTTTTTCCTGCGTCGGCAAGGATTAGGGTGCCTATTGAAAATCCTGGTGTTCGCGTAAAATTTATGACACTTGAGGCATAACACCTTCTTATCGATGTCTACGACTATCTTATCATGCACCGTGGTAAAGTGGGCAAGCTGTTTTATTCTGTCGGTCTTAAAATTAAGTTTACACGGCCGACAACACTTTTGTTTTTCTGCAATTTCATTTTCTGGGTTATCTGACACGTCGGAGTCATCGTCACTTTTTGAAGTGAGAGGATCAGGCGTGATGTCGTCCATCTTATCGTCTGGGTTATCGTTGATAGGCTCGACCTTTACGGAGAATTCTTCTCCCACCTCAACGAATCCGGTTAATTTTTGGTCGTCGTCACCATTGTGAGAAATTGGGTCAGCAGGACAGCCAAGGTCGGGTGCTATTTCATGAGAAAATTCTATGTACATTAACAAGGGACGTCTCCCAACATTTGCTCTCGGATTTTGACCAAATTTGATCACAAATTTAATTTGGTTGTGAAGTTTTTGCCGAGATATTTGCACCCGAAGAGGAGAAAATGTACGGTAAAGTTGAAAAATTTTACACTTTGCAAATTTACCAAGCGTTTAAAGATCTCAGCCAAACATTCGCATCGGCATTTAGTGCATTTTACAAATTTCATATTAAATTTGTAATTGATTGATTGGTCAAATTCTTAGAGCATACGTTGGGGGACCTCCACAGTATGGAAGATAATATAACGGCATAATTTAACTATAAATAGTTTACATTAACATGATTAATCGAGTAGAATGTTTATGATTTACCACTAATTTTGGATTCAATTCGTAGCTTGGTGAATCGTCCGTCATCGACATCTGTTGGTTGGAGTTTTATCGAGAATTTTGCCCGGAATTTATTTAATTGTTGATCAACGTCATGATTAGAAATCTTGTCAGCAGGACAAGCGCTTTTAGCAGCTATTTGCTGAGACCCTTCTGCGAATATAAAAGCTTAATTTAATTACAGTTTAATTTGAAACGAGTATGATCAATTAGATTGCTATTTACCACTGATTTTGGAATCATTCCGCAATTTATTAAATAGTCCATTCCTGCTGGGAATCACGGCCCGGAGAGAAATGGTATATAGTATTTTCAATCTGCGTGGTCAACTTGGCCAACGAGAGGATCGCGGAGGAGCAAATTTTGCAACAAAATATTGGAGGATGATCTTCAGTTTTTAAAATGAGAGAAATTTGCTCCTGACTTAGGACGAATTTGGCAAGAATTTCCATTTCTTGGAGGGCGAGAGGACGCAGATTTATTGACTGATCGACTCGGAACAGATGGAGCACGACCTTAATTCTGGGGATGAAATATGCCCCTCAATTTTCACTGGGAACTCTTGATCGTATTGCGTTGGGGGAATAAAATTTGTCCTGTGCAGTCGGACCGTGGAGGAAGCTAAATCTTTCAAAATGTGACGCGTCCCATTTTTCGAACACCCGTCATCTTTTGACATTTTATGTACGTACCTGCAAAAAAACCGTTAAAATATATTATCTCCTTTGAATTTAAAACGTACACTCCATCCAAGTAAGTTTGACCTTTTAGAGAAATTCGGAATTCTGAGAAACTACGACACTCTCTGTCTCAAATTCCCTAAAATAATGCTTACTGGGAACTTTTGAGACTGGCAGTGCTGTAGTTTATGTATCTCAGAATTCTCAATTTCCCTAAAAGTTCAAACTTTCGTGGAGCAAGTACATTTTAACTCATTACTCGTTTTACTTAAATACCTCCATTTACACACGTTCTTACTTATTCTGGGGAATGAGAATGAAGGGAAGATGACAAAAATGAACTATTTGGATGGATTAAATTTAAATTTATGGAGGCAAACTGAATTAAATTAAACCCAGTTTTAACCGGCATATGTAGAAGTATATATGCAATATGTAGACTTGTTTTGTTTTGCCAGTTGTGGCCTCAATATATTATGTCATAAAAAATTTAGCCCCTCCCCACCCAACGTATACATACATTAAGGGATAGGGAATTTTAACTTGGAAAAGACCTAATCCACCCACCCACAAAAATTATGACGTAATATATGAACGTTCCCCTGCTGTTTTGCGTCAAAGGCCGACTGCATGAAAACGGGGAATCTGACAAAGGAGTGAATTGTCTCGAGTTTTCTACTTTCTCCTCTTCCATGAATTATACTTAAATGTTGAGCGAATAAATCGTGCAAATCTTCAAATGTGAGAAGGGAACAAATCTAACTGATTTCAAAAAATTGGTTTTATTCACCAGCGACGCGTTTCGTAATATAATTCAGCTTCATCAGGCTGTAAAAATACATTATGTTTAAATTAAGTAAAGTTACAATTGGATAAAAAATAAGACATAAGAATGTAATGTGCCAGTAAGATTGACAAAATATATATCCAGCTATTAATAAATTGTATAAATAAATTTTTATAAATAATTACCTACGTGGTGATTTTTTAGAATAAAGTTCGTATTTTTGAGATTCAGCCGTTTTAATTTTGAGACTTACACTTTAAAAATGACATTATTTTGTTGGGTGGCTTTTACAGTACATTTCAAGAGAGTTCGCCGTTTTAAAGACAACACTAAATTTAGATTATTGACTATCTTTTTGTATCTAACATTGGTACTCTTGTCAGCTTGTTCACGTATGTATTGTAGTAGAAGTTTTTTGAACCCATACATATTCTAATAGAAAGGTATAACTATATATACTTCATTTTCCTGTATTGGATTACAACTCATATTCTATTTGTATGTATCGAGAATTTGGGGTTGGATTTGTTTCAGGTGTATTATCACCAAATCAGTTTTGGGTATGAGTAAATCATATCTATTCATAAGAAGTACCATTTCATTACACAATTTTAAAACATTTTTAGGATATCCTCTATTAGTAAACTTGTCAGTAATTAAATTAATTTGTCTCTCGGCATCCTCCGGATTTGAGCATATTTTTTTCGCTCGGATAAATTGACAGTATGGCAATGACTCCTTCAATGACTTTGGATGATTTGATTGATAATGTAAAAAAAAGATACATCCATACATAAATACAAAGCATATTTATGTATTTGCATATAAAGTAGCTATTAAATTATTCCTGAATTTGGATGCCTTGTTGTAAAAGGTTCACAATTTGCACTTTAAAAGCTTCGCTGAGTTTGTGCACATGACTAACAATCACAATCTTCTTATACGTATTGGCCGGGTCCCTTTTACCTCGGCAAGTTTTAGGATGCCTGTTGAAGTTGTTGATGGAGTTGTTACCTTTATTGCACTTGAGGCAGAATAGTTTCCTGTCGATGTCTACGACTATCTTATCATGCACAAGTTTAAAGTGCTCACGTAGTAATTTTCTTTTACGATTAAAATTAATTTTACATGGTCTACAACGCTCTTTATCTGTAGTTGTATCTAACTCGTCGGAGTCGTCGTCGGAGTCGTCACTCTTTGTCGACATTTCGGGTTCGTATGGCGTGATATCGTCGACGACAGGCTCGACTTTTACGCAGAATTCTTCTTCCACCTCAATGAATCCGGTTAATTGTTGGTCGTCATCTGTGTCAGCAGGACAGCCGCCGCCGGTTTCTACAAACGTAATTCGTGAGAAAATTTTACATGAACAATTGAGGACTCTCAGTGTGTGCTATTTAAATTTTAAGAAACTCCCTCAAGTACAAATTTAATTTGAATACAATTTGTGAAAGACTTGATGGTCAAATTTTGCCGAGATATTTGCATCCGATGAGGAGAAAACGTACCGTAAACTTGATAAATTGTACATTTTCCAAATTTACTAAGGGCGTTCGGACCTCTGCCAAATGTGCACATTTGGAGATCGTGTCTTTTGTTAAGTTCATATTAATTACATGAATTTTTGATCAAGTGACACTAATTTGGTCAAATTTTGAGAGGATACGCTGGGAGACGTCTCCCATATGCATGTAAGATAATATAAAGCCAGAATTTAACTATAGTGTCCCGAGCTGCCAAAGTTACCAAAATTTCAGTACCAAAAAAGCAACGAAATGCAACGTCAATGTGTAACGAATCGGCACCGAAGTGGTGTCAAAGGTACTGATTAGTTGCCGTATCGATATTTATTTACACGTACCGATTAAATGCCTTAGTTTCGGTACTCATTTGGTGAAAAGTAAAGCAGTGCTAATAAATAGGCGCCGATATAGCATTGATTTGGTGCCGATGACCAAAATTTGGTACCATATCGTTACTGTTTAGCGTTGCATTTCGGTAACTTTTTAGCACCTTCCATCGGTACTGTATCATTGCCTAGTGTGCAGCTCGGGGTAATACGGTTAATCGAGTATATATCTATTACTTACCACTAAGGAGGGGAGCTTCACCACCTGCCCTTCTGGGATCTTGATGCCCTTTGGATATGTGGTAGGGTCCTATGAGTGTACTACCACCCTGATGTGGTTTGACTCCATGGCCACATTTGCGCCCGCCACACCCACTCAAAGACGCCAAAAACACGAAAAAAAACCGGTTTTCATGTGCTTTAAATGTCACCAAAAATCCAATTTTGCTCCGATTTTTATAAAATTAACATTTTTGTAATCCCAGATACTTGTGTGATCATATCCAGTAGATATCTCAACCTTTTTGAAATTTTGAATTTTTTCGAATAATTCATCAGCTCGAAAATTTCGAAAATTTCAAAAAAATTGGGATTGTTATTGGATATTATCAGACAAGTATCGGGGATCACAAAAATGCAAATTTTATCGAAATACGAGCAAAATTGGATTTTTGGTGGATTTTTGAAGTTGGTAACTTTTGTGGTTTTCATCCCTTTGAGTGGGTGCGGCGGGCACAAATGTGGCCAGGGAGTCAAACCACTTCAGGGTTTTAGTACACTCATGGGACCCTACAACATATCCAAAGGGCATCGAGATCTGAGAAGGGCAGGTGGTGAAGCTCCCCTCCTAAGGAGTAGAAGGTCGCAACTTGTCAGTGCCCGATTTTGATTTCCTTTGGATATGTTGTAGTACTATATGAGTGTAGAAAAAGTGAAGGAGGGTTAGACTCCATGAGCCCATTTACGCCCGCCACACCCCCTCAAAGGCGCCCAAACCCCCAGAGTTGCCGCACTAAATTCATCGCCAAAAATCGAGTTTTGGTCAGATTTTCAAGAAATTTACATTTTTGTCATCCCAGATAGTTGCTCTGTCATATCCAATAGCAAACTCAACTTTTTTGAAATTTCGAATTTTTTCAATACATACCTTTGGTCAGAAAATATTCAACATTTAGTTAATTGCTGATCATCATCGTTAGAAACCTTGTGACATTCACTTTTAGCAGCTATTTGATGACACACTTCTAAATTAAGTGAGTATAAAGGATTAATTTAATTACAGTTTAGTTTGACCCAATCAATTAGATTGCTACATATTTACCACTGATTTTGGATTGATTCCGCAATTTATTAAACAGTCCGTTCCTGCTGGAAATCACGGCCCGGAGAGAAATGGTAATATTTTCAATCTTCGTGGTCAACTTGGCCAACGAGAGGATCACGGAGGAACATATTTTGCAACAAAATATTGGAGGATGATCTTCAGTTTTTAAAATGAGAGAAATTTGCTCCTGACTTAGAACGAATTTGGCCAGAATTTCCATTTCTTGGAGGGCGAGAGGACTCAGATTTGTAGATTCGGAGCAGATCGAACAGGTCGACCTTAATTCTGGGGATGAATTATCCCCCTCAATTTTCACCGGAATAGCGTTGTGCTCGTGTCGGGTTTGCGATACGGGAATAAAATCTGTCCTTTGCAGTCGGACCGTGGAGGAAAGTAGATCTTGCAAAATGTGTCGCGTCCCATTTTTCGAAAACCCGTCGTTTTTCGACATTTTATGTACCTGCAAAAAAAGCCGTTACATATTTTCTTGCTTGAATTTAAAATGTACTTTCCCTCCAGGAAAGTCTGAACTTTAGAGAAATTGAGAATTCTATTGAGAAACTACGGCACATACTGTCTCAAATTGCCTCATATAATGCTGACGGGAAACTTTTAGACTGGCAGTGCCGTATGTAGTTCCTCAGAATTCTCAATTGCTCCGTAAAAGTTCAAACTTGCGTGGAACGAGAGTACATTGTAGTACATTTTAATTCATTATTCGTTTAACTTACTATCAATTAGGCACGTGTCTACTTATTCTGGTGAATGAAGAGAAGATGGTGAAAATGAACTAGATATTTGAATTAACTGAATTTAAATTGATGGAGGCAAAGTGAATGAAATTAAATGTAGTTTTAACCGGCATATGTAGAAGTACATATGCACTTGTTTTGTTTTGCCAGCTGGGGGCTATCCATATATTATGTCATAAAAAATTTAGCGCCCACCCACCCAACGCATACATACATTAAGGGACAGGGAATTTTAACTTGAGAAAGATATGAAGACGTAAACCGTCCACCCACTAAAATAATGACGTTATATATGAACGTTCCTCTGCTGTTTTGTATCGAAGGCCGCCCGCATGAAAACGGGGAATATGGCAGAGGAGTGAATGGTCTCGAGTTTTCTACTTTCTCTTCTCGCATCTTTGCATATGAATGCACACTGAGCAAGTAAATCATGCAACTCTTCTCTAATCTGTAATATACAGAATTGGAAAAATTTCATAGAATAAATTAAGGATGCCCCCTGTACCGTGTATTTTAATGTTATCGGATTACTCATACCTAGTCGGAAACACTCAAGTGTCAACAGCTGATTGCTAAAAAACTACGCTGCAGAATTGAAATCTGATAAGTGCATTAGATTCGCCATTCGATTTACATTATGATTCACTATTAACCTTGTAATTTTTTAACATCTGGATAAATATATGGGAAATTGAAGAGAAGCGGGCGGCGATAGTTTTTCGCAAAAAAACATCGCAGAAAAATAGTGAATTTTGCCATGTGTTAAAAAAAGTGTACTTTAAGTTAGCCTAACGCACTATAAAAACGTTCACGAATCGACTAAGAACAGTGGAAGAAGAATTTTTTGAAAACCTCCAAGGACCACACCCATCGTGAAGCCTCTCAAGCCTAGAATCCGAAGAAATTCACGAAATTCGAACGGAAACCGGGCTCACTGCTGACTCAGTCAGCAGTGAGCCCATCGACACAGTCAGCCTGACTGTGTCGATGAAAATTATCAAATGAGTACTCAAATTGAAGCTAGGCTTAAGGCTTTCAAACGTGGTTCTTGCCACATACGGACCATCCCCCAAAGGAAAGCCAGATTTAAAAAATTCCTAAATGTATTTGAAGGTTGTTATTTCATTAAAATTTTAGCCAGAAACAGTGCGTAACATACCTTTTGAAAATCAATACTAAAGCACCTTCGTATGTATGTATGTACATATGTAGAAAAAGTAGGGTAAAAACTGTCACCAATAAAAAGGGCATTGCATGCATCTTAATAATTTATTGCTGTATGGAGATGAGTAAATGAATGAATTTGTAAATTATATGCATATATGTATATGCGTAGCGTACATATGTATGTATGTATATCTGTGAGGACGGCAATGTCTGTCACATATGTATTTAAATAATATAAGCCCTTTATTCCTTTCAAAATAAATAAATAATACAATACAACAAAAACTAACCTTGAACACATTTGACACAATTAAATCCTTACCGGCCTATACAAAATCCCCACAGTAACCGTACCAAACCCTATGTCTGCCTTATTGCTGAAAAAGTCATCCCTTAATCCAGCCACGACATTAACTAGTTCTAAATCAACCCCACCCAAACCGTCATCTTTATCACCTTCTCCTAAATCTTGATCAAAAACCTCGACCCTGACATCACTCCAAGAGTAAACCTTATCAACACTAAATGTCTCCATCCACAACGGGGTGAGGGTATTATTCTTCACACTCGTTCTCCCAACCTCAACCTCATCCACGAAAATCTTCACGTACGGATCCGGAAGGACGTGTGATTCATCATCATAAATACCACTTTGCTTATCGTATGCCCCCTTATCCAACGTAAGCTCTGCCCTGACCACGGTAACCTCCATACTTCCAGCAGGAGATAGGTGACAATCGGCCAAATGAGATTTTATAGGATCTAAAGAATTTACCATTTTTCTAAAATCCTTCTCCACCCCTTGTCTCAGGCTTTGCAGGTAGGTTTTTAAACTTTGTGAATATTTGTAATCGCCATCTTTTTCATGAGTCAGGTATTTTTCTGTGCCATCCAAAATGCAGAGGAAGCCTTGACGGGAGGGTTTTGTTTGATCTAGATAATTTGTAAAGTGTTCACTTTCCTTGAAACTGCAATTTTCAATGGCGTGGAATATTTCGACGAGTGTGTCACCCCTTCTCCTCTTCCCGTACCCTTGCTCCTCGTACTTTGGACTTTCTACTAAGAATACGTCGCCAGATGTGTTTCTGTACTGGATGTTTTGCGGACATGAGTCCACCGTGCAGTTGAATCCGGCCTGGTGGGCATGGTTGGGAAGTTCAAGGTCGTGATGTCCACTAATGAAATGACGGTCCCATCCGAATACTTGTACTCTTCTTAGTCTATCCTTCACCCCGAGTTTTTCATACTTATCCCACGCTGCGCGAACACCACAGAGTAATTTTTTATGAGCGAATCGATCCTGTTCTAAATTAGACGCGGCTACGATAAAATGACTAAGTGGATTAAAGATTGAGATGGATTCCAACGGGTATTTTTGGAAAATTGACCCCTTCCTGGTATAAAGGTCGAGGAGGGTTTGGAGCTCGGGGGAGGACGCATTTTCTGAATTATTATCCTCACTATCTGGTGGAAAAGCTTGGAATTGTTTGAGGGATGAGATTATGTCTTGGATTTGGGATTTGAAAGAGGTGAGATCTTGTTCATTTTTTAGGAAGGAATAAATATCTGTCCGCATTATTCCGGGAGAGATGAGGCGCTCGTGGAGGTGAATGGTTAATTGTGTCATTCCCACGGGACCGAGGAGATGGGAGGCAACTGTACGACGGAGATCTTTTGAGAGGGATTTCCTACTTGTTAGGTCTAGGACGGATTCGTATTTTTGATAAATTTGGTCAAGAAGATAAGGAAAAGTGGGTATTTGCGTGGTCCATGTTGGAATGGAGGGAAGGGAGGATTTGGACACCTGTAGATTTTAAGGGGAAAAGATATTGAGAATTTTTCATGTATTCCTTAATCAATTTAATACTTACTTGGCGATATGGGTGAGGACGAATGTGAGTAGAGGACGCCGAAACAATCGAGGAGAGAAACAATAATTTTATGAGAGGCATGATGAATTTGTGATTCTTGAAAAATCCAACGATTATTAAAACTGTGTGAAATTGAGAATGAAACTGAGTCCAAGAAGATTGCAGAGTTTACATTTTATACAAAAGTAGACTATTGACTACGTGCAGCTTACGTAAGTATAAGATGTAGAGATATAAATATAAACTGAAAATCCGGTTTCAAAAGGTTAATTGCACTGTGTGTATTTCCTTCACAACCAACTCAGGTATAGCAGCTACGTCATTTATGTATGCAAATCTTATAAATAACAAAACTCACAGCAACAATATCCACTTTCGCCATTGACTACGTGATCTTTAGTCACGCATATGATAGATAAGTAGAACGGAGTAAGAACAACATGCAGGGACCCATTCAGGTACACTTGAATGTAAAAAATCCCTAGAAATGTAAATAATTCCTTAGCAACGTAAAAGAATTCCTGAGCAACGCCATAAAAATCTTTAGCAATATAAACAAACTTCCTTGGCAATAATAAAAAAATCCTTAGCAACGCTATAAAATTACTAGAGGTGGGATACCATTTTAAAATACAAGGTTTAACTTAAAATTTGATCTAAATATGTATGTAATCATCAATAATCCAAGTTATGTAATGCCGAACCACTCATTCAGTGGGCGGTACAATTAAAAATTTCAAAAACTTGACGTAATCCGATGAAGAATACATTGAATTTGCGAATATTTTATTTTTATCAAAGAAATAAACACATTACGAATTGGGAACAGTTCACAATTTTAAAATTAAAATTTTCCAGAAATGTGTACAACTTTTTAGTGTCTCCGTGAGTTTATTAATTATCCATGAGATGAGCAGCTTGTAGTGGGGCCTCTGCTCGACGATCCTTAAAAGTACCCAAAACCCCAGGAAACTATTTATTGTAAAACAACTTACGGCGTTTTTGTACACCCATTAAAAACTTCCGTGACAAATAATTTAGATTTGCATTCTTACAGTGGTTGGCGGAAGTTGGGGGGATATGTGGGGACATTTCTGGGGAGACAATGTCCCCCTATCCCCCTGCTTCCGCCGCCACTGCGTTCTTAAAAAATTAGATACCTCATTCATTGGAATTTTTTATAAGATTGAGGAACTAATTGTAAGTCAGTCAAGACTCGATACCGTACATTTAAAATTTTCCATTGTGGCGAAACATTTGAACTACGCAGTAGTTCATAAAATTACCAATTGTTTAGTTGGTTTTTATACGTGCCGAATAACATATTGGATAAAATATATGGCCCTAAACTTAATAACAAATTGTTTTCATGGAATGAATCTCGTTTTCATGAAAGTTTTTCATGGCATTAAAAAAGCATCATCACCAATACGCATCTCTGTCTGGGACTGTGCAAAAAGGATGTGGTAAATTTTCCGGGGGATACAGGTCGACATCCTATCCTTTCCATGTTAATTGTTTATATGTAACATCATAACGTGGGGCCTATTGGTCACGTGAGGGGATTGGAACCTGCCCCGAACCTGCCCCCTTTTCCGGAATCTGACCTGGTCCAATCCGGCGCCCGGGTGATCTTCCTGCTCCGGGAAATCCTTACATTTCCCTCCGTCCGGTGTGCCCAGTTTTTGCGGATTTACGGTCATCCGGCCGAGTGGATTGTTCTCTGTGGCGCCTGCGCCCCCATGGTCACTCGGGCAGGCGATCTGTTCGCGGAAATGGAGAAACTCCGCGCCCAATACGAACAGTTTTAAAAAATCACATCCTCACGGACACCAATGAAAAGTTTGCCTATTTTCAAATCAACGGGGAGGAAGCCGCCATAATCCGAAGAATCGCCAAAGCGGTCCGTTCCCAGGTCATACTTAACGTTAAAAGGGCACAAGGTCGGTTTTAGCGCTTTTAAAAATAACGTTAACTTGATACAGAGTAATGTTTGCGCAGGATTTAGTATAATAATTATACTATAATTTACTGAATATACAATTAAGAGTGAATTTACTTTTTTTTAAAATTGTCCCATCAT